CACGGCGGTTACGGTGCTCTGCTGGCCTCGGGCAGAGTGGTGGTGATCTTGTAGGTGGAGGTGTACGGGGTGGTGACCTGGCTAGTCGAGCTGGTCGTGCTGGTAGTATCCTGCGTCGTGGAGCTCGTGGTGTGCATGGTGGTTGACTGCGCGGTCGACGAGGTCGAGCTGGAAGTGGACGAAGTCGAAGAGGTGGTGGTGGCAGGCACAGTGGTGGTAGGAAGAAGCTGTCCGAGTGTGAGAGGAGGACGAAGAAGAAGACGTGGATGAAGATGTAGAGGCAGAGGTAGTAGAAGACGAGGTGGATGAAGAGGAAGAAGACGCACTGGACGAAGTCGATGAAGTCGAAGAGGTCGACGTCGACGACGACGAAGAAGAAGAAGTAGTAGAAGAGGAAGTGGTGGAGGTGGAGGAGGTGGTGGTGACAGGAGACGTGGACGAGGAGCTAGACTCACTGCTACTAGAGCTCGACTCACTGCTGCTAGAGCTGGATTCACTGCTGCTAGAGCTAGATGTAGTCTGCACGGCGGTTGTATGCGCGGTGGTAGCGGCCGCGGTGGTCGCAGCGGAGGTGGGTTCGGCCGAGGTCGAGTCAGCACTGCTGGCAGAGCTCTCCGCTTGGGTAGTGGCAGCAGCAGCAGTCGCCGACGTCGCGGCAGGTTCCGTCGCCTGGCTGGTTTCTGCAGCACTCGTCGAATTGCTCACAGCCTGTCTCTTGGCGAGGTTGGCGCGGCTGGACAGTGCAGCATCTTCCTCCTCAGCCTGGGCGGCGTCATCTTCGGAATGAAAAACTCCGTGACGGAACTTTTCATACAGATGCAAGGCCTTGTCCTCGAAGCTACTGAGATACCCGTGGGAAGTCGAATCGCTGACAACCGAGTTGGTGGCATCAGACTGATCGGCAGTCGGGGCCGCGAGAGCAGCGCAGGCGATCAGCGACAGCAGCAGAAAATGGAGCAAGCGAGTGAGGAACGCCATGACGCTTGATCGGAAGTGATTTGAGTTGAACGGTGGAAGATTCAAGGAAAGACGAGGAAAACTCGACGATGGATGGGAAACGGAGTTGCCTATAGATCGAATCCAAGCCGAATTGGGTAACGGTGGACTGAGTCGAGATGATGGCAGCGAAAGAGGAAGAGGAAGATGAGCGATGGCGGATTGGCAGATAATAAAGCTGGGCGCTAGCGAAGGGAAGGCTGTGAGGTGTCTCACCCAGACTTTTCAGATGACAGTGAATTGGGGTTGAAGACAAGCCACACCGGAAGGATGGGAATCGATGTGGGAGGAAGAAGACTTGGTTGCCTGGCAGTCGCAGGACTGATAAATACTGGGACGAATTGACTGGGCAGAAAAAAACAAGGCAGGCCTGGTTCGGCTTGGCAGGTCCGAGGTGGAGCTTCGAGAAAATCCAGTCGGTCGAGATGGACAGGAATAGCATCGGCGAGACGTTAGTTCACGATGCTACTAGTCTAGTCTGAGGGACGGAGTATCCCTCGCACAACAAAGTGTGGCACTGCACTGCCCATCCTACCTTCACTTGGTACTAGTACGACTTGACTACTATCCGACTACCACTGGTTATGTACTTATGTCTCTACACAGGTACGGATCACCGGAACTTTTATTGTCTTGGATGGATGGCCCTGAACCTTGGGGACCACTTCTTTGGGTCATCCCAGATGGGGAGGGCAGAATGCGACGGGGGTTACCAACTACAGTGTGTCAACGTCAGCATCAGAGTCCAGCCCTGCACGCCAATTCCATTCTAGCATAGCGCTGGATGAATCCGGCACCAATAAGTTGCCTTTTAAGTCTGCAGTCGACACATGCTTGAGATAGATAATCTGAGTATGGAAAAGTGAAGGAGTGAGGGGTATCTTCCCATACCCGCGACCGGAAATGTCAATGTTTCACTTTTTCCCCCCAAGAAAATTTGATGAAAATAACGGCGGGAACTTCCCGACTAAAAACCCCGAATCAGGAAGGCCATCTGAATCAATGACGACACCATGAAATCAGTGACTTTTTTCTTTCTCTCTCTTTTTGATGTTGTCGAAATTGTGATAGGCGCAGCTACTGTGAGTTTATACGGAGCACATGGAAATTACCGATGATCTATGTATAGCTTGATCTCAAGTGAGGTACTCTGTACCCAGTTGGTTAGTTACCCAGTGCGACGTGGTCTGTTCCTCCCTCCGTCACCTTGACTATTGGCAACCATTGATCAAGTGGACTCTCCCTCTCCCTTTTGTCAGGGGAATATAATATGGTTCCTGGATATCCCCTCTCATTCCTTGCCTCTACCTCTGACAATTCAACAAATAATTCCTCCCTTTATCAGCAGCTAAAACCATGATACATACTTGACATAACCCCATTACCGATCGCAGCCAATCTGACCATCATCGGTATGTGTCCTGTCAAAAACAACCATTCCGGACTCCCGAGTAAAACAAACCTCTCCGCATCCGGTCAAGTGTCGAAGAGGGGGGCTTAGCTCCGATTAGGTCCCGCGCTAGACTATATAGGGGCTAGTGCCCACCGGATCGGGGATCTGCTAGGCTATTCTTGGCTCTTTGGCTGAAGTGGTGCCACTATCAAAGCACCCTATTGGCTCTTGACTCAGTAATGAGGCTTGCACTAGACTATCCCTGGATTAGTGGCTTTATCCTGGCTGCTCATCCTGTCCTCTTCTTCTCTTCAGGCGGCGTTCAGGCAGAGAGATGGTTTACTCTGCCTCGTTGTACCGTGGGTGGCCTGAAACAAAGCTTATTATAATACTTTCTCTGCAGAAGAAATCATCATCACGGATAATGAATACGAGTGAGAGTCGCTCCAACGCAGTCAGCCATCCTCCCTCTCGTATGAGACGTGGCATCAGCACTGTTTTATTTACCATTCGCTATCTATTGGCTACTATATTTATCTACGCCTTGCAGCCGGCAGCACAGTGGGCAGCCAAATATATCTTCCGTCGGGGTTAGTCTGTCTCACTTTTACAGCATGATTAGCAAATCGTCTATCTAGTGGACTGGACATGAACTTTATCACATGTGATAAGACTTGCTAAATAGCATGTGCACGACCCTCAATACCCATATCCCATTATATGTGAAGAATATCATTTGTATCTGTGATTTCTTTATACTACCCCGGCATCTAATTCATCGAGAGGTACACTGCAATCCACAAAGCTTATTCCACCTTGTGCAAACAAGATATGTATCCGGACGTATCATCTCCCCGCACCTGAATCCACTCTCACACCGCAACAGACAATGACAGCAGCCATGGGCGTTTCAGAATCGCCCCCAGGCTCAAAGTGCACTCCACTTAGTTATTGTTTTCTGACAACACCGTTACCCTACGGTAGATTCGCGATTGCATTAGGTGGATGTGAGGCTCCTTGTCTCTTGGTCCTGGAGCACGCCCATCCCGTCGGATCAGTATCTGCTCAGCAATAAACTCACACCTACTAGTTTACTATTCCAAAGCAAATGCTCTGTGCATCCACCATTGGGCATTTCTCGGAAAGCCTCAAGCTTCTCTGCATCAAGGAAGCCCCAATCAATGCGGCGCATTGCATGTGTCCTGTCCAAGCAGGTCGCTCCCAACGCCTTGCAATCCTCACACACGTTGAATCGATGGTCATTGCAGATCAAGCAACGATAATACGCCCTATCACCGACTATATAGGCTTGACAGATGTCGCAGCCTGCTTGGTCTGGGTAGCCATCAAAACAGAGGGCAGACCTAGAGATAGTGGCTATCTCGCGGGGGCTCCCCGACAGTAGCTTCGAAATATGCGGATACTTCGCGCTACGAGCTTCGGTGAATGCGCTTCTTCCGTAATGATCCAGAGAACATCGATCAGTCTTCGGCGATTTGAGTAACGCCGCTACCACCCCGGCCTGTCGACGTACCGTGGCGCTCATCCAAGGTGTGCGACCATACCTGTATCTCACATTTGGATCGCAACCTGCTCTCAGCAGAGCTTCTACCGATGCCCCCGAGCCGTAATTCAGAACCCAGAACAACGACACTCGGCCATGCCGATTCCTGATGTTTGGGTCTGCACCATACCGTAATAACAACTTTACCACTGCGTTCGTATCTCCAGTCTCATTCCTAGTCATTGAGCGGTAGCCTCGTGTTATTCTTTCACCGAGTCCGGAGGGGCAAGCTTTCAACGCCCCAAACAGTGGAGATTCACCAGACTGATAAATACAATCTACCGCGCCTCTTATGAGAAGCATCTTCACAATAAGTTCAAACCCTCCAGCACCGGCCCACATTATAGGCCTCTCTTTTATAGCCCCATCAACAAACTTTAGATGGCATAAAATACTGCCAATATCATTGAAATATGAATATAATATGGCACTATAGTGAGAAAGACTCATTCATCCTTTGTACTTTCAAGACCTTGATGAGCGCGAGGTCCGCTTCACAGTCTCGTATCTAATTGCAGTCACATCCGTGCACACCAACTCTAGGATTGTTATTCAACAACATGAGGACCATTTGTGCCTTTTGCGACATAGTATAACTGTTTAAAGATCAACATCTCTACCCATTGCACGCCTTCCTTTCATTTTCCTCCCGTATCAGTATTAGCGGGTTTGTTGGGATATTCTTCCTCGGAAAGCGTGAGAACATCATTTCTCAGGGAAAATGAGACATTCTGCTGAATGGTTGAGCCTTTCCCACTTTGTATTGTTTGTATATCTTCCGCGATCTTCCAGGTATTTACCCATAATTTTACTTTGAGATCATCGATATATTCATCATACACATACAGTTGCACGATGAAACTCCGCTGGACTTCTTGTGAAGTAGTATTCTGGTCTGTTTTTGCTGCGTTTAGATTCTCCTGAAGCTCGTCTTCAAAGATGTTCCACATTTTCGCATTGGTGATAATACCGGGAAACAGAAGATCGAATATCAGCTTGTGAGATGCGTTATCGGAGAGATTAACCTCATGCGATGTCTCTCGTGTGCTGGCAGTCTCAGGAAGGTGACTGGCAAGAGAATTGTGTATGTAATCGGCTATTTTGACATCGTTTTCGGCGATTTCCTTCTCGTCTTCATCCCTTTCGTAGTCTGGGTATGCGTCTTGTGCTTTCACCCTGGAAGTTTCTTTTCATTGTACACTACCTTCATAGTCTATTACACTGTCTCCTTGCCTGTGATTGTTATATGGTGAATTATGAACTCGGAATGTCTTGATTTAAATACGGTTCCTTCCAATGTGGCCTATAACTGCCTATTATGTAAATACAGAATAAGCAAAGTACGGAGTGCGGACTCGCTTTCTACGTGATGGTTGATCTGGGCACGTCGAGGATCACCTAGTAGAACGCATGTGAATTCCGATGCATGCATTTATCTTTACATATCTTAGCATGGAAGTGCGTCCTCCCATATATGAAGCCGACGCGCTAACCGCTAGACCAAGAACGATATATCGCGTCTAGGTTGCCAATCGACGAGTAAATATATGCCACACTATTACTGGTCTATCGCACTTCCTCATCTTGCAGCCGATGCTCCAAACGCAGCTCTCCCGGATCATTCTCCTCAAACCTGAAATTCCAAATCCTTTCAGACATCGTCAGCCGTTCTCTGTGTTTCCCCAAAGAATTCGTCTTCGAGCTCCGGCTCCCAACATGCTGCAACACACTGGGGGTCAACGCCCAACGAACCTCCCCGTTCTGATCGGCATATCTCTCCGTCAGCATATCAACATACCCAACTTTATTCCTCTCGTACCATGACACCAGGTCTCCGATACGTGTTTGTGGAAACACGAACCCCTGAGAACAACATCCAAACTTGGGCATCGCGTGCACTCCCTCTGGTATTGGGAGCATTGTGTTCCTTCCGGCAGCGAAGAAGAGGACAATCAGGAGGGGAGTAATCACAAGAGATAAGACTGTGATTATCTCGTTGGAAAGGTATCTATCCGTAGCAGGACAACAATATCGGATAGCGGTTGTAGTGATCACGACCACAGCTGCAGTAAGGAGAGAAAAGAAGAGGTAGGTGGGCCACTCTTCCGAGTTCCATCCTAGAAATATCTCAGTGTAGAATAGTCGTAGATACAGCCCTTTTACAACTTCTCTGTTAGCTTATCTTCCATCGTATATCTGTCATCCAAAAAAAAAAAAAAAAAAAAAAAAAAAAAAAAAAAAAAAAAAAGAATCACGTCCTTACACTGATCCACCCCCTCCTCCTCCGCCTTCCGCTCAGCAACATCTAAAGCCTGCTTAGTCCGATGATACCAGCCGTCCAGAGCAACAACATCGTCCTCAAGAATAACCGTATATGACGTATTAAGCGCCTCACACGCTTTAAGGAGATACGTATGATCAAAGAGGCCCTTCTCTCGAGCAAACTTCTTCGCTTCCGGTGTCTCTAAGCTCCGAATATGTTCTATATCCACCAAATCCGGATCATAGACGAGCACTTTGTCAGCGAGATTATGAAGCCACGGCTCCATGTACGCTGGATGCTCCGCTGGATCTGAATGTGCGATGAAGACGATAAGGTATAAGTCTTCCCTCTCTGCCGCGGTAAGGCCTTCTAAGACGGAGCCTACCGCGCCTTGGAGGTAGTTCACGCCCTTTCGTGCTACTGAGGCAATCCCGACGCACATCCTGGGGTGGGAGGATGCTTTGGTTTGGAAGTGATGGGGGATGGTATTGCTGTTGGCTTGTTGGATGAGTGCGTTGGCTTGTCCTGTGCGGAGGGTAGAGTAGGCTGGTTTGTATGCTTGGTCTTCGGTGAAGAAGGCTGATGTGGGATCACGCCAGCATGTTAGGCGGGCTAGGTTAATTGCCAGGCCGTAGAAAAGAATAAAAATGAGTAGTAGCTGGCATGCGTGTGAGTTGAGAAAACCTAATGAACATGGCCGTAAAAGTCGCCTTGGTAGAAGCATTTGGGGCGTGTCGGATATAACGTCGTGGATTAGGAGGCATTTGACAGTTTCCCAAAAGTAAATCGGTTGTATGGATCAAGTAGAGTTGGCAGCTTAGAGACCACCTGTACTCCCTGGATGATGATAATTACCTAGGATATTCTGTTTTGCCTATAATTTCCCTAAAAGCCTCCCCCGGACCACGCTGCAGTAGTGCCCTTGTAGGGATGAAAGGGTCCAAGCCATGTTACTCCCTTAGTGTAAAACCCCTTGGAGCGATGTAACATTAATATAATAGCTGGACCCTGGGATGCACATTTGTGAATGAACATTGTCTGTCCTAAAGTATCGTAATTCGCCTACAGTCTCCCAGGTACTTCTCCAATGGCGCTACAATATCCCCGTAAGGAGAAGAGAACAGGTCATAAGAGCTCTGTAGGCTCAAGTGGAGACCTGTTAATAAGATGTTAGTCTAACATGAGAGGGGGAACGTGACGTGGGTTGTTCTTAATGGTTGGTTCATGGCTGTAAGCGCTTCTCCGCGACGGATTTTCCCGATAGGGCATCCCTGTTCATGCAAGCATTCTAACCGGCCCACGCCACCAAGCCACTAGATCGGGACCAGCTCCATCTAGTGAGTACTAAGTAGTTAGTACAACGAATTCAGTTCCAATCATGTGGCTCTCGAGTGGATGACCAGGCACCATACCGATCGGGGTAACAAGGCTGCTCTTCCCTGGGTCTGGAAGGGTTCACACCAATATAACATCTCTTGTAGCATCTGCATGTTTGAACGCTAGAGGGCGGACTTCATCAACTGATATCATCAACTGAGCCTGCTCTGAATATATCGACCTTATCGAGCCAGTGAATGACTCTATTAGCAAATCCCAAAGGCAGGCGAGGCTGAGTCCAAGGGCGTGATGGGCTGTAGCACCGCTAGCCGCTACACACAAGCCGTTAGTAGCAAAAAGATCGAGGTCCCCAAGCGACATTATCATCACGGCCGTGCTGCGTGCCTCTAAGGAGGGAGTTAAAAAAACAATGGCATGGCCCTTTCCATATAAATCTCGGCGGCCGGGATAGCTCCTCGCAAGATCTGGACAAGTCTTTAGCTTATATAGAAAGTACTGTATTCTCCTCTTACCACATACCTCGATGCCAAATCTAGTTTCGAGCCGCTCTCAGGGTCTAATAACAGTAATCAGGTGCCTGCCAGGGGCACAGAAGGTATTCTCGACAGTCGGATTACAGATGCGTAATGCCCCAGAGCAGACACACTTGCCAGAAGTATCACCTCATTCCAGGTATGCTCTCTGGCTAGCTCTCTGTGGCTTGAAGATCTCATGCACCCCACTATCATGTTTATTGTCATATCTGTAGAAAGCTCCGTGAAGCGCAGTGTACTGTCGATGCAAACAGGGACATAAGGATATTGGAGATATCAAAGCCAAAGACAGCAACGGCGGCGATACAGTTTTGAGTAGGCCATTGAGCTGTCGTATGCCGTTAACGCGGAGTTAATTCCGGGAAGTCAAGTCGATATTCTCGTTCTTCACCATAACATGGAGATCTGCTTATGGAACGTGTCTTCGAGGACGATCATGCAGGGTGTGTGGGGGTGATGAATGCCGTAAATGGCCGCCCGTCGTGCGACGCGGCCCGTGGATCATAATCTTTCGAGCCACAGCTGCATCTCTTTACGAGGCTACAACGTCGTCGATTTCGACTTCTTCTCCCTCTATCAGTACTAGGCTCCATCGTTAGACCAACGGAAGATAACAACGGTTCCACGAACATCAAAAGTGTTTCGGAATGCCATCCATTAAATCTGGACTAAGTTTCTTACCACCGCACCCCAGAATGGCCGGTCCCTCTGAAATCTCCCTGTTATCCAGCACGCAAATGCAATTCTTCCCACTGAAGGGCCCCGTGTTGACGCGCAGCTCCTTTGAATATCATTCTTACGTCTGCGTGCTCCCATGGTCTCTTTCTGCCAATTCGCGACCACCTTGTCACTGAAGATATTCACATGTTATGCCTGCGGGGCGATCGGTAAGAGTCTTCATTTCGGCGATTATGGAGAACTTGGGGCGTAGTAGAGCGGAATGTCTGCGAATTCTGGGGCTCGAAGCGGACCTTGGTCGGTATTGTCAAGCATGTTGGTGGGATTCTGCTCTGATGAATCAGTGTCCGCCATTGATCACTGTCACAAAGAGTTATCGATCAGCACAAGAGAGGAGGGAAGGAATGTGGCCATATGGCGGCAATTACTTACCTCTGGTAAATGTACACAGTAACAACACTGTAGATAAGAGTACTTACCTCCTAGTTGGGTGACCGTAAAGCGGCCACACCCGCTTGGTAGTTACTCGCATGGCTTTCACTGTTGAGTGGGCAGGAAATGGAGACATATCAGTGTTAGGCATTAAGTACTCAAAGGCTACTATTGATGAGTGACTTATAACCAAAGAATGGGTTGCGAGAGACATAAGTGCGCTGAGCCATGATGCAGCTTCATCATTTCGGCATACTTGCAAAGCAGGAAAATATATAACTACTAAGTAATAAGTACTAGTGGCACCAGTCATCAGCCACTAACCATTTCACAACGTCTGTCCACTTCACTACTAATAAGCAGCAGTATTATTCACTCGTGTGTTAGTGTGAAACTTCTTGCGGAGCGAAATTATATATTTATATATTTGGTGTAGTATAGCTTCTAGTCACCCTTATCGAAGCAAAATAATATAGCAGCATACTAGTACTAGCTCTGAGAGTAGGATACAAAGGACATGGCTAGTGTTATGTCTAGGAGTAGCTATGAGTAGAAATCAGTCTTGTGGACTGCTCTACGAAGCTGTAGAGTTCATGATGTGAAGATAAAGTCAGAAACGGACTGTGGTGTTACCCTCGGTCTCTGGCAACTAATCATAGTATGTCTAATGTGTAAATTCGATCGGAGTAGATACTACTAATATATAATTTCTGTGTCGATAGCTGTACTGTGGATGATAGTATGCTACTATGAAACCATAACTCAGTTGGACATAACCAACAGTAGAGTAAGGTTGATTCATATCCGCCTGTACGAATCGCACATTAAATGCCATCCATGTATTGGTCTGGTCAAAGAATCTGCGAATTGCTGCCTAATTTTGGCGAGAGTCGTTATTTGTGGTGGGTGGATCTCTGATGATCTAGACTCTTCATCTCGGTTGCAGAGGGTTAGACGTGGAGTCTGTTGGATTTCTTGGCCACCGATTGACACTTGACACAACTTCGACGGGCTAATCAAGTGGTGGTAAGTAGGACATTTTCAGATTCTCCGGACCTGAGAAAAAGAGGATTGCATTCCGTAACTTGCAGTGAAACACAGTCGACAGTGACCGCGTCTCGAGAATATCCGCCTCAGGCATCAATACGCAGTTGTGTGAATGCCAAGAGTCTCGGCCCGGTCGGACTAAGACCAGCCAAGTCTCAGTTGTTTACAGGCAGCCAGATATTTACAGTATGGCTACAGTAATACTTACAGTAGATACTATAGGAGTGGACTCACTCCAAATCCCATGGCCAACGGTTTCCTGAGTCAAAAGTGGAAATGTGCCAGATGCTGAAACATGCCTCCGAGTTTGGGTTGCCGTTGGAGGAAAGGCAGGCCTGGTTTAGGAAGGTCAGCAGGAAGAGAGCGGCGCTAATCGGCTCCGGCGGGGCCCCCGAATCCGTGCGTTGACGTCAGCTCCCTATTTTTGGTGAGACATGGGCTGTCGAATAGTAGGCGCGCCATGTTCTTTGATCGATTGCCTTTGCGATAATGCAGGGACTGGAGCAAGGTTGGACTTTTCTTTTCTTTGACGCTGTTTGGTGTGCGAGGGTTGATGCTTTAGAAGCCCCTCAACAACACTCGTTGGTCAAATGTCGTGGAAGTGATAGGAGTGGATGGCAGTTGCTATAAAAGGAAGATAGCACGAAAGTGAATCCGTGAAGTCAGTGTTCCCTCGGTGGTTAAGTAGGGGAGCCCAAGTCGGTTGCACAAAGTCCATGCGACCAGTCTGTCGAAGCCATGTATTCACCTCGACTAATTATAGAAGTCGACAAGATCTCTGGAAGGTAGAAAGCATCTGCATATACAGTAGATGCATCTGCTGTGATTTGGCGCTGGCAGGAGTGTCTCAGGAGATGGAGGAGCGAAAAGGCGGCACTGCCGTCTGGTTGCTGAAGTTCAACCCACCCACACAACATCTGAGAAATGCCCAGTCGCCCAGAGGTAATAGTTCCTGGCAAAGACTCATGGCCTATCGTAATACCACTTGCCATGGCCGCCCCAAGATGAACACATCTTGGCACTTTACCGCCCGTATCTGAGTACTACTTAGTATTGCTCTGATGTGAGAACGCCGCTCTAGTTCCCTATCCAGTGGCGAGACAAAGCAGGAGCCACGTTCAGTGCAGTACGTACAGTAGAACTGAAACAATTAGTCAGTAAATATAATCTCTCTGGGAAACCTTGATGGGACTGATCTTCCAGGCACGGCAGGGAGCGGGAAGCCTGGGTTTGGACCCCAGAATAAGGACGAGACTCCTTTTCCGCTGGAAGGTGCCTTGCTTTTGCTACTAGCGTGCGGCGGCGGGAGAGAATTTATACCCAGCCCTTGAGGTTGGGTAATTGCGTGAGGTTGGGTAATCAGATGGCTGGCTACTCAGATATCTGACTAGAATGACTGCCCTCATTTCTCTGAACTGTAGCCTGTGTGGAAGATGTGAATGGCCCGTTGTGAGGGAAAGAATGTCAACCCTTGTAACAAATAACCGAGCTGGTACGGGCCATCAGGGTTCCAAGGGACTTGCCAGGGACCATCCAGGGACTTTTCAGGGACTGGCCCCACCGGGCGCTCTTGGCAGGCCGGGGGCCCCACCCACACGGTCGAAAAGACGAGCAGCTTTCTTTGTGCGCCTCTCTTGGCCTGCATTCTCATTTGTTCCGGCCAGACAATCGGACGGGGCCAGTCCCTGTTCAGTGGCCACGGCAGCCTTTCATCGGCGCCTTGGCCCAGTGCGAGACCCTTTTTCGCCCACAGCGATCTGACGATCGGGATGGCCAACAATACCGTCCCCTGGGATTTCCGCTGACCTTTCATTTTGGGGGACCTGGAGTGTTGACTGGCTTGGTTGGATCTCCCCATGGAAAAAAAAGGGAAAGAATCCATCGCCTGGACGTCTTCCTCATTGGCCCGTAGGATCTAGTTTGGGCGGACCAACAATTTCCCACACATGCCGTGGCTGCTTGCAGGCGTAATGTTTGTTTGCTTGGCGAGACCCTGACGGATTCACAAAGGCGCGAGCAAATTTACCCCAGTGGATGTCAATACTAATGCAATGCAGAAGGGATGGTCGGCCTGCCTGCCTGCTTTAAGGCGTGTGCCACCCACTCCCCCCTTCCCTTCCGCTTCCATCTGCTGGTTGTTTTTACTCTTTCCTCCTTCTTCACCCTTTCGGTCGTTCAACCTCGTCGCCGCTTTTCTTCCGGCATTCTTCAAATTCCCCTTCAGTCACTCGTTCAGACCTTCTTTCTCGTCTCTCGCTTCTGCTGTTCTTTTGAACCATCCTATATCCGGCGCCGTCTGCATATTTCATTCTCATACCTTCTCAGTCATCTCGCTGACGGGCCCTGACACTCATTCTTTGTCTTAATACCATCTGCCTTCGATCCTCTCACCTACATCTTCTTCCACAATGAAGGGCACCGCTGTCGCGACTGCCCTCGCTCTTGGTGCCTCCACGGCCCTCGCTGCGCCTTCGTCGACCATCAAGGCCCGTGATGATGTGACCGCTATCACCGTCAAGGGCAATGCCTTCTTCAAGGGCGATGACCGCTTCTACATCCGTGGTGTCGACTACCAGCCGGGTGGTTCCTCCAAACTCGCGGACCCCATTGCCGATGCCGATGGCTGCAAGCGTGATATCGAGAAGTTCAAGGAGCTCGGCCTGAACACCATCCGTGTCTACTCGGTGGACAACTCCAAGGACCACGACGAGTGCATGAACGCTCTGGCGGATGCTGGCATCTACCTTGTGCTGGATGTCAACACCCCCAAGTACTCGCTCAACCGTGCCGACCCCGCCCCGTCGTACAACGATGTGTACCTGCAGTACATCTTCGCCACGGTCGACAAGTTCGCCAGCTACAAGAACACCCTGGCTTTCTTCTCGGGTAACGAGGTCATCAACGATGGTCCCTCCTCCAAGGCTGCTCCTTATGTCAAGGCGGTGACGCGTGATCTCCGCCAGTACATCCGCAGCCGCAACTACCGTGAGATCCCGGTCGGATACTCTGCCGTAAGTGGATAAGCCAGCCCTACCAGTCTTTTTCAGCTTGGATAGATACTAACGAGGACCGTTGATGCAGGCCGATATTGATACCAACCGTCTTCAGATGGCCGAGTACATGAACTGCGGTACTGACGATGAGCGCAGCGACTTCTTCGCCTTCAACGACTACTCCTGGTGCGACCCCTCCTCTTTCACCACCTCCGGCTGGGACCAGAAGGTGAAGAACTTCACCGGATACGGCTTGCCCCTGTTCCTGTCCGAGTATGGCTGCAACACCAACAAGCGTGAGTTCGAGGAGGTCAGCGCTCTGTACGACACCAAGATGACCGGCGTGTACTCTGGCGGCTTGGTCTACGAGTACTCCCAGGAGTCCAGCAACTATGGTCTGGTGGAGATCAACGGCGACAGCGTGAAGACCCTGTCTGACTACGATGCGTTGAAGTCGGCCTACTCCAAGACCAGCAACCCCGAGGGTGACGGCGGCTACAACAAGACCGGTGGTGCCAACCCCTGCCCGGCCAAGGACTCCCCCAACTGGGACGTTGATGGAGACTCGCTGCCCGCCATCCCCGAACCCGCGAAGAAGTACATGACCGAGGGCGCTGGCAAGGGCGCTGGATTCTCCGGCTCTGGTAGCATGAACGCCGGCACTGCGTCCACCAGCACAGCGACCCCCGGCTCGGGCTCGGCCAGCTCGTCGAGCTCCAGCTCCGGCTCCAGCGGCACCTCGACGAGCTCCACGGGCGCTGCTGCTGGCCTGCAGGTTCCCGGCTTCGCCATGGCCCCTGTGATGGTGGGACTGGTGACGGTGCTGTCCACCGTGTTTGGTGCCGGACTCGTCCTGTTGTAAGGAAGAAGAGTCGTGTGGATGATATTTTGTATCTTTCCGTGCGTTGGTTCTTTGCGTTGCGCCTCTTTTCCTCTTTTCCTCTTCTTTTCTTTTTCTTCTTTTTGTTTGCTGCCGGAAGGGGGTTTTAAGTAGTGCCGGGTGGGTCTCGGCGCGAAGCAGCATTCTGACATGTGTACAGTTGGGTTGGACCATCCTTAGCCGGTGCCAGTCGATGTGTAGAGTATCTAGTAATGAACGGAACCCAGGTAGCATCCCTGCTTTTTTCATGCTTTCCTACTTTCCCACTTGGTGACTGGCTGGACAGTGTACGGAAGAAAACCGAATAATCATCCTAATCCTGTAGGCTGGCCAGGTGGGCCCACCCTTGGAGGGCGGACCAGAGTTTTGCAGGGAAAATAGATTGCAGCGCTGCTGGTCTGACACTTTGCCCGTTTCAGGTTTGGCCGCCCGAGGATCTGGCTGAGTTGCTGTCTCCATCTCCCCCCCGTCGCAGCACTCGTGCTCCTGGCCAACTCCCTCTCTCAGTCTATCTTCACTATCCATCCCATCTAGCTACCCCTCATCATGTCACGGTCAGTCTTGCTAGCAGACCCATTGGGGGTCCTGGCCGGTAAGTCACTCCTGGTCCCTGAACCTGGCCCAAGATCTCCCCCTGGCTCATCTTTTAATAGATCCATAGCCAGTGTCCCTCCTCGACGGGTGGATTCCCGGACATTGTCCTGCATCTTGGCGGCCCTCCCAGTCTTTCCCCTACAATAGTTAGAGAGAAAGAGAGACAGAGGCCATCCTAGTGGCACTCGGTCAATTCCGGTGGGACCCCGTTCACGGAGAGAGACGGTGGATGTGTCGAGGCCAATAGTACCCCCCCAACTCCGTGAGAATGAAGCCAATGAGGAGGACGGGTTTAGTGAGCAATCCACCACAGCGCGAACTTCACGGAGGAGGGGTGTTTTGTTTAAATGGGCTTGGCTGAGAACGAGCACCTGGGCGCCATCATGCTCAAACCACGGCGGCCGTTGTGTGAAACTCGCGCCGTTTAGTGAGGCTTGGCATGTCCCACTGCTGAAGATAAACCTCCCAGCTAGAAGCGCTCTAGCAGTCCCGCCGGAAATTGCTTATCTTGCCTCGAACCACTGACAGCCGCCATTCCCCTGTCAGAATGGAGGCCGATGGCCGAGAATGCCCTCATCCATGCCTCCTTCGGGCGTCTGAAGAGTGGGCGTCTGCCCAGCCAGTGTCCACTCTCTCAATTTCTTCAATGCGTTAGCCTTGCCCTCCGCCCTCCCCCTTCAATATGATTATCATATCACCACCGTTTAATGGCTCCGCTCTCCATGTCAAGGCCGTCGGACCATCCCCACGCACCCTTCCCTCGGTTCCTATATATCAATGGCTCTCGCCGCGGCCAGCATGGATTCCTCTCTTCCTGTTCTCTTCCCCATCTTCACTTCACTCTTGCTTGAGAGTTTCCATTCTTTTCTTTTGGCAACTTCTTTTTTGCCGCCATTCTTTCTTTCTTGGGTTGCTGCTGGGCCAGCTTGACATACCCAATTCCTTGACACTCTTTTTTCAATCTTCGTCTTCTTCCTTTCGTGGCCTATCCTTTCAAATTTGCGCTTTTCTGCATTTCGGGTAAATCCAGGAAAAGATGCGTTCCGTTCTGCTTAGTGGCGTGGCCGCCCTGAGCTACGCTTTGGGCGTCTCGGCCAATGCCTACAACACCTCCGCCTATACCGATTCGGCCTCTGGCATCGACTTCCAGAGATGGTGTGATACCGACGATACCGGTTTCTGTTTCGGTATCGCCCTGCCCGAGGATGTCAGCACCGACTTCATCGGTCAGCTGACCGTCCCCCTGTCCAGCTCCAAGGGTTGGGGTGGTGTCAGTATGTCGGGTTCCATGACCAACGTCCTCCTGATTGCCGCCTGGCCCGATGGTGATTCGGCCGTGGGTACTCTGCGTGAGGCCACGTCCTATGTCTCCCCATCTGTCTACAGCGGTGATGCTTCGATCGAGGAGATCCCCGACGGCACCTCCGTCAACAGCACCTACCTGACCTACACCTTCCTGTGCAAGGGCTGCATCATCGGTCAGCCCACCACCTTCGACGCCAACTCGACCCAGTACTACTTCGGCTGGGCTCTCAGTGCCTCCAACCCCACGACTCCCTCCTCCGCCTCCTCCAAGATGCCCTACCACGCTGCCGGCTATGGTGGTTTCGAGGTGCAGCTGGCCAACGCCAAGTCGTCCAAGTACTCCACCTGGGCTTCCAAGGCTGTCTCGACCCAGTCCACTGCTACTTCTGCTTCCGCCTCCTCCAGTGCCTCCGCATCCGCCTCTCCCTCCGCCAGCGTTGCCGCCACCGTCTCAAACACGACCTACGATTACATTGTTGTCGGTGGTGGTGCTGCTGGTCTGGTTGCCGCTGAGCGCCTGGCCGAGACCAAGAAGAGCGTCCTGCTCATCGAGCGTGGTGTGGCCCCGACCGTCGAGCTGGGTGCTACCGACTCCCTGTCATGGAACTCTTCCATCACCGCGTACGACCTGCCGGCTCTGGGCACCTACATCCAGAGCTCCGACTACGTCAGCCAGTACCTCTGTGATGACACTGCCGGTATGGCTGGTTGTGTTCTCGGTGGTGGCACCATCGTCAACGCCATGTCTTTCATCTACCCCCAGGAGGCTGATTTCGACGACAAGTGGCCCACCGGCTGGAAGTGGAAGGACGTCAAGGCTGCTGCCGAGCGCCTCTACGCCCGCAACCCCGGTAGCACCCTCCCTTCGGCTGATGGCAAGCGTTACGACCAGGGCATGTACACCGTTCTCTCCTCTTTCCTGAAGGGTCTCGGCTGGAAGTCTGTCGACTCTCAGGAGCAGCCCAACGAGAAGCACATGGTCTACAGCTACCCCTCCTGGGATGTCGGCAATGGTATCCGTGCCGGTCCTGTCCGTTCCTACCTGCCCCTGGTCGAGGACGCTGACAACTTCCACATGAGCCTGAACACCAAGGTCCGCCGCGTCGTCCGCCGCGGTGGTCGCATCACTGGTGTTGAGGTCGAGACCTCCTCTGGCAGCGTCGAAATCATCAATGTCCGCGCCGGTGGTAAGAGTTGTTCTTGCTGCTGGTTATATGTCCACTCCCCGTATCCTGTTCAACTCCGGTATCGGTCCCTCTGAACAGATCAAGACCGTCCAGAGCGGCAGCACTGGCATCACCGTGCCTCCCTCCGATGAATGGATCAACNTGCCCGTCGGCGAGAACCTCCGTGACCACCCCATGTTCACTGTCACCGTCAACACCAACAGCAACTTCACCCACTTCAACACCTCCAGTGCCGTATCCGACCCCGCTGCTCCCATCCGCAACCTCTACGCCGAGGGCTCCGGTGTCCTGACTCAGGGTGGCCACCGTCTCCAGTTCTGGACCTCCAACGTCGGCACCGACGGCGTCACTCGCTTCTACCAGGCCTCCTGCAGTACCACCGAGGATGGTGTCATCACCATGAAGCTGTACCTCACCCACGGTGCCACCTCCACCGGTGTTCTCGGCATTGACTCGACCGGCTCCACCACCATCGAGACTTCCCCTTACCTGAACACCGCCGCCGACAAGGAAGCCCTTACCCGCTTCCTCAACGGCCTGATCGCCGACATGAAGAACTCGACCGCTGGCTTCTCCATCCAGGGTAGTGCGACCGCGTCGAGCATCCTGGACAAGCTGACTGCCGGTGACCACTACGTTGGTACTGCCAAGATGGGTGTCGACGATGGCCGTGAGAGCAATGGCACCTCCGTTGTTGACCTCAACACCAAGGTCTACGGTACTGAGAACTTGGTACGTTAACCACTCCCCTATTTCCTTCTGTCTGAGACCATCTCTTCTAACCTCATATCTGCAATAGTACATCGTCGACGGCAGTATCCACCCCGACCTTCCCACCGGTAACTCCCAGGCCATCATCCAGATCGCCGCCGAGGCCGCCGTTGCCCGCATTATCGCCCAGGGCACCAGCGCCACCTCTGCCTCCGCCTCTGCCTCCGTCTCCGTTGCTGCTTCCACCCAGGCCGCCTACGCCTCGACTACTTCCGAGGCTGCTGCCGCCACCGAGACCGAGACCGCGGCCGTCACCTCCACTGAGGCTGTCACCGCCTCTGCCGTCCCCACCACCGGTACCATCTCGTCTACCACCGGCTCTTCTTCCTCCTCCTCTTCTTCCTCCGCTGGTTCCTCCAGCGAGTCGGAGAGCAGCACCGGTGCTGATGACAACGAGGGTGATGATGATGACGAGGAGTACGACTGCGACGACGAGGATGATGAGGATGACAGCAGCAGCGGAGTCGAGACCTCCGAGTCCGTGACCTCCAAGGTCGCCGTGGCTACCTCTGCCGCTGCTGACTCGGGTGCCTCTACCACCACCGTGTGGGTGACCTCGACTGCCTGGACCACTACCACTGATATGGTGGTGGCTACCAGCACTTCGACCGTGACTGTCTGGCCCACCTATGCTTAGATGGGTTGATCGATTCAAGGCCGTGACGGGAATGGAAAAAGGGGCGCAAACCTTGACTGTAGTTCCAGGCCCGTTCCGTTCTCTGTTTGTGTATCTATCTATCTATTTTTTATATATAGAATTTACTTTTATCTATTCTTTCATAAGTTCTACGCGTAATATGAAAGCAGATTGTAGTAGTGGAGTGTGGGCGTTGACCTTGTATATGGTAAGAAAGAAACTCGCGGCATGTATACATGTAGAGTAGTACTACTAAGTTACGTAGTATTCATTAAATCAGGCGAACTCTGGGGCTACTTGCTAGTAATCTAACAACAAGCATATTATAATAACAATCTAGGATAAACACTATTGCAATGGTGCTTGGCTTAGCTATCTGTACCGCACTGATTAGTTGTACTCGATGTCCACTCGCTAACCTACTAAAGCAGTATGTACCATGGACTAGGCAAGTACATAGTAGTTGGAGGACTTAAATTGTGGACGAAATGCTACTACTACGGACAAAGACACTTCCGCACCGTAGTAACAACCTGGTTAGGCCACCCCCCACCAAATCCGACATGTGTAGTTTCTGTTCCTGCACAGTACTAAGTTCAGATGTCGTTTTACTTATCTAGACATGCTTTGAAGGGTCTGGATGCCAGTCTGTCTCAAGTTTAGGATCTCAGATATCGAAATCATCGTCTCATCAATTGTAATCGCATTTTGACACAGTAGGTAATGAACCTTATGCAGTAAAATCAATTCAGCCTGCCCCATGCTATATACATGCTCATGCTCATGCACATGTAATGCAATGCAATGCTCTCTACTAGCGGAACCCGTCAAGTAAGTAGATAGATAGACAGATAGGTGCTGTTGATCCCGACCAGTGGAGTCCATGTGGCCAACTTCAACCGTCACAGTTCGTGTTTCTCATAACTTCATATATAGAACCCTTCCCCCCCGGATCATTTTTTCGGACTTGATCCCTCCCACCACCGCCCCTATCCGAACGACCCTCTCGTATCTCCACAGAATTAAGATTCGATCTGCAAGACACAAGAGGATCCACAAATGTTAGAGCACACCACCATCGTGGTGATCGTCGTGTAACCAATCCCAATCGTTCCCCTGGAAGACGGGATCTGCCGCGAGCATTGTCGCACTGACGTCATCTAATCCCATTTCATCGAGCGCGTAGATGGCATTGCTATCTGCAAAGGATACGGCCAGGTCGCTGTACATGCGATGCGCGTCCACAAGCAATGGATTCGCCATGGCCATGGCCATGCTGTCATGGGTGGCGGCCATGGAGCAGAATGATGGCGGGAGGGATGCGATTGGTGGTGGCGAGAGATATCCTGCTGCTGTTGCCGTAGTACACCCTGGGAGAGTCGTCGCAGCGGAAACAGAGGCGTATGCGCCAGCCGCAGCCGCAGCCGCAGCAGCAGCAGGAGGAAGGGGGGAATTCGCACTCGCGGCGGCACTAGTACTCGGCGAGATTGACGGCCGCGGCGCAATGGGTAAAAAGGTCGTCGGAGACGCCGAGAGTCGCGGAGAACGGCCAGCAGCTCGCTAGAAGCCACTATATCAGCCTGAACTGCACCAAAAGCCATTGCCCCATGGGTGGAAATCATGTGATGTGGAAAGTATGGTGAACGTGTACTTTTGAGGATGAAGAAGGATGATGATGTTCGGTCTCACGTTTGAGCTTTGCGTGCTCTTCGGGGCTTTCGCAGGGAGTGCAGTTGCAGATGGAGCAGGTCGCAAAGGGACGACCTTTGCGGTTGATGCGGATTAGGGGTCGATCTTGATGTGTGTATCACGGTGAGCATGGACGGAGGGAGACCAGAAAAACGATGGAGGAGAAGAGAATAATTACCATTGTGTTTGCAGGTGGTCACACGATGGCCGCGGACACAAGCTTCACATGCCCACTTTTCGCCGTCGATGAGCATTCCTTCGGATTAACGATTGATGGGTGAGGGGAGTAAGAAGAAGGAGGAGGAGGGAGGAAGAGGAGCGGATGGGCATGATGGTGGTGGTAAGTCAATGGGAGGGAAGGGAGGATTTATACGTAGAAAGTGGGTGGAGGTGATGATAGCGAAGGGAAGGGAAAAGAAAAAATAATTAGTTGAATATGACCAAAAAAAATCCAGGTGAGAGGAAAAAGAGGGTAAACAGCTACGTAGGGGAGGAGCTTAGACCAGCTAGACACTAGATGGGGGGAAGAAAAGAAGGGGAAGAGCTGGCACAGCCACGGATCGACTGCATGGATGGAGATGTCATTTCATCTCGGTTGGGAGATTAGTTGGTAGCAGAGAGGGTAGTTGTGGGTGGTAGAATGAGGTATAGCCATGAGGGATTTTAGAATATTCGGGAGGGCAAAAGGATGAGGATCCCCGGGTTTCGATTAGCAAGAGAATGAGCAAAGGACCCAAGTGGAGAGGAAGTAAGAGTGGTAGTAAGTAGTTAGTAGTAAGTAGTAGTGAGTAGTGAGTAGTGAGTCGGCAGGGAGGATGATGAAGCCAGTGGTACTTTTCACTCCGACGGGCCTCCACCGTGATATCAGCAAGAATCCTACTATAGTCACGGCTTCTCTACTAACTAACCTGCACACAGTAAGTCGTATAGTATAGTATGATGGCAACGAAGGACAGAATGCGGCATTTTCCCAGCCAGCTTCCCGACGAGCTGCCCCATCGGTGCTAGTCTTCTGCTTCCAATGGATGGCCCAGCAAATTCCCGCATACAATCACCTCGCCAGTGCCACGTTCTGGCTCCGTCTCATTTTTCTGCCTTTTTTTTTCTCTCGCTCGGCTAGACTCACAATTTTTTTCTTGTCTATCGCCAAATTGCTGTTGCCTGAAAGTTCAGGGTCTGACTGAACAGAAGGACTAATCAGTTGCCTCAAAACTGCAGGGCAATTGGACCCCAGAGTGAGAACAACAGTACCTCCAAACTACCTACTTAGTACTACTTACTAGTTAGTTACTAGCTAAAAAAGTTACCTCGGGATCACAGCATATGACAACTCTCTTATCCTCCGACACCACACACACTCACAACACTCACACACTCACACAACCCTTACCCACCAGCCACCTGGTCGTTAACTAATCTGGAGGTGGCTGAGCAACACCTGAGCTTACTTCCATCAAGATTAGTCGCAACTCGCTAATCCTCGCACGAGCCAACTGCGTGATTATTCGCTCGACTTCATTGGCTGCGCGGATCACGGTTTGGCTGCAGGATCCTTCCAAGCTGGCTGCAGCTGCAGCTGTCTCTCTTTCCCTCTTCCTCTCTTGTCGTCCGAGCTTTTTTGTTTTCCCTTTCTACCACTGCAGGTCTTGTCAGTCGGTCATCCATCCATCCATCCCCGGGTAAATCACGAAAATTTTTTTTTTCCACCCGCGGCTGGCTGGAGGGACGTAAGTTAGTTACTAGTCTAGCACGGTAAAGTAGCTTTTGATTGTAGATCATCTTTCCCGATCGGAATCTCGGAATCCCTTTTTTGGTGTTTCCTGGTTTTGCTATCAGAAAATTCTTATCAGAAATAGGGCCTTATTCCCTCCCTCCCTCTTTTCTTTCTTTCCCTCTCCAATCTCGAATTTCTTTCCATCTGCTCACTATACCTTGTCTTAAGAGCGTATCGATGACTCCGCTGCCATATTTTACGGCTTGTCTTACGTCTGCCTACACATGGAATATTGAAATGATACCAGCACGACACACCTCGTGGAGGGATAAAACGAAACCCAATAGATGACCATGTCATGCCATATACACAACGCGCAGTTCAACCCTATGTACAGATAGTTCCATTCACCCCACATCCACTACTACCTCTGCTGCACTGTGCACGGTGCACTTCTCAGCACACATCTACCTGCCACTTAGGAATATGCCTGAGGATATAGACAAGTAGCCAAAAACAACAACGGCCAAAACCAAAGCAAGCCAAGATACAAACAGACCAGCTCCCAGGCTTCCCGATGCAATGTAACAATAACAAGAAAAATCCACAAATAACCTATGTGAAAGGTGCAGCATGCCCATGCAATACTTCCACCTAGTCCCCAACTGGAGGCAGGTAGGGGAAATATCATCACACCTCCTGAATATAGTTCGCCGGTACGCTCTTCGTCACGCCACCCCGCTCAACATCCGCCCATCCATCTCCGCCATCCCGATTCACCAGCACAAACCGGTCGCCCTCCACCATGCTCCATTCCATGTCGCTGCGCGCCTCGTAGTCATACAGCGCTTCCACATACTGGAGTTTCTTGGCGCCCCGGCGCGGTGCCACGGCTGGTCCGACCCGTTTGTTGCCCCCGGCGCCACCGCCGCCCGTCAACGAGGCCGACGAGTTCGAGTACGTCGAGCCCGGCCGGTCAGCCGTAAAGCCGGGGCTGGCGGACGGCACCGGCGAAGGTGCGGGACCAGCTTCCACATACGAAGCAGGCACGAGCCCTTCCTCGCTGCCGAACCGGACGCGCATCCAGCCGGATCCATCTATAATGCATCGGTCAGTTTGTTACCGGTAAAGAGTTGGGGAAAAAGGCATACCGTCTGGCTCTAGAATGACTATATCATCTCCCTCTTGAACAGTGACCTCGTCAGCCCCGCCGGCTTGGTATGCGTAGAGCATCTTGCCGTGCTGCTCGTTGGCCTTGGAGCTTAGCGCCGGCGTCGAGTCGTTGGCCGGCGGACCGCTGATGTACTGTGCCGGCGGCGGTGCAAGAATGCGGTTCTTCCGTGCTGGGGCGGGTTTGGTCTCCGCCACGGGTGTGGGAAGCTCGGCGGCGGTCGTGGTAGGAGACTGTGTGGCATTCGACATAGATCGGTTGGCGCTAACCGCGTAGCCTGAGCTCAACGAGTTCATCGTGTCTTTGCGGGTAAGCGATGGCGCCGTGGATGAGCTCGTAGTTGGCTCGAGATCAAGTGGCGCTGGCGCGGTGTTGGCTTGTTCTTGTCGCTCCGCCTTCAGCTTCTTCTTTTCTTCCTTGGTCTGCTCGCCCGGGCACTCGGCTGGGACCTTCATTTCACATTTACTGTGACAGGTGTATCCGCAGTCGCGGCAGTCGAAGCCCTTGGCGGACAATCCCCATATCCTCTCCCCGCACAGGTCGCAGTTGGTCGGGATCTTGAACGTCTGCGACTTGAAATTGTGGTTGCGCGCTCCGAGCGAAAGATCGCCCACCGCCGACATGATGGTAGAGGTTTCCACCTCGGCCGTCAGGCGCCTGCGGTCAACTTCATGCAGGGATTCCTGTTGGAAGAATATAGCTCGGACAACTTCCACCTCGTTGCGCTTGTCCGTGCCCTGCCGGATGTTTTCCCGGACCCGCCTGGCGTTTTCCACCTCGCGTCGCTTGGAATCGGCCTCGACCCTTAGTTCCCGCACCTGTGTCTTGCTCTTGCTGAGGAGGTTGCGCAGGAAGACCTTGGCCGCCTCGTCGGTGATGAGAGCGTCGTCGTCGTGCCAGATCGGGCTCGGCTCGAAGGCCAGGTTGGCCGGCTCCTGTGATTGTGTGACATTGTGGCGCAGGAACATCAGCGAGTCCAGGTGTGGAACGTTGCGCGGAATCTCGTTGATGAGGTTTGCCATGTGGTCCATACTCTTGGAGAGGTAATTCTTCTCGAGTTGTGCGGCCATTGTCCAGAGTGAGTTCAGCTTCGTTATACGCGTTTCGTTGAGGTCTTGCAGGCCCTACACGGAAGGTTAGCAAATTGTATCCAACCAGTCAAAGCAAACTTACATCAAGTAGCTCCGGCACATATTCGTGGTAAAATCGCTCTTTCATCTTGTTCGTCACGTTGATGCTAATGAGATATGTGTTCTGCAATGCCGTCAGCGAGTAGCCTTCTCGCATCATCGTAATAACCTACCTTAACGTTGTTCATCTCCAATATCTGTTGCTGATAGGCCGCCTGGGCCTTGGGCTTGCTGTGGTCGAACGAGGATTCCATCTTCTTCCGTCTTGCCTCAACTTCCTGGCACGCGCCATCATATTTACCCTTGGCCTTCTTCAGGTCACTATACGAGGAGTCCCTCTCCTTTTCCAGTTTGGCGTGGAAATCCACATGACACTTCCTGAGCTCCTCGTACTGGGTCGCAGCTTGTTTGAGCGGCTCTGCGACGTGGACGAGCAGGTCGTTACCGAAATGATCCCGCTCAGTGGCATGCGCTTCCACGGCGCTCAATTGCGTCGACCACGTGGTGAGGGAGGCACTTTCAAGGGAGCCCGGGGTCATGCTAGGGGTGTCTCCGACACTCAAACTGCTGATTTTCTTGGCCTTGCGGTCGTAGTACTTCTTGCATAGTGCCGTTAACTTTGCCGCATACTCCTTCTCGATTGCGCTGCGCTCGCGGTAAAACTGTTGTATCTCGTCCAGCCATCCGATACCATTCGACACCTAGCAAGCGACATCTTAGTTCTCGATCCATAGGGTTTCGGCGATCATCCGAGGTGTTCAGCTTGAAGGGGTGAGGAGGCGGGAAGAGGGAAGTAAGTGCCTACCCAATTGTTGACCGGTTTAAACGAATCCTGCCAAGGTCCTCGATTAGCTGGAATCTGGGGTTGATGCGACAGAGTTATGTCATACCTTCAACTCCGCCCCAAAGTGAGGGGCGACATCCGGGGTAGCCATTCTGTTAGATGGTCAGCTTGTCGGAGGTCACGCCGCAGGGAGACAAGGCGGAGATGGGACATGAAAGACTCAAAAATGCGTCGGCCTAGCGAGTCGCAAGTCCAACCACAAGAGCGAATGGAGCAGCCTAACTTACCTTCCACGTGCGGAACAGCCGTTGGCGACCGTGTGTGCTCCGTAGTCCGTACAACCGGATGGTGGGTAGGGGGGGATCGGGGAACCAGGAATCGTTGCCAGGCGCGGCTGGAATGGCTGGAGAGCGATGGGAAGCGGGGAAAGATGACCATACCTGACAGCCTCAGGCTGCCTGTCAGGCCACGTTGAGCCTCCCATGCTCGGCCTGAGCTTCCCTACGTCATCCCCTCCCCGGCAAGTATCCGTATGGTATCGTAAGCGGTATGCTTTCGGTCTCACCGCCTCCTGATCCCGTTAGACTGCAGCTACTCGGCTGCTCGCCCAAACAGGCCTAGCGTCGATCCAAGGCGGTCGGCCGTGTTGGTTTTTCGACCGTCATCGTGATGGGAGCTTCCTTTTAGCCATTGCTGCTTTGCCCGGGTGTTGAACAATCAATCGCCGTTCCTCTTCCATCGTCGAATTCGGCACCGTGGTGAACGTGTCATTCTTTTCTCGTGTGCGCTTGATTTGCTGTGTTGAGCGGTTGATTCCTGTTTCAGCGCGCTGTTGATTACCCCGCCATCTCTCCCCTCCAACTGGGAAACACGACCAACGACTTGCATCCGAAACATCATCTTCGACCCCTTACCTCTACTCACTTTACGGATCTTCTATACATCATCAGAATGGCTTCTGAACAACCTGAGGCCGGTTCTCTTGCGGACCGCATCACCAAGCCGGAGGAACCTGCCCCTGCTGGTACGATATTTGTCTACTTCTATGCCACCGCTCGTTTCACTTCCATGTCACTTTCTTACCAATCCCTATCGGACCCTGACTTATGCGATCATCTTGTGCAGAAGCTCCCGAACAGACCGAAGACATCCCTCAGACCGATGGTGCTGCCGCCCAGCAGGGTGGCTCCGATCTCCATGAGCCTGACTACACCGTTGAAGTCAAGCTCAGCGATCTCCAGGCCGACCCGAATAACCCCCTTTTCTCCGTAAAGAACTTTGAAGATCTCGGCCTGTGCGTGGATCCGTCAATCTCGGTTGTTGTGCTGCTACACTAGGGTGCTAACCCATCGTGAAATCAGGGACCCCCGTATCCTCCAGGGATTGTCGGCAATGAACTTCCGGAAACCCTCCAAGATCCAAGAGAGAGCCCTCCCGCTGCTACTTGGCAACCCCGCCAAGAATCTGGTCGGTCAGTCTCAGTCCGGTACTGGAAAGACTGCGGCCTTCGTCCTGAACATCCTCAGTCGATTGGACCTCTCGTCGGAGCAGTTGCAAAAGACCCCCCAGGCGTTGATCCTGGCCCCCACACGAGAGCTGGCTCGTCAGATTGTTGGTGTCATTCAAGTTATGGGCCAGTTCCTTGATGGGCTCGTTATTGGTACCGCTGTGCCGGCAGATACCGGCGCACGCCCGGCCAAGATGGAGTGCTCCGTCGTTGTGGGTACTCCTGGTACTGTTATGGACATGATTAAGAGGCGCATCATGATTGCGAACAAGCTCCGCGTGCTTGTTCTCGACGAAGCCGACAACATGCTGGACCAGCAAGGTCTGGGTGACCAGTGTATCCGTGTGAAGGCGTCAGTATCTCTACTTTTACGCTTTGCGCCACTCGTACTAAAGTCCATCCAGTTTGTTGCCTAGGGATATCCAGGTCGTCCTCTTTTCCGCTACCTTCCCTGCTCACGTCCACGAATATGCGTCCAAGTTCGCTCCTCAGGCCAACGAGATTACCCTCCAGCACGAGGAGTTGACCGTCGAGGGTATCAAGCAGCTGTACCTGGACTGCTCGAATGACGAGGACAAGTACCAGACCCTTGTCAATCTCTACGGTCTGCTCACCGTCGGCTCGTCCATCATCTTCGTTAAGGTTTGTTCACGTCCTCTACAACATTGCAATGTCTCTAACGGGGGATTAGACCCGTGCTTCGGCCCAGGAGATCGAAAAGCGCATGGTTGCCGAGGGTCACACCGTGGCATCTCTTACCGGTGGCATTGAGGGTTCGCAGCGTGATGCAGTCATTGACCAATTCCGTGCCGGACACGCGAAGGTCTTGATTACGACCAACGTGCTTGCCCGAGGTATTGATGTCTCGACTGTGTCCATGGTTATCAACTACGTAAGCAATGCCCTTTCGATGATCGTTGCGGGTTGAAATGCTAATGACGCATCCTAATAAATAGGATATCCCTGAGATCCACCAACCCGGCGCCCGTCAACGACAGGCCGACTTCCAGACCTACCTGCACCGTATTGGCCGTACGGGACGTTTCGGCCGCGTGGGTGTATCCATCTCCTTTGTGTCCAACCGGGAAGAGTGGGAGATGCTCAACCAGATTCAGAGATACTTCAACACCAACATCCAGCGGATTGACACCAAGGACTGGGACGAGGTGGAGGAGATTATCAAGAAGACGATCAAGAGCTCGCGTGCTCAGCTCGGCTTCCGGTAGAGCGAGTCCGACACATCCTCGATGCGACGCTGCTGTCCGATGGCGGTCGCTCAATCGTGTCGATTGGAAGCGATTGGATTAAGATATGACTATGGTTGAAATGTGGATTGCTTATGAAGAGTTATGAGGATTTCTTTGTGTTCAAATGAAAGTCAGATTAATAGATACCAGTCGAATGCTCATTCCATGGGTGTTTTTGTGGCTTTGGGTCATCATTCCCAGCCAACCATTACTAGTTCCCTACCAGAAGACCGACAGGGGAGGGCCATGTGACCCAGGCGGGTCCCGTGATTCGGTGTCCCAAAGATGCCGCCATTCGGTTAATCGTGGAAGGGGGGATCCGTAGCCATGGAATCGGTCGCTCATTTATTGGCGATGATGGCCGTAATAGCTCCCTTGTAGCATTGTCGCCGCGCTTCCCCGCGGAACTCCAAGCGGACCGGAATGAGGGGTCGATCATCCGCATCGCCCTCGGCGTCATCGTGCATCCGCAACTTGACCGTGAGTAGGACTGCAAAACAACCGCCGGATCGGGCCTCTGTCCATCCTGATCTCGTTTTACCCAGCAAGAGAGAACCGGGTATGATAGACCAGACAACCAGGGTTCTGCATACTCCGGACCCAACCGGGGACAGATAAGGCCAGGGGGCGTGAACGATAAGGAGTCAAGTGCGGAGAATGAGGGAGAGATGAGGCAGTAAGATTGAGAATCGGGCCCAAGTCACATGCAGCAGGCATGCAGCGACACCCATCGTCGCCCTGTTTTTCTTGCCCCCTCCTCTCTTCATTCTTAATTCTCTCTTTTCTCTTCCCTTCTTCCATCCTCTTCTTCTCATCTCCCCTGACTCCCTACAGCCTATTCCTTCCCCGCATCGTCGTCCAGCATCATGTTGGTGACCGATACCTCTATCAAGCCCACTTCCGACGAGGCGACGGCCCAGTCACCGACAACACCAAGCTCGCCGACTCACTCCAACTCCCGTTACAGTACGCATATTGTGGTAAGTTTGTGGTGATGTCTTCGACTAATGTGGGCAAGAATCCTTACCGTGTGAGTTAGTTGACTACATACCCCGGCCAAAGTGGCATCGACCCCATTCCGCTCGAATGGGGCGCCCCAGATGCCAAATCCCGCGGCCCCGTCGTTGTCTCCCGCAGCTCCGCACTGCTTAAGCGACGGAATGCCATGGGCGCTCATGGTGGCAGTTACAGCATCTACAACGCCCTCGCCATCGCCGCCGGTGACCTGGAACCGAACTTCCGCCCCGACCTCAGCAACAGCCAGCCCACATTCAACTTCCCATGGCAGCCGGCCTGGGCCGATAAGACCAAGATTGTGTCCATGGACCCGTGGGGACATGACATTGTTAACCAGTTCCGGGACGAGCTAAGCAAGGGCTGGGATATCCGCCCCACAATGGCGGTGACTCGCGCGAACATGAACTTCGCGGAGATCGCCGAGGCGGTGAAGGAGGGGAAACTCGAAGTAGACGGGTCGATTGTGGTTGATTCCTCCGGTGAGGTGCGCGTCACTAAAGTCGCCGTCGAACCGGTCTGGTATCTACCTGGTGTCGCAGAGCGCTTCGGAGTTGATGAGGGCACGCTGCGGCGGACGCTATTCGAACACACGGGCGGGAGTTATCCCGAATTGATCACCCGGCCCGATCTGAAGGTCTTCCTCCCTCCCATTGGAGGCCTGACGGTTTATATCTTTGGGCCACCGGAGCGGGTATCCGATGAGAATGTGAAATTGGCATTGCGTATTCACGACGAATGTAATGGCAGTGATGTCTTCCAATCGGACATCTGCACCTGCCGACCGTACCTTGCGTTTGGTATCCGGGAGGCGATTCGCGAAGCGCAGAGTGGAGGCAGCGGAGTGGTCATCTACTTCCGAAAGGAAGGTCGAGCCCTGGGTGAGGTGATCAAGTACTTGGTCTACAATGCTCGCAAGAGAGGCGGTGATACCGCCGACAAGTACTTTACGCGGACGGAGAACATTGCCGGCGTTAGAGACGTAAGCTGTGGAAATCTTGTAGATGGAACTATCAGACTGACCTTAAACCCCAGATGCGCTTCCAAGCTCTGATGCCCGATATCCTGCACTGGCTCGGCATCAAAAAGATCGACCGCATGCTGTCCATGTCCAACATGAAGCACGACGCCATCGTCGAGTCGGGGATAAAGATCCTGGAGCGTATTCCGATCCCGGACGAGATGATTCCGACAGATTCGCGTGTCGAAATCGATGCGAAGATCAATGCTGGTTACTTCACAACCGGGAAGAATGTCACGGCGGAAGACTTGGCTGCTGTGCGCGGACGAGGATGGGAGAAGTGGGAGGATATCACGGTATGTTTTATCATAAGAGTGGACCTTGGATGAGGACCTTGCTGACAAGTCTAGCACTAATTGCGGTTTCAACCTACACTTACGACAAACCTACGAGTCTTCGGGTACATGATATTAATTTGGTTGGCGACGACGCATGGCTTGCGCAGCATTTCGGGTCATGAAGCGACATTTGTTTGCATGATTTGCATGAGCTATATAAGATGTATAGAAAATCAAAAAAAGGTTAAAATGGGCAGCTATCTTCTGTTGCCGGTGTACTTCTGCAATGGGTATATAGTATCGAGCATGCCACATCTATAAAGCCTCGGCCTTCATGACCGTAGTGTACATCTTCATATCCAACTGGCCAAGTCATTACATAGTACCATCCCTTTCCCCACTCCCATCCAAGAACCTCGTCCCTCCTTCATTGGCCACACCATCATGGTCCCCCTTGAACGCAGCCCCGGACAACATATGAAACTTCTTCTCTCGTTTATCTAGTCACGATTAGCCACATCCTCAAATCACAAAGATTCGAGTTTTAAACTCACCAGCAAACACTTTCCTTACCCCCTTCTTGACAACCGTAATACATGCAGCCAGGATCCCCACATTCACCTCAACCATAGCCCACAGAGCCAGTAAGCTAAGATTATGCATAAATGATGACCTGCTCTCCTCCTCGTTGTTGTACGAGACAACAATCGTGAAATATGTCCTGGCGATAGAAATGGCGGTTACACTATCCATCAATCCCATTAGTACCTCGGCACCGCGTGATAGTAGTATGAGAGGAGCAGGGACAGGACATACTAAATCCCCACAATATAAAGCCCTATCGTGCCTATTTTCCTCCCTATCCACATCTTCAACCCCGCAATAACAGGGATGGGAATGATAGTGATTAGTATGTTTGTAATTAGATCCGTGATTGTATATAGGGTCAGTAGAGTACCCCTGTTTGTGCTTGCGCAGGTGTTACTGTCATTGGCAGCCTCTGACAACCATATACTGGGAACATGGCTACCGCACTGGAGAATCGTTGCTAGGATGAAGGCGACGACCCATAGTGTCACGGCAGCAATGAGGATAGTACATAGTCGATGAATAGGGTGGGTACTAAAGACACGTTTCCATAGAGTAAGGAAGCTGAGTTTTATCAGCCCCAGGGCGAGGATCTCGATGATCTGCAGGGCGAGTTGGTATTTCTTTGCTTGGACTTCAGTCTGAGCTGTGGGTTGGGTGTAGTTTGCGATGACGTCGCGGGATGTTCCCGCTAGTAGAGTACCATTGTATACCAGGGTGAATAGCTGTTTCGATGTTAGATAACTTGTTTCCAACATAGCTAGTTAGCTATTGGTAGTGTCACGCTTACCAGCGCAGCAAGCGCCAGCCAGTCATCCGCAAGTAGATCTAGCCGCGCTAGTCGTCGCGCGTAGAACCGAAGCGTCACGGACAATATAGATGTCACTGTGAAGACGGAAGTTACTGCCAGGAGCGCTGAGGGACTCGGGGCGCTGGGGGTGGTCCAGTCGTGAGCCATGGCCGGCTGATGTCTCGTGTTCTGGCTCCCGCCAGGAATGGTGCGCTGGCGTCTGGTGTCTCTCGCGACAGATGGAATGTACCTAGGGGATCATGATAGCGGTAGGGGGTGGGGGTTACTAGCTTTCTGGGTTGACTTGTCTATCGCGAGTTTGTGTTTGGAAAGCGAGGTAGTCAAAGAGGACATGTTCGGAGAGCTGCGGTGCAGGATGACGGCGCTAAGACTAGGCTGAGGTTCTGCCGTGGCTGATGCTGGACCCTTGCAGTTGGGGGCCATTTCTGCCTCATTTCTTTCTATTTCGACCATACGGTGTCTTACACTCGGAGGTTAGACGATCTACGGAGGGTTTTATTTCCATCATCTCGCACTTGTATTGTGTACTATGCTCTGGTGTGAAGTGAAGATAGTAGTTAGTTGATGGGGTTGATGCAAGCAACACTGCTCACAGGCTATATATTTAACCTTGCCCACCACAGCTGCAGTCACTGCAATGCGACTCAGTGGAGTCCGGCGCATATACTAACCATCTTTAAAGGCAGTTCATTGCATCCTCAACCCCTCAGCCTGATCCCCGCACCGACTCCGATATCGTTCAGTGCAAAACAGCATTCGGAGTGGCTGCCCGCTGATAAGCGTTCGGGAAGCCATCCCGACCGGATTCTTTTCCATCCCCGCAGCCTCTAAGTATATAATCAGCTCCCCTCCAGCACGTCATTGAACCAAAGATTTACTCAATTGATACCCCTATCTCCTACACACAATCCCCATAGAATCCATAGACCTCACCATCACCATGGGCTCCTCCGTCGCCGTCAACCCCCAGCCTCATATCCCCAAAGCCGGCGTTTGGTGCCCCGCCGTGACCTTCTTCGATCACAGCACCGACACTATCGACCTCGATGCCCAAAAGAAATACTACCAGTACCTCTCGACCACCGGCCTCGCTGGCCTCGTCATTCTCGGCACCAACTCCGAAGCCTTCCTCCTCACCCGCGAAGAACGCGCCCAACTCATCGCCACGGCCCGTGCCGCCGTCGGCCCTGACTATCCCCTCATGGCCGGCTGCGGTGCCCACTCCACCAAGCAAGTGCTGGAACTCGCCGAAGACGCCGCCGCCGCGGGCGCAAACTACATCCTTGTTCTGCCCCCGGCATACTTCGGCAAAGCCACAACCCCGGCTGTCGTGAAGCGCTTCTTCGCGGACGTCGCGCGCAAGAGTCCCCTGCCTGTCGTGGTGTACAACTTCCCGGGTGTCTGTAACGGCGTGGATCTGGACTCGGAGACCATCACCGCCATCGTGCGCGAGTCGGCAGCATCGAGCACCAATGGGGTCTCGAACGTCGTGGGTGTCAAGCTGACGTGTGGGTCAGTGGGCAAGATTACGAGGCTGGCGGCCACTTTCTCCAAGGAGGAGTTTGCAATCTATGGTGGTCAGTCGGATTTCCTGATCGGTGGCTTGGCTGCGGGCTCTGCTGGGTGCATTGCTGCTTTTGCCAATGTGTTCCCAAAGACGGCATCGAAGATCTATGACCTTTATGTCGCTGGTAAGATCCAGGAGGCAGTGGAGTTGCAGCGCCAGGCGGCGCTCGCGGAGAGTCCTTGCAAGAGTGGAATTGCTGCCACCAAGTACGCAGCTGCGATCTTCTCGGCTCGCGCGGCGGGCATTGAGGGGGCTGAGGAGAAGTTGAAGCCCCGGACGCCGTATGAGGAGCCGGCGGAGGGTGCGAAGAAGGGGGTGCAAGACTTGATGAGTGCAGTGGCAAAGGTCGAAGGAAGTATATAAACTGTATTATTTGAACCATGAAGATATGAGATATGCATACGAATTTAAAATAGCTTGGCTTTCCTAAGATAATAAAGGACAGAACACCTGATCGTTTTGGTTTTGTTGTCGGCCCATAGGCAGCTTCTACTCGCTTTTACCTTCTCAAGTGCATCTTAGTATCGATAGAGTCCGAACTGAGCTTCCAGAGTCCCGAATAGCTTTCAGTCACACGATTGACTTGAGGTGAGTGTTGGTGATCATTGTAATGCTCTAGAACTTGAAGACGTTTAACCAAAAATTCTCTAGTCTTCTAAATAGATAGAAATATATAATATGATGTACTAACTAGATCGGTATCTTGAATTATCTTATCGAGTCATAAATTAAACCACAGACATACAGTCTAGTCCCCCCAACGACGATGAAAAATTCTACATAGAATGGTTATCGTTATCATATGATATTAGTATATGTCTATAATCATATATATTGGAGATCTATTTATCTTATCTAGACATAACTTATTAGATATCTGCAGGAATATCATCTGGGCTGATTGCCATTACACTACCCTGCCACCACGCGACTTTTGATCTCAATAATATCGCTGTAGTCGATCTATCGCCATGTTCTATTGCTGTACAGATCTCGATCGCTTCAATGCCTCTCGCACATCCTGGAGCCCCTTCTTCTGATGACCATCTTGGTCAAAGTTCCCCTCCTCCAGCCACTGTTCCAGCGCTTCCTTGGCCCCTTCCTCCCAGTCATCGCGAACCATTGCGAACCAGGCGGTATCCCGATTTCGACCCTTGACCACCATGTGCTGCCGGAAGGTGCCCTCATAGACGAATCCCAGTCGCTGGGCCGCCTTCATTGAAGGCGCATTGAGGGAGTTGCATTTCCATTCCACGCGGCGATAGTGTAGCTGCTCGAAGGCGTAGCGCGCCAGCAGATAGATCGCCTCGGTCGCAGCCGGGGTGCGTTGCAGCACTGAGGAGAACATGACATGTCCAATCTCCACCGCCCATTGTGCAGGGGTTATCCGCAACAGCGAGATGTATCCAATGGCTTTGCCGCAGCTGGGGCTGGAGGCACGCTTGTCAATTACCGCGAAGAAGAACGGGTCGGGCGAAACCGATCGGGAGGCGATGACTTCCTCGAACGCCTCGCGCTGGGAATAGGGCCCATCGGGCATGTAGTCCCATAACCACGCTCGCGTAGAGTCATCGCCGCCGATTAGGTCGAAGAGGTCGTTGGCATGTTTCGGTTCAAGCTTCTCGAGCTGGATGAATCTCCCGTGCAAGGTGGTTGCCGATGGCCACTGGGCGGGGGTCAGATCGATTGGTGGTCCAAGCGGTCGCACAGTTGTCATGTTGCAGGACTGTACTTTTCACTGCGTATGAATGGACGAGAACAGTGCCTTGTTTATGATGGCAGAGGATTTAAACCGTCGTCAATTATCTTGAGAGAACAGTCATCCCACATCCTCATTCCTCCCTCCTCAGCCGGTCCCTGACCCTGATTCGTTGATACCTCCGACCCTCCGGAGATGACCTGAAAGATGATTGGGTAGGAGCCATGTATGGGTCTATTTTAGCGGCTTGGCATTTACGTGCTATTCCTCAGGCATGACTCATGCCTTATGACGCCTGGAATCCAAGGCATCAATTTCCAGGAAGGGGGATCCATGCCCTGAGACTCGAAGACCTGGGGGCATCCCCCGGGGTTTGAGCATTATCATTGGATTCAGAACAGTCTGGATGCCTCAATAAACCGAAGCCTAGGAAATTGAACGCTGCGAGGTGCGTGTGGCTTGATTTATTATCAGTATTTTCCAGACTGCAGCTAGACTGTTGGTCAGCTCGTTTGCTTCGATGGGTGCTATACTCATCTCGCTCCAGGTCTTGCTTAGGGCCTTGGAAATCCCGCCATGAACATCCAAGTATATGCCGTGGGTGACTACAAGTGTATGGGCAGGACCTCTACCGCCCAGTACAGCCATGTCAGCGATCGTGGTAGTACATGGCATTGCTTGGTGGTTCAATCCAGCGAGGCATCTGTGACTTTCCATGTCTCAGGAGAGCATTCCTGGCTTCCAGAGAAGCCAACAGTAGCCATAACATTGTTAAGGGTAATGTTCAGATGAGCACCAACGGAGGAAAATGCGTTTTCGCAAGCAATAAGGCAAGAGGGACACTTCATGTCGTTGTCATCCCAACACCCACATGCAGGATCCTGGTGAAGACATGTCTCACGAGTACCAGCAACTCCTATTGACTAAACCCGTTCAAGCAGCATTGCTCACGCAACCAGTCCGCGGTATGCTGTTGGCTTCTTAGCACTCATATCTTGTTGAATCTGTCGCAGTAACAGAACACTCGCCGACGTGGACTGGGTCGCGATGGCGCCTCCTGTAACGTGCACCTCAGCTTAGAGCCAGGTCATGGGACCAATCCGATGGACTGTTGCTCCATATTGGCCCCTGCAGCCAACCAACTTTTTCGCACGTTTTGCATTCAATATACCGTCGTCCTAAGCACCTATGATGTCGCTGCCGGGCCTCCTCCCCTGTGAGACCCAGGGGATGGACTTTCTCATCACAATCACGTTTGCCTGTTGCTGAGACAAGTAGACGTGAAAAACCAAACAGTATCCACCAAGAATTGTTGGATTCAGCTCACCATGAGTTTAGTAAGACAAAAGATTCTCCAACGCGTGGGGAATGTGGTTCTCGACGGGGTCAATTTCTCACGGTCGGGCGACAGGCGTTATCTTTGGGCCCCATCACGCCTTATGAGACGCTTTTCTTAGCAACGAGCGGTCGGACGAACGGTCCACGACGAGCAAGCAAAAAGAGGTTCCATTGTAAATTGAAGGGTGGGAACCCATCTATATGGCGTGGTGGCTGTCAGGGGCAGTGGGTGATGGGCCAGTGGGACGGTCTCCTGCCGGGATCCACCCACGGCTTCACTGGCAGACAAGCATTCCTGGTGGTTTCAGCACTCGAAGACAATTGGATTCCATTGCCGCCTTGGGTTTCGCCAAGCTGTCAGCAGGCTATAGTTATAGCCGCCGAGTTGAGAGGGGGATTGTGTTTCGAAGATGAGAAGAGAGAGGGATGCAGAAGTCGTCAAGTGTGGTTTAAGTTGGCGCTGACTGGGATCGCCGATTAACTCATCCCTGTTGTGACCCTACCAGCTAATTAGCTTGACAAGCTGATTAGCGCGCATTTCTCTTCCGTGCAGGCAGCCATTGCATTATTACTTAGAACCCTACGAGTATTAACTCCGAGTCCCTGTCTTATTTCTGATCCTCTCGGCTCTTCTGCATTGAAGAGATTACGAGATTGTTAGTCAAGAAGACCAAGAATAGAGAGGCAACCAGCCCTACCCGTGACCCACGCTCACCCCCAGCCAATTTGATCGTGAAACTAAGACCGTTGGGCCAGGCGCCGGTCGCTTTCTTCGTCCCATTGATTGGATGAGGAATCACCGGCTGGCTTGGGCTATCAGTGGCCACCATTCTTGCGCGTCTCGGGTTGATGAGCCACCAGAGCTGTCGACTGCCTGCCACTGACTCGTCTCGGCACTGCTCTCCACCCCTTGCATGCCCTTCCCCCCAGCCTATCATGAATTTCCAGCATCTAGAAGACAACAACCCCCGCTGACAGGGTCGGTCATCTGCTTTATCTGGCGCTCTGATGGCATCCCGACCACCCTGTCATCTCCGCCGATCCGTTTGCGCCTCCATGTAGTTCTTTACTTAGTATTTGACTGGCGAGATCTGCTCGTTCTCCATCCCGGCTGTCCTTGCGTCCATTCTTTCTCTTCTCCATTCTTTCGATCGTTAACTTTATTTTTATCTCTCTGCTTAGACCTTCATTTGTTTTTCTTCTTCTCTTCTTGCCCCCAGCCAGGGTGACTGCTTTTTTGCCATTGTGGCTGGTCCACTTAGTTGACTTTTTACTCTGCATCTTTTCGTTCTCTACACGCTGGGAATCGTCCTTTCATTTCTCCCCATCCAAGCGTGACGCCAGTAACTCTGATTCACAATGGATTCCAACTTATGGTACGCTATGCTCAATGACACCCTCTGCTATGCCAATCTCTGGGTGCTGGCCTGTATGATTGTGGTCGTCTTCGCCTGGCAGTCCTCCGGCCGTCTCTCTGCCCACCTCCGTCGCCTCGCTAGCTTTACCGACCACCGTCAGACCTACCATCGCATTCCTAATTTCCATGTGGCCTGGTTGAAGCGACACCTTCTGGATGCGCCGCTGCTGCGCTCTCGACATAACCAGGAATGGCAGCTCTCCCGCGCCGTCAACATGGGCACCCTGCCCAGCCGCTTCCATACCCTGCTCCTGACCGTCATCGTCGTCATGAATGTCGTCTTGTGCACCAACACTGTGCCCTATGGATCGAAGGAATCAACTGTCGCGGAGCTGATTCGCAACCGAACCGGTTACATGGCCACCGCCAATCTGTTCCCCCTTCTGGTCATGGCTGGCCGGAACAACCCCTTGATCCCGCTTCTGCGCGTTTCGTTCGACACCTGGAATCTGCTGCACCGGTGGTTAGGCCGCATTGTCGTACTGGAAGGGCTGGCTCATGTCATTGCCTGGGGTGTGCCCAAAGTGCAAACCTGTAGGTCTTTTTCTGTGTTTCGGGCTGTGGGGGCTAATGTTGAGCAGATGGCTGGTCGACCGCACTCGGCACCTTGAAGAAACCCTTCATGTTCAATGGTCTCATGGTACGACCCCCACACATCGAACAAGGATGTCAGCGGCTAATGTGTCGAACTACAGGGAATAGTGGCGATGCTCTTCATCCTTGTTCAATCACCTTCCCCCATCCGACATGCCTTCTATGAGACTTTCCTCCACCTTCACATTGGGCTGGCCTGTGTGTCTGTGGGATTTCTCTGGCATCATGTTTACCGGTACTCCTGCCGTTACTATCTTTATGCCGCCGTCGCCTTCTGGGCGTTTGAAGTAAGTCCCCCTTGCTGCGGATGTTCGTCCGAAAATAGAAACAAGGAGCTAACCTCCCGGTTCAGCGACTTGCGCGGCTGCTGATCCTGATCTACCGCAACTATGGGTTTGGTCGCCGCACAACCGCCTATCTCGAGGCACTGCCTGGCGACGCCGTCCGCGTCACTCTGCAACTCGCTCGTCCATGGACCTTCTCGCCGGGCCAATACTGTTTCGTCTACATCCCGAAGCTCGGGGCCTGGACCTCGCACCCCTTCTCCATCGCCTGGGGTGAGACCGGTCAGACCTTGCTGGGGTCGTACAGCGAGAAGATGGCCGAAGTGGAGTTGGGCAATGACCACGGCCAACCTGGGCTGGAGTCTTGCAAGGTCAATACTGTTTCTCTGCTCGTGCGACGTAGGACCGGATTCACCGACAAGTTGTTTACGGAAGCATTTGCCTACGCGCGCACCCGCTTACCCCCGGACACGATCAGCACTTCGCCGCGATCGACCACGACGGATATTTCCACGGCAGCCATGCCGGTCACTGCTTTCGTGGAGGGGCCATATGGCAACCTCCACTCGCTCGACTCCTACGGCACCGTTCTCCTGTTCGCCGGTGGAGTGGGCATCACCCACTGCCTGCCCTTCATCCGCCATCTGGTCCAGGGCCACAGCGATGGAACGGTAGCCGCCCGACGCGTCACTCTCGTATGGGTCATCCAATCACCTGAACATCTGGACTGGATTCGACCGTGGATGACTACAATCCTGGGCATGGAAGGCCGCCGCGACGTGCTGCGGATCCAGCTGTTCGTGACGCGCCCGAGAAACCCCCGGGAGATCAGGAGCCCCAGCGCAACCGTGCAGATGTTCCCGGGCCGCCCAGATGTGGGCACTCTCGTCCAAATGGGAATCGAGAATCAGGTCGGGGCGATGGGTGTGATGGTCTGCGGCAATGGCGGTTTGAGCGATGATGTCCGTCGGGCCTGTCGACAGCGACAGGGCCGTACCCAGCTGGATTATATCGAGGAGAGCTTCACGTGGTGATTTGATTGCCCAATGCGCCTGTACCTATATAAAATTGTTTTCCTGTTCGTAACATGCCAAGTAGACAAGACGAATAGACCGTTGGCCGGATTGCTTGCCTCACCCGCTGCGATGAAGTCAAGCAAACAAATGATATACTACGTGACTGTTAAAATGACGAGCGGCAGCGATTCTGTGTGTGTTTCCTTTCCACAAACTAACAAGCCACAGGGTCATTGTCTCTGCGGGCCCCGAGGACTGCCGTTGTCCAGCTAGGAATGACCAGTAAGAATGTTTACATGTGCAACCAAATTGACAGACACAGACGAAGTCTTACGGACATACATACGAGAAGATAATACGATACAATGAGTTGAACTTAATCTCAGTAGTTCTGCAACATGACCACTAATCCTCGCCATCATGCACCACCTTCCCCCCATACCCCTGCCCCACCTCGCATTGATACCGCTGAAACTGCCTCGTCGGCACCCCCGCTGCAAACATCTCATCCAGCTCCTCAAAGCTCCTCCCCTTGGTCTCAGGAAGTTCAAAGAACAGAATCAACAGCGTGACAGCCCCCATGCCCGCAAAGATCCACCCGATCAAACCCCCCAGATCCGCCTCGTCACTGTTATACAGATACGGCATCACCACGTTCCATACCGTCGAGAAGAAATAGTTGAACGTAAACCCGATGGCCAGTGACTTAGCACGTAGTCGTACCGATGAAACTTCACCTGCAATGGCCATGGCTGGGCCGATGGCGGGGCCGTAGACCCACCAGGAGAGCTCGAGGAAGATGCCGACCACCCTGAAATATCATTGTTAGAAAGGTATCAAAGGATGAAGTGGCGATTAGGGGAAGAAGGGCTCACCATAACGCCGGACTCGAATGTGGGAAACACCCCGCTATCCCCATGACCGTGAACAGCATCGTCGAGAGCCCAATGCCGAACATGACCAGCGCCCGTCTCCCACAAACTGTCATCACATATCCTGTGACTAGCGAACTGGCAATCCCAAATGCAATGCCAATCTCCGTCATCATCCCCGTCTTGGCAGAGGACATGCCCGCCTGCACGAGGAAGTACGGCCCATTGGTCATGAAGCTGGACCCGATGACCTGCGATAACGCATTGCAGTAGAGGATGATCCGCGTGCGTCGCCAATTAACTCCCTTGAAGCATTCCAGGAAGCTGGCTTCCTTGGCTGCTTCGTTGCGCTGTTGCTCTTCCTCGTGTGTGCGGACGATGTCTGCGAGAATGAGCGGCGTCTCGGAGGCACGGTTGCCCAGTCGGGATAGCATGCGGCCAGCTTTTTCGCGCTGGCCTTTCATGACTAGGAAGTACGGGGATTCGGGCATGAATGGGAGGAAGAGGAGAATGACTCCGGGCCAGACCCAGCCGGAGGCGAAGAGGACCTGGATTGTCAGTTTCTGAGGGTAATTTGAAGCAGATGGTTTTATCCATACCTTGTATGCTGCATCGCTGGACATTGACATGCGCGGAAGAGCCACAGATGCGGCGATGAGATAACCAAGGTTCTGCGAAGTGATTGTCAACACCACTGTCACTTACTAATTGACTCGAACAAACGTACCATGCAGAACGTATACCCCGAAAGAGCAATACCTCGCACCTCAAGCGAGGTGATCTCCGAAATATACGTCTGCCCCGTGGTCAGAGCGAGACCCAACGACAAGCCATTGACGATCTTTCCGGCAAGGAACGCGCCCGGAGTCGAAGCCGTGTACACGACTGCAATACCGGCGGCAGACAGACATGCTGCCACGAGGAAGGCTGCTCGACGTCCAAACCTATCCTGGATGGGACCCGCGGCTGTTGATCCGAGCATCGTGGCGACTTGGGACAGGGCGTTCCACAGGGACTGCCAATATGCGGGGATCACGTAAGAACCGTTTGTGAGGGTACCAAATGTCTGTCTGTTATTCATAATGTGAGTTACTTCAGATCCACACCAGACGCTAGATCGTCTGTACTCACTCAAATGCAGTCATTGACAGAGCCAGCGACAGGACTAGATTATCGAAGCCGTACATCAAAGCCCCAATATTGCCATACAGGCAGAAGAGGACCACAATAGGATTCGCCCGGAGTGCTTGCCAGGTCGAACGGCCATGCTGGCTAGCTGGGTCGTAGAACCCCAGTGTTTCACTTTCTGGTTGACGGGGCTGCTGGTCCACCACCTCGAGATGGCTCGACTCCGATTTCTGGTCGGTGGACATAGTGGCACTCAACGATGGACTATGCTGTTGGTTGAGTCCTGAGTGCGTCGCAATGGATGGCGCCAGAGATGTAACGAGGCTTGATGGAAATATAGGTGAAACCCATGCCCCATAAATGAACAGGGGAGGCGACCAGGGCCCCAGTCAGGGAGGGTCTACCCCGTGGGGTACAACCTGGCAACCTGGAAGGATTCTACACTTTCACGACTTCCCGAGGAAACGGAAATGCCGGGGGCCCCTTGATGTCGGCAATTCCGGGGCTGGATCGACAAACTAGGGCCAAGCTTTCCATGGAAATGCAAGGCGATGGGCTGCGTTTCACGCGTTCTGTAGATCAGCTTGGGGCCCGAGGTGGAAAGCTTTCATATGATCCATGCCTGAGACCTCCTTCAGGAGATTTAGCTCCCTATGGAAGTTCACCTGGATGCCTGGAGTTCAAGATATGAGACATAAATTGTATGTACAATCAGTTCCATTCATCTACAAGTTTCTATGCAGTCCTACTTCGTACTCTAAGACCTCTATCAAGAAATTATTACTGGTTCCCCAGGACCCAGCACCTTCTTAACCACCTGACCATCAACCACAATCTCCACAAGAACCTTACTCGTCGCCTCGACAGTTAGCGGCTTCCCCGGGCCCCACTGCACCTTGATATTCCCCCGAGTGGTATACAACGAGCCCTCAGCCTGAGCCACTAATTCCCTCCGAGGCTCGATGCGGACCCGCCCAAAGCCTGGCTCGGCGGGTTTCACCCCGAACAGCTGCGTGACGATCTCGTTCACCGGACTGGCGCTCCACCCATGGCAGTCGCTGCGGGCGTTCACCTCATCCTCTGCCCATGTTGTCAGGTTATTGGCCATCATGGCCCGCCATGGATCCAGCATGCTGGGAAATAGCTCGCTGTATATACCCGCCTTTTCTGCTGCTCGGAAGACGTAAAACTTCATTGCATAAGAGCATTGCGCGAGTGAAGAGTCGGTCACGGTCTGTCTGAGGAGCTGCTTTGCCGCGTCTCCTGTTACCGTCTCGCTGAGGATGGCGAATACTTGTGTGTGTTGGCTGTACTGTTCCACTCCGGGGCCATCCAGATACAGCTGGGAGTTAGACTTGCAGAGTTCCTTTACGGCTTTCTGGATACTGCGCACCCGCGCCCGGTACTCCTCCGCCGTACTCATTCTCCCCACAAATTCACACAGCTCAGCCGCATGCAGCAGGGCATACGCATACATCAAACTGTTGACGGTGGCTGCGCCCGCAGTATGATACGCCGGAGGCATACATGACTTAAAGATCTGGCCTGGAACGAACCAATCCTGGACCCAGTCCACGAACGGCCACGTATCCGGGTCGAATTGCCCCACTAGTCCACTCTCGTTGAGGCGATCCTCGAAATGCTGAATGATGCTATCGACTGTGCTCAGGTATCTGCGCACTAGTGCTCGATCCGCAAAGTACATCATGTGATCGTGTACCATCAGGATCCAGAATAGCGAGAACTGCGGGATCTGCTTAGAAGCGAATCCCGCCGGATACTGTGCCACTATGAGCCCGTCTGGGGTCCGGCTAGCGTGGAATTCCTCGAGAGTCTTGCGGGCGAGACGGTCATCAGGGGATAACTGGTAGCTGAAAAGCAGCTGCAGTCGTGAATCTGATGCGAATTGATTCTGCTCGTAGAACGGGCAATCTTCGTACGTCTCGTGGCGGCAATTCTGGAGTGTTCGCAGACTGATCTCCCAAATGTTGTTGAGCTCGGCACCTGCGTCCACCTTGGTGGTAATCTCTAGTGGGTAGGATGTCTCTCGCAGGGATATGCTCGTCAATGTGATTGGATTGGAAGCGGTGGTTATTTCGAGTTGCACGTAGCGGAAACACCGGAACCAGAATGGCTCGAACGAGTGGGTGTCCTGTCCGGAGGTGACATTATAGAAATCTTTCACCCCGTACAGGCGACCAGTCGTATCAGAGCGATTGCCCTTGGTTCTAGGCATGGGGAATGGCGCCGTTTCCACTCCCAGATCCTTCTCATAACATTCTGAGTACAACACGCTGACTTTCGTGCCTGCTCCTCCTCTGAAAGCGAAGTTGACAAACGCCGTCATCAGTGCGCCTACGCTGAGGTCCACTGTCACCCGCGCATCCGCTGGAATCACCACGTGCTGGTCCTCCCGAATCAGTGCATTCCACTCGTCCTCGCTGACGGAACCAGTGGCTTTGACCACACCGTCGAACTCCCCTGGAACTTCGGGTAAATCTGGTATTGGACGCGGACACAGCTTCCACGGGCTCACCATAGGAAGCATTTTCACAGCATTGTACTGGAATACGGCCTTGTCCCACGCCGCGTCATCATATCCAGGCATTTGCCAGCCGGTTATGGTTTGGTCCTCCTCGATGCGTTCATTGTTGGATAGGAAGGGCGGTCCCAGGAGGTAGTTCCACTCGGACTGCGGGATAATCTTGACGGAGCGCTGCTCGATGCACGTCCACGAGGAATCAGTGGAAATGGCGAGCTCGGGATGCGGGGAGTACAGCATGAACCCGGGCAGCGGCATGCTCACGATAGACGATGAGCCCGGCACGAGTGTGGAATATCGCAGGACCCGAGCACTGATTACATTGTCACCGTCGCGGAGATATGGACGGATGTCCACTGTCTCGTAGTACCATTTTCCCGGATAAGACTTGCAGGGACCCCAGCTCGCGCGGTGACCGTTGACGAAGAGGCGATAGCGACTGTCGGCGGAGACGTGCACAAAGAGATTTGGTAGGTCATCTGAGTGATGCCATTGAAAGGCCTTTCTGAAGAGGAAGTATCGGCCAGGGCAATTATCTTCCTCGAGATATTTAGGCAGCCAGATCCAGGGGGCTGCACGAGTCCAGTCGGTCGAAGCCATGTTGACGATTAAGGACGAGATGATTGTCCTACATTCAAACTGACCACTGGCCTTTCATTATCAGATGGTAGAAGAGCACTGACTTGTTGGATTATGCTCATTCTGCATCTTTGTTAGTGGGGAAGCAAAGAGAAGCTGCAAGTCGGATATCCCGCTCGGTGGGGATTGCCCCGAATCCGATACCGGGTCAAGGCTTAGCCTAACCGTAATCTTGGTATGTATGGTGTAATGCGGGGAGAGCCATTCCGTGACGTCACATGACGCGTCGCGGCCTCGGAAGATCCGGGGTTTCATGCAGAGAAGATAAATGAAGTTGAAGCTCGATTGCTGCTAGAGATAGAGAGATTAAGGTAAGAGGCAACCCGTGTGATGCGTGATTGAAGTCTGAGAGTAGTGTAATCTTTGTTGTTATCCCTTCCCGGACCGTGGTCAATGTCCTAATATATATGTTAGACGGGTAGAGCATAATACCAGAAGTGAATCCTTACGAAGAGCAAATATCCCTGCCTTATTCGAAGTGTACCTGTGTATATAGGGGGGCCCTAGGGGTCCGCAGAGTATCTGCGACGGGGTAATGATGGCCTTATAGTCTTGTATTAACCTTTCCACTAAAAAGGTCTCTCACAGCTCGCCTGTTCGAAATTCGAGCTCTGATAGGGCCAGGCCGCTAGGGTCGGCTCAAGTCCAATAAATATCATAATTAGTTAAGTTTACCTCTTGAGCCCTATTGACCTTTCAAAACAGCTTTCTGATTAGATTTAGTATTATTCTAAAAGGATTAGATTATTTTACCTGGAATCTCCTATCATAATGATTCCCTACTAAGAGAAATCGGAAATCCCTCATGATAAGACATATATCTTCAGATTTTATGTAACTTGAGCTAGGACTAGCCCGATTGGACAAATGAAAAAATACTAAAAAGTTGTTAGAATTATCTAGTGAATAAGCTGATAAGCTATATACAATCAATATGAAAAAAGATAAACAAAAAAAATATAATACAAAAAAAGAAATAAAAAAAATCATTAAAAATAAAAATAAACAAATGAATAAATGTAGAATAATTAGTGATTAGTATTTATTATGATTAAACGCGTTGCTTATTCTTATGTATTTTGATTTTTTATGTGTAGTAGAGACTGAAGATCTAGACTGTTCTGTACTAAAAAATCTCTGCTGAGAGTTCTGGAAGAAAATCAGCAATATACTTTTTAGTATATTGATATTTCTAGGAGATTCTGGAGAACGGAGGAAAGATAAATCTGTTAATGTTTTGTGTACTAAGATAGTGAAGGCTGTCTTGGATTCTGTGGAAGTATTGTAATAATTCTGAAGTTGCGTGTCATGAGGGTAGTAATATAAGTAATAACAGGCTCTGATGAGGCTGTAACCTCATTTAGAGAGGGGTGATGACACATGTACGCACACTCAAATATATGATTGTTGTAGCCTGCATATCGCTGTTTTTACGAGGGGTCAGGGTAAATGAAACCAGCCAACCAACCAACCGACTGTAATAACTATTCACTCTGTTGAATTCTCCGTTGAGCCTGACCAGATTCCAGCAGCATGCATTCCATGGACGTCGTTGATTTCCCCCCTCTTTCATCGCCAACACTTGGCCACCTCGCATGCCATGCGAATCAAATTCGATACTGAAGATGGGTGATCAATTACTGTGATTTACGCGCTTGTAAATTACGTTAATGCCGTTGGAGGATGGATAACTGAATCATAACGCAGAGCCCGGTGTGAATCCCGTGCATTAGCGCGAGGCTGTGTCACGGTCTTCCATTCAAAACCGCAAGCCGCATGCTCAGCCATGGGGCTGAAATCGAATATGACAGGAATTCGCGGACATGACTAGCGGCTTGTAGCTTTGCGTGCCTACTTAAGTACAACACCGCCCTTGTTGACGAATATAATACTACCTAACTTATCTACCCGAACTCTCGCCTGCCTTTACTTCTCCTACGTCGTAAAGCCCTCATCCACATCAGACTACAAAGCAAGGTTGAAAATAAAAATGGAAAGTGATGGAGAGAAAGTGAAGGTGGACCGAGAATCTCTCAAGCGAAGCAGTGCGCTCTCCTTCCCTTCAATAAAACCAAAGGAGGGTAAAATCCCAAATGGTGTGCAAGCTATACTGACGTTTCCTCGACGACCAGGAATGGAGTTCGAAGACGATGGGCTAACGGAGGATGGCTCTGAATACAATGGTATAGATGATTCCGAGGAAGAAGAATGGTGGAAGGAAGATGATAGCGAAGACCTGGGTCATGAACAGGACATTGAAGAGCACGAGTATACCACCTCCGGCGGCACGGCACGAACGGTGAGGATTCGGCTCTTTTTGACAAATGAGGCAGATGAGGAAACGGACAAATCTAGTTGGATGAGAAACTTTGTCGCTGAATGTACTTGTGACGGCGTCGTTGTCGCTACCGCTCTGGCTCGGTATATCCATCGAGAGGCTATGCGCTCTGAATTCTGGGAAAAGATGGAAGTGCCGAGCGAGGAAACATGCGATGTAGCCTTCCATGTCTTTGATAGATATGGAACAGTCAAGGCTAAGTATAAAGACCACCCAGTCCAAAAAGGAACTGGGGTATGGGGAAATGAGCTTGATCACGGCCCTCTTTTCCTGATCGAAAATCTTCACATCACAACACTGAATCTGCGTCGGAAAGGTCTGGGCCAGAAGATAGTGTCCTTACTTTTGAACAAAGCCAGGCTGTTCTGTCTAGACGACAAGCCAGACGGGGAACATGCTGATTATGTTTACGGTTCCTCTGAGGCCTTTGAGCTAGCATGGACTCTGCATGCTCTAGTCAGTCCCGGAATACTAACAGCTGATACCAAATCGCAGTTAGTGGGCAAGTCTGCAGAAGAACGCTTGACGACCCGGGCTCGAATTCAGTCCGGCGTTATTGACTTTTGGCGATCGTGCGGCTTTCGCCGAATCGGAGCATCTCGGTGTTTTGCATTTTCGTTCGATAGCCAGCATCAGTCTCGGACTCTTGCTGCTTCTTCTGATTTCGACCTGCGTAGAAGCGATGCTGAAGATCTTGAAATAGAACAATTTGAAGTCAGATATGAGAGGGATCCCTTTACTGATGTGAAGGAAATGAGAATGAAAAGACTTCGTGACGCATTGCCGCTGCATCATGCAGCCCTCACTCTGATGGACGAAGAGCTCAAAGCCTTTTTCGCCGCTCATGCCGACGACAAGATTGGCTGGGATCGAGTGAGCAACTCTGAAGCCACACTTCTGCATTTGACAGCTTGCGAGTTCAAGCCCCTGAGTACACAGTGGCTACTTGAGAATGTCCGCCATGCCGACTGCTGGAAGACGGCCCGTAATATTGACGGGTACACACCGCTCGAAGCATTGCAGGAGACTTTAGAGACAATGCGAACGCGAAAGGGATACGGCCTTTTCAGGGTCTTGCACATATCAGACCACTTTGAAGGGTACCCTGAGGCCGCAGTGTCCTGTCTTTCCTTACTATCCGGGCGGGATGCTTTGGACTCTAATAGAGCATGCCTCCGCTACGGGTGTACATGCGGAGGGTGCCTTAAAGGATTTCTATCCGCACGAATGAGGAGCTCTTTGATTTTTCAGGGCGAATTTATGTACGACCACATGCAGGATGGAATTAATGATGGCGGCTTCTGGGTGGAGTTCAACGACTTCAGGCTCAAGCATCTCGATTTCGATGTGCGAAAGAACCTCAAAACCAACAAGTCTCTTCGAAAAGGTTTTGTGAAGAGTTTCCAAATTGCGGTGGAATGTCTGAAGGCAAAGAAAGTTCCCACCGCGGAGACTCTTGAGTGGTGCCGTAAGAACCGGAGCGAGTGGCCACCAGATACCAAGAACTACCTGCGACGCACTGGAACGCAAATGGGCTGTCGAGCAGTGCTTCTTTACATGTTCGACGCTGCTAGGGAAGAGGATATAAAAGCAGGTGACGGATTGTGTCAGCGCACATTGAAGAAAGAATGGTCAGACCTACCAACTTGTCGGAACGATCATGAGTTCGGCTTTGTTGCCAGGGCTTGTGGTTACGGCGGGGACAATTTCATTTCGTTACCATGCTGGTAGATTGGAATATGTACTTTTCTGGTCTAGCCTACGTCTACATGCCATAAATCACTCGTCGCGGCTATGTGTTCTTAAAATGCCGTGGAAGGCCTTTCCGGGATTGTTCATGGGAGGGAGATTCAGGGGGTCATACGTTCGTCATTTTGAGCATCAATCAACACCCCCCCCCCCCAAAAACCCCCATAACTCCCCTCTTGGGGGCTAGAACAGTCCTGTGTTACGGGTATACATAAAGCAAATACAATTAACAGAGGTTATACGGAGCGATCGGCCCACATAGCTTATACGTGTTCCCTTGAACCCGAGAAAGCTCTTCTTGTCCTTCCTCACACTACGTCTTGTATCTAGAGCCGGCTAGCCGACTATAGCTGTTCTTGATATTGATCTTTTATCGTAAGATGCTGCTTAGTCCCACGACCACTGCTTAGTCCACGGGGCTGTACTTATTGATTCGCGATCTACAGCTACTCATCCATGCCAAGAGATGATTACGGAACTGTCCTGCAACGGCTGTCCTATGACAATCCATCCTCATGTCTTCTATGCCCTCCTTCCCTCCTGTAGACTATGATAGATGTGGACAGCTGAGCACTGCCGCGGTCTCGATTGTCCGTAGTGTTCGTCTAGGAGCAAGCCTGGAGGATGCAACGATTGGTTGCTCCGCTGCGTCTCCCTTTTCCACCTTGTAGTACGTGGTAGCGTGGTACTGTGCAATTCTCGCTGAATTGCTAGTTTCTCGGGCCCCGCTTGCACTTCAGCATCCAGGAAATCCTAGGATGCTGAGAAGCCGAGTACTATCGCGGCTATAAACTTGCTCGCTCACTAACATGCGTTGATGACGGATCTAAAGAACATGACATGCTTTAAGCTGTATTGTTCAACAACAAAAAGACATGGCGAAGTTCCCGCCGGCGTGGTGCAATCTTCATAACAGTCAACATTTCAGGGCATCTCAATAGGCATAATGCGGCGAGCATCAATCCCCAGAGCTGGCAAGTGCAGGAATGAAGCAGATCTTTATAGTAGTCGACAAGACACAAGAGACTTGTCACAAAGGACCTGGCCAGTGTCGCAGCCGGGATCAGTAGGACCGACCCTCTAGTCCTGCGCGACCATTTAATGTAACAGCAGTCCAAGGTGGAGCAAGGAGACCAGCGGACCAATGACAAGTTGCCTTTGTAAAATAGCCTAAAAGACTCAAAAGCGTTCCAAGCAGGTGTCAGATGATCCGTACATGAACGCCCGTACTGTCGAAGTAGCGTCTCGTCTCGCCAGCTGCTCTTGGTAGCGTTGCAAAAGAACAACAGAACTGCCGAACAAACTCAAATAGGATTTAATGGCGGTCTGCTTCCCTTCTCTGAGTCGGTATGAGGATACACGCTCGCCTCTTCTAGTCTAGTAAGCTTTAAGCTGAAGCCTTGTTGCCCGGTGGTCATGAACGAACGACTCAGAGGAGCGCCTGAGTCTGGCCATTGTTGGGTCCGACGGACTTGAAGGCGCGACTCGGAAAGCACCATGCTTTAGTTTCGGCCCGGTCGAATTATTACCAGACGAGTGCTACAATTCTGAGTGATTGTGGAACAAGATAGAAGAAAATACAGGTAGTGGCAGGAGTAATCACGGTAAATTAAAAGAAAACATGAGCAATCACGGCTCACTAGTAGGTATATAACTTCGAGATAGTAGCTATATTTAAGGTGCTGCTACAATCTGGAGAAACAGTAAGGCTGCCAAGTCGCGTGGTAGCTATGATGGCTTGACAGTGAACCGTCAAGCATAACACATGCCAGCTGCGACCTATCGCTGTGAAGTATTGCAGCTGTCTCGAACCCAATTGATCCATGACGAGGAAATGCTATCATGAACTGAGTCTCAGCTCTCGCCACCCCCGCGGTCGCCTGACAACCCTGGTTCCGGCAACCCATTCGCCCCTGCACCCTCTGCTTATAATAACCATGGGGCCCTGTGCACACTACCACTACACTATTTCTGCAAGTACAGAAAGGCAAACCTACGCACAATCATATCAAACTATTCAACATGCATCAAATGCTCATCGGTCGCTCCCGACCAGTCATCGGCAATCTCGGCCAAAGACTGCAGTCGGCGGGTACGCAGCTCCCTGTGCCATGAAGTTGACAATTTCAAGATCAGCAGCTGAAAGCGTCAGACCCTTCCCAGCGACGAAGACATATCGTGCGGTCGGATACCTATCGCAAGGATAGTTCAGAACCCGGCCACATCCCCGTCAGCTCCTTACGCGTGCATGGCGCCGCCTGGGCCGTGGCTGGCGCCAGCATGTACGCTACCCTGCATGGGGTCTACATGATGCTGAAGTCCTTCCGACAGATTCGCTACATCTAATCCCTTCGATGTTGACTTCCAGAATGGCTTTGTACCTGTACATGTGTCAAGTTTAGCGATATGGAATAACAATACGCTTTGTATAATCACCCAGATCTTATAGAATTCCAACGGTGATGGAGAGTGGGGATCTATAGCAGTCTTGAAATATGCTAGAACTGATAGAGGTCTAGTTGGACTTGCAAGCCTGGACATAGGCAAGGGAATCAGTCTAGAGCTGCTTGTCTACGCTTAGGAGAGACTCATGCCGCACCTGGGCGGCAACTGAGCCTCTGGCTCCACCATTACAGTCGTTCATCGAACTAGCTGTAGTCGACCGATAATAACTACACAAGTGACCTGTTCGTAGTAGCTGCCAGAGGACATAAATATGAAGGGGTCGAATTCAAGGTCAGTGGCTGACACTGCCATCTCGTTCTGTATAGCTTCCCTGTCGAAAGGCGATATGTTGAGCCGACTAGCAATCACGTCCATGGTAGCTGATGTTGTTGACAAACTGGTAGGCCTATGGCGTCGCCAAGTTCGACGTTCAAGTACAATCACTTGTGTTGTCGAACGTGACATCTCGGATCGAAGGGGGAGGAAAGGAACCTCGATGCACTTGACCAAGTTCCCCTTGCAGAGCCCGCCAAGGTCGACCGGCTCACGACTGAATGCAAAGGGAAGTCGTACTAGCCTCGGGGCGGAGATTACTGAATGTTTTCGTTGAACGGACGTGTCGCACATGCATAAAAGCGCAGTATCACAAACGCCCTGACATCATGTATAGGTAGCGATACGTCGCGATGTGTACGAGAAACACCAAATTCGAACTATTAGATCCGTGTCAGGGAGTAAAGTATATCCGACAACTAGCCTGCAAACGTATGGTAGGACCATTGTAGTGCATGCTTCCTGGCTGCCCCAGAGGATGGGCGAAATAAGTGTGCGATTTGGGGGGCGATTGACGGTATCCGTGGGAAACCAAGAACAACTGGACGGCGAGGGAGGCGGAAGTTGTGTGTTTGGTGGAACAGGGACTGCTTTGCCGAAAATAGAGCCTGAAGGGTTATTTGCTTAGATCGATGGGCCACTTGGTCCTGTTCTGTCTGTCAACGAATGTGTCAATGAAGTTTTCCGGGTATGTAGCTGACAGCTATAATGGAGAATGAGAATACGAGAATGGGTCTGCAATAATAATGACAGATAGACAGGCACACAAGTTTCGATTGGGATCAGGAGAATGAAAGTTTGTTGATCGGGGCTACTTTTACGTCGTGACGTCATGGACCAGCCTACGATGGTAAAATCGCCTGGATTGAACCACAAAAGGCACTCAGCAACGCAAAAGAACTGCCTATGAGCCTTTTCGGCCTCCCGATCAACGCTGGAAAGGTCTTAACCATCAGCCACTGCAACCTTGATCGGCACCGGTAGACTCACGGCGCCGCAACCTAACTCTGACCTGGAGCCATTCCTCAAACCTTCCTTTCCCCTTCTCTCTCCCTCCAGACACTGAGCCTATGCAGAAAATCACCAGCAATAACTCCATGGATGGCCACCCAGACGTGTCGGCCCAGCAGCTGGCCGACATGATGCCCATCGGGCTGGCTGTCCTCGACCACCAGGACGGGTCCGTCTTCGTGAACAAGCGCTTCTTGGAATTAACCACCTGCACCTCAGAGCGTGCCTTCGAATGTTGGTGTCAGTCCATCCACCCCGAGGACTTTGATCGCGTGGCAGCAGCATATCGAGAAGCCTCTCAGTCCTATCATGCCCTACGTATCGAATACCGCACCCGGTTGCAGCCGTGCCTGTGGCGCGTGTGCTTGTTGACGCCGCTGGAGGACGAGGAGGAGCGACAACGATGGAACCTAGGACCGGAAGGGGGCTTCGTTTGCACCATCACCGACATCACACAAGAGAAGACGGCGGAATTGACGCAGCGTCGCATTGCCCACGAGGCCGAGGACCGCAAGCAACAGCAGGAGCGGTTCATCGATATGATTAGCCACGAGGTGCGCAACCCGTTATCGGCCATCCTCCACTGCACCGAGGATATCCTCGAGGCTGTTCATTCGCCAGATACAGGGGAGGAAATGCGCACGCAGATCGCCGAGGCAGCTGACACCATCAGTCTCTGCGTGGCGCATCAGAAGAAGATCATTGATGACGTGCTAACCTACTCCAAACTGGATGCCGCCATGCTGACGCTCTCTCCTCGACGCGTGCAGCCGCGCCGGAATGTAGCCACCGCGTTAGCCATGTTTCGTCCCGAACTGCGCAAGCATGATATCCAATTCTCCTATGAGCTTGACCATTCGTACGCCAACCTGGATATTGATTGGGTCATGGCGGATATGGACCGCATGAGCCAGGTCCTCATCAATTTGCTCTCCAATGCCATCAAGTTCACCGCCAGTTCTGGCGACGACAAGCGCATCCGCGTCTCCATCGGTGCGTCAACCCAACGTCCATCCTCCTATCCTCCGAACGTGGTTTTTTTCGACTCTGGCGAGGAAGCACTGAAGCTCGACGCGACGTCACAACCCGAATGGGGGGCGGGGGAGTACGCATTCCTGATGGTGGCCGTTAAAGACACAGGGATTGGCATCAGCGACGAGGCGCAGAAGCGGTTGTTTGAGCGATTCAACCAGGCGACCCCGCGTACGCAGACAATATACGGTGGGTCGGGTTTAGGTCTGAATGTCAGTCGGAAGCTGTGTCACTTGCACGGGGGAGAGATTGGCGTGAGTTCCAAGGAGGGCGAGGGAAGTACGTTTGGGTTCTTTTTCACGGTTCGACGGACTGCGGCCGGGCCTGGGGAGGAGCCTACCAAGAGCAACGGAACCACAGAGATTGACCGGATGTGCAGCCAGATCCAGGCGATGGGCAACGAGATGAGTGGAGTGACCGAGCGGCACGCCCGGCCACGCATCCCCGAGAACCCTTCTGTCACTCACGTTCCGGAGATCTCACGACACGCCAGTCGAGACAGTCGGCGGCTGCATACAGTGAAAATTGCCAGCGGAGTTTCCTCCCCGGCATCGAGGGCTTCTCCTGTGTCAGAGGACGAGGGTCCTCAAGCCCCTGAAGAGCCGCGAAGTGAACCGCGGTCACACCCGCGCGAACGGCGGATTCTGCTTGTAGAAGACAACGTCATTAACAAGCGCATCCTCTCACGAAAACTCCAGACCTCCGGCTTTCAGGTCAGCGAAGCGAGTAATGGCCAGGAGGCGGTAGATGCGATCCAACAGCAGGGGAGGTTCGATTGTGTACTGATGGACCAGGTCATGCCCATCATGGACGGCACGACGGCCTCCCGGACCATCCGCCAGTTGGACGGTCCCATGGCGCAGGTACCCATTCTTGGGGTTACAGCCAATGTACGGACGGCCCAGAAGGATGAAATGCTGGCGGCGGGGATGAACGACATTATCTACAAGCCGTATAAGATGCCGGATCTGATCGAGCGGATCAAACAGCTGCAGCAGACGGTTCAGGAATGACCCGACGGGATATGTGTGGAACCACGCTGTCCGACCTTGGCGCATGGAATGGGATCATATGTCCTTGGAATGAACTGTTGTATGAATTCTCTGCGAAAGATTCGGGGAACCAGCTAATCAACGACGATGAAGATGGTCAGCTCATAATGCAGGGTTCCTCTGAGCTGTGCATTGCGTCGGGAGGGTGGGCCTTCGGAAGATCATCCATTTTCTGGGATCGCATCCAGAGATCACCGCATTTTTGCGTCTGTTTTTACACGTGATGCCAATAGCCTCGATTGTGACACAAGCGATGAGTATGCGGGGCATCCAGATGGGATAGGCAGTTGACAGGGTGACAATTCGTTCCCCAGCACCCTGTGTGGAGGAAGGGAGAAAGCCAGCGCTGTCACAGAGACATTGACAGCCGGTGTCACGATCGAATCTGTCTGACGCTGAATTTGGATGCAGATTTTGCAGATCGACAGGGAGCGAGATGAATTTGCTTCGTTATCGTTTCCCGGCGAATCATCAATAAAGGTGGGAGAATGAGCTGCCACGCTGGCCTCCTGAATGTCAGGTTGGTGCTTTCTGTTGGGGCTTCGAAGCATGAAGGACACCCATCGACAACGAATTGGCGTGCTGTCAATTGAACCTTTCAAAGCTGCAATTGTAGCATCATCAGTGCAAGTGTGGGTACACGACGAGCATAACCGCCGACGGTTTTATTCCGGACTCCGCGTAGACCGATGCCTTCCAGCTCAGAATTTAGTCGAAGGTTGAACATGATATCGAAAGCGACTCGGTAGCTCATCATTTGTCAACCTTGTTGTCAGCCATTCGGTCGGTCCTGGGACCGGAATGAATCAGGAATTGGCTTGCCAGGATCCAGTGGAACTCACAAAACATCAACCTAAGTATCCACCCTGGACGAGCGAACCTTGTTCGAGCGTATGGTAATCTGGCTGGACATAACCTGAGGCCAATGCAGACCTTCCTGGGAGGCTTCACATTCCATGCATGTCGGGCGGAAGAAGGAACAACATTCGCGCCATGGAGGAAATCAAATATCGTTGTCGAACTGTCCACCCTCTTACTTGCAATGCCATGGTATTCACAGGACTTATCGTGGACGCGCAGCTCGATGAAATTGTGTTAAGGCAGACGGCGGCTCAGCTGGTGAAGGTGTGGCCTGCTCTGGGTGGACAGCTTTACCGGTCGGTCAGTGAACAGCACCATATTGAAAATCGGGCGGAATGATGATTTCTCTAAACTGTGAGACAGAGCCGCCCGTATGCACTCTCATCGGGCTCGACTGTCGACTTTGAAAGTCGGACGCTCCCCAAAAGTGCAACATCCTGGAAACGAGGCATACTTCATTCCATAGAATGCAATCAGCCGACCATTAGTGACTCCCTCAACCCAGAAGAATTGGATGATGCTTTCATCTTTGACGTACCTGGCGCGCCTGCGAATGTCTTCCTCATTCGCGCTACTCTTTTCCGCGACGCCACCCTACTCTGCTTCGGCATCAGTCACCATTTGGCTGACCGCACTGCCGCCTACGACGTGATTCGGGCCTATTGTGACCGGCTTGCCGGGCGCCCCATCCCATCGTTGCTGCTCCCATCCGATGCGTGTGGCCAGCAAATGTCGGACCGGGTGCTTCTCAGCGGCAAGCACGGAAGGTCACTTCGGTCTATAACTTACGCAGAGCATCTGGCCAACTTCACCGCTGGGTTCTGGCCGATCTTACTGCTCATGATCAGAGTAATTTTGTGTCTGCTGCTGCGCAAGCTATGTTTGCAAGAAACCCTGGAGGAACGGTACATTTACCTCCCGGACGACTGGGTTGGCGCCGTGCACAGAGGAGCACTCGATACTCTCGCTGCCATGCCTGTGGGTGCCCAGCCCTCGTGGGATACCCAGCCGACCAGGAACAACATTATCAATGCCTGGTTCCTCAAATCGGTCTACAGTGCTATCCCGAGCAGTCGAGCTGACATGTATTTCTATGGTCCGCTCAGTTATCGGTGTGTGGTTGAGCCTCCCCGGCCAGGGACCTACTGGATTCATAACAGTATCGGGCTACTGCGGCACAAGCTGTCAGTGGCTCAGATCCAGAACGAGCCAGTGGCTATGCTGGCGGGCCGACTCCGCTTGGCCAGCTTGCGGTTCACCTGCCCGGCATCCATCAAGGCGTTTCTGCAGATGTGCGAGGATCATGCGTCACAGCAGATGCTGCCGAGAATCCCCGCCAAGGGACGAATACCGATGGTGATGGTCACCACATGGACAGGGTTCGATTTCGCATGCTTGGACTTTTCGAGCGCCGCGTGCGACCGGAGCAAACCAGCCAAAGTCCTCTTCGTCCATCCCCTTGTTCGGAGCCTGCGACAGGGAGTGTGGCCCTCTGCATATACGCTGAAGAGTGCGCAGGGTGGTGGGTACTGGCTGCGAGCCTGGAATACTTTCTCGGGATGGAAGAAGTTCAGTCAAATGGTGGATGTCGATACTCTATGATGCTTCATCCTGATGAAATCCATGTCAGGTAGACAAGTATCACCACTAGCAATCCATAGTCTAGTTCAGTATACCCCCTCTAGAAATCAGAAAAGATGTCTTTCGTGGAACTAGTTGAACCTCACAGTCGTCTCAGTAGGACGTACATCATCCTCCGACACATCGCTGAAAAAACCTCCCATGGACTGTTTCACAGAGGGGAATCAAGATTGTCAATACTTTGGAGGGCCTTTCGCGTCCCGGTGTGGTGATAATGACTAGTACACCAATTCTGACATGATAGTATAATTCTGGTCGACTATTCCTCACTGAAAGTAGGTACTATGGGAGTCTAGTCGTGAATTCGACTCCCAATATTCGTTTCTTTTCTATGCCCCTATGCTTGAACAACAACAGAATATGATTTGATCTGCCCACAAAGCCTGCCATTCCTTCTGCATGGTGAGTTTCGAGGGCCGGTCGCGGAACTGAGCACGAGTACCCAAGTGGCCGCTGACCGAGGGAATATCTGACCGGACAACAAGTCATGGGTATGCTTCAGAGTGCCAACAGATCGATGCCTGCTTCGAATTATGTCACTTGCTCCCAGTCGGGTTGTTTTCTCCGCACGAGGGTCAGCCAACCCCAATCGGGCAATGATTCTCGCTGTATCGAGTGGAAAAACATTCCGTGGCGGACTTCAATATTCCCGAGAATATCCTACGAGAAGGAAAATCATAGCGTGCAGCCGACAGATATGATCCATTCGATTATACATATGCTAAATAAATGAAAAAAAGAAATACCCTCCTCTACTGAAACTGCGACAAAACGTGACACCGACAGAATCTCTACAGCGAGGAACCCGCCGGTGGCCGCTTGCTGGGAAACCCGCCATTGGGGTGAATGATGACCTTGGTATAGCCCTCCACCCGCTTGTCGAACTTTTCATATGCCGTTTCGGCCTCATCAATGCCAATCTCATGAGACACGACGAAGCTGGGTCGTGCCTTTCCGGCAATGATCAGGTCTCGCAGCTGCCGATTGTAGGCCTTGACGTTACACTGGCCTGTGCCAAGGGAGAGTCCCTACTCACAATGTCAGCACCAATGCCTCTTATGCCAGAGAAACAGGCTTCTACGATACCTTCTCGAAGAGCTTTCCAAAGCTGAGGCTAATCATTCCTTTCGCGGCCGACGCATCGCCCGCACCGGGGTCACTGGCTGGAGGTCAGCCAACATACTCCGTCGGAGTCCTATGTCGGGGTGACAAACCTAGGGACGTAGAGTCCGGGGATACCCAGTCCACCACACGCACGAGTCACACGAATCATGTTCTCTAGCACAATATTCGGTTGTTCGGTCGAGTTATCTTTGCCGACCGCCTGGTATCCGACAGCATCCACGGACCGATCCACCATGTCCCCGTTCAGTGCGATGATCTGATCGACGGCATCGCCCGCCGTGAAATCAATGGGGGTGGCACCGATCCGTTCCGCAGCCCTCAATCGTTCGGGGACCCGATCTACCACGTACACGCGAGAGGCGCCGCGCAGCTGGGCAGAATAGGCCGCCATGAGACCAACGGGGCCGGCCCCGAAGACTGCTACGCTGTCACCTGGCTGAAAGCCTGATATCTCAATGCCGTGCCACCCTACTCGTATTAGCGGATGTGGTGTTGGGTAGTAGCCAACTGCGTTCGTGGAGGGAATATACCTGTGGGGAAAATATCTGGTATGCCTCTTAGTAAACCAATCACCCAAGAGTGAGAGCATGGGATGCCTACCTGCCAGCAGAATAAAGTCCGCTTCGTGCTCGGTTCCCGGTGGAAGCTTTAGAGCATTGAAATCGGCATAGGGGACGCGCAGGTACTGTGCTTGACCTGAAGGTGCCACTTGGTCAGCATGAAGCTATCCAACAATTTGGGGGGTCACACAAACCTCCGCGGCAGGGCCCCATAGCCACGTATCCTGTGGGAATCAATGTCAACGAGAAGACACGGACCGCGATCATTTTCCGAGGAGACGAACCGTATGCGCCGCCAGCAAAGCCGGGGTTTACGCCCGTGCAAAATGCAGTCTTTCCTTCCTCACAATTCCGGCAACGACCGTCCGCAACGTTGAACGGCATGACCACGCGGTCGCCTTTCTTCAGCAGGGTGACTCCCTCCCCAAGTTCTTCCACCAGACCGAGGTTCTCGTGTCCTTATTTAGTCCACTCATGTCAATGCCAGCAGATATACATTCTAGAGTTGGACGTACCAAAGGTGATACCGGGCTCCGCCGCTGTTCTCCCTTCATACATGCTGGGAACGTGTGAGCAACATTGCTGGATGAACTCTCTTCTACCCTACCCCCAATTTCACTCACTGCAGATCCGAACCACAGATGGCTGCCTATCATGGTTGTCAGTCAATTCCACAGAAATTCATTCAGGTTTCGCAACATACACTGGTAACCTTGACGATAATGTCATCGGGGTGCTCCAGCTTGGGCCGCTCCACCTCCTGCACCTGGACCGTGAATGGTCCCACGTAGTTCAATGCTTTCATAGATTGGGATGCCATCTTTGCTCAGACCGATCGAATAAATCTGACAAAATCAATGGGAATCGCAGTGATGTCGGCTGGATGCCGTTCATGTTATGTACTTATTGGGGTATATCAATCGAGAAGTGGGGTGAGGGGAAAGACGTGAGGAGTGGGGGGACAAGGTGGGGGAGGGGCGAGAGGTAATGACCGACGGGCCGCATCTTGACCTGGCGATGCTGAAGGAACGCGGAACAGAATTCCCATGCCGAACATTTAACCAGATTCAGAGAAGTGATGCTGGGATGCTATGATGCTACTGCCATCCTTTTCTGGAAGACCGTGGAGGGAATGGCCGTAGAGGGAGAAGTCCTCCGCGGGCACATCTCAACGCTAGCCTATAGGGGACTAGTTGCTCGGCCGTCAACTGGGGAAGGTGGAGCGGCCATGGCGGGTTAAATTCCCCGATCGGTTATTTCCCTGCTGGGAAAGTATCAAGGGAATTCAGAATCACTTCTAAAGGGCAGATCACGATGGCGACATCTGCGGAGTGCTTCAGAGCATGATCTTCAATGATGGAACTAACCGCGATGGACCGATCCCTTTGTCATCCATATGCACTCGATTTATAGCCCCGCTGGCTCCTCACAGCTCGTCGGACAAGCTCGTAGCAAGCAAGCAATTGCTCCTCGCGTGCTGGTCAAAACGCTAGCCAAAATCCTACACAACTTGCACCTTCGCATCTCACAGTTATGGTCGTTATCTCGCGTTTCAGATCCCTCTGGGGTATTGAGCCCGGTCCGGACCAGTCGGAATGGAGAAAGAAGTTCGTTGAGCTCAAGGCTCACGGCTACGGTAAGCTGGGGCACGCATTGGAATACCTCTAAATATCAAACTAACAACATGTTCTGACAGCTGGGATTGAGATTGATTTTGCCGGGATGACTCCAGAGCAATTGCAACTTCTCCGCAAGAATTGCGACGAGGTGGGTTTGGAGATCAGCGTTCTGTCAGCATCCCCGCTTGCAGCCTCCCGTGTGCAACGCAAATTGAGCTGATGATGTGTTCGAAGTCTCTTCTCCTCCTGGCCGAAATATGATGGTCCCCGCCCTCGTGGCTTGACCCCAGACGCCCATCTCGAGTTCTACCGGGGCCAACTTCGCCTAGCGACCATCTTGAAGCCAGTCGTCATCAATGCCCAATCCGGAGCGTATGGTCCCTTGCACTCCGAGTATACCACTGTTGAAATATTGATTCGTTATCTCCATAGTGACTACTGGAGCTTTGATGAGTCTGTCTACTTCTACAGAAACGCTTTAGAGGTAGAAAAAGAAGAGGGCTTCGAGGGCATAGTCTGCCACGAAACACATCGCAACAGATCGCTCTTCAACCCTTATTCGACCGACTACATCGTGCAGAGAGTTCCACAGTATGTAAACCTCGGTTTCACTCTATCACAGTTGGGTACTGATTGTACAGACTACGTATCACTGCCGACATCTCACATTGGGTAGTTGTCTGTGAAAGGCTCCTAGATCAGGGCGAAGAAGACCGTGAGATCCTTGACCGCGTAATCCCACACGTAAGCTCACGCCCTTATTTTTACATGTGCATCGCTTGACATATCTTAGGTTCGCCATATCCATGCACGTATGGGAACAACACAGTCATCACAGTGTCCAGAGCCTCTAAACCCAGCATTTTCTGCTGAGCGACAATTCTTCGAGAAACTATGGCTTCGAATCGTCAAGTTAAGACAACAGACAGAACCTAACTGCCGAATCACTTGGGTTCCAGAGTACGGGTAAGTAGCAACTCTTCTGAGGTTGTTGGACATCCTAACAATGTACACAGTCCGTTCCCATATCATCCAATCGGCACTGCTCAAACCCACGGGGAGCTTGCGGACAGTGAGGGGAAACGACTGGAGGCGCTCTTTGAGTCGGCAGTTGGACAGTCTTAGTTTGATGACTATTCAGTCAAATGCATAAATACTCAAGGAAATAGCCAGAAGCCTAAAGCTGATATGTCCATGTTGTAACACCTCTGCGGTCGACCTGGTAAATATACTCATACAACTGCTTCAAGATCTATAGAGCTATGCTAGCGTAGTCATTATCCTGCGCTAGTATCGCTTCTGCGTGCATCTGGTGGAGGCTTATTACTGAGACTGTGTTCACCCATTTGCTGCTCTTAGCACTTGCACCCTTCTGTTAGATTCATTACTAAGCCTGGCGCAACAGAATCACTCCGAAAGTAACAAATACCTATGCCAAACCTATGTGTAAATAACCAATCAATGTCGAAAAAGTGCAAAGTTCATCGTGTAAACAAGGGTCCCCCTCGTTGAAGACGGATTTTGTGATACGCCGGGCCGACCCTCGCACTGCGGAGTTGCCCGACGGACCGACCATGGAAAGGAATGCACGTCGACGCGTGACTACATAAGCTAATAGCATGTTCTAAGGTTCAATATACATCATGAGTTATGTCGATTGCAATCATTTACTCCTACTCGAAAACCCCCGACCGCTTGTCATACAACATACAACATGGGCTTTCTTGAATGTAGGATCAGTTTCGAAGGCACTTCTCGAGAATGATTTTGGAGGAAGGGAAAAGGCAAAGACGAACAGAAAACAATGAACAACCAGGTAGAGCTCTTTGTTGCGCAGGATCACATAAATCACACATAATATTAGGGAGTCCTCTTATCTTCGGCCTATCAGATCCCTTCAAATTCTCCGGCCATTTAGCCGAACCACCTAACCTAATTCTCTCCAGAAATAGAGCATTCAATGTCTTAAAATCTTGGCTTCGGATCTAGGATTTGGAGAAGTTTATTATTCAACTAATATATCTCCCCTGAATTGCATTAGTGTACCTTTCAATTCTGCTACCCTCAGATCCCTCATAATACAATGGCACCGAACCTCACTTCTTCCACATAGTTACGTAAAAGAATTAAGCCAGTGGAGACATCGCAGATATCGTTTCTTTTAGCGAAGATAGAGGGATGGGGAATACGAGGAGGCTTGCTTGGCGAATGGTCGGAGATAGGGACAGTCGAAGGGGCAGATTTCCTAATTAGGAATATGGATCTGATAAGATCTCGCTGAGTGGTGACAGAGACATCAGCCCTGTCTTGGCACTTAGTACCACGAGGTAGGATCTTGTAAGGATAGAGCTGACCTTCTGCATTCCACCGCAACTATAAAGTCATGATGCGCCTTTGCATTCTGGCATAACGACACACGACTGGCTGACATTTCAACGAGCCGCAATACCCCCTAACCCTGACTCTCATCCAACATGCAGTTCAAGGTTGATCACATCTCTTCCCTTGCAGTCCTACGACGCATTCTGACCCTACTAGATCCTTGCCCTTTCGACCCTTGTGGCCACTGCTGCTGCCACCTTGGACATCGCCTTCAGCGGCTACTACTATGCCGACTGCGTGTCCCCCAGCATTGAGGCTGCCAACGTGATCTCTGGCGCCTGTGGACCAAACAACGGCCTCCCTCTCAAGTCTTTCTCGGCGCGCATCTACTCCGGCTCCTGCGATACTGGTACATCGCCCGTTTTGAAGCTGTACACCGCCACGGGCTGTACTGAAGAGTCACTGTACGGCGAATACAACGTTACCAGCGATACCCAGTGCTTCGCGGTGGATGGAACATTCTTGAGCAATGAAGTTGTTTGCGAGTAGTGGGATTAGAGTGAGCGTGCTCTCTAGTTGTATTTACTTTCTCAATTTAAGTACATAATCGCCAGTCCTATACGGCCAGCTGCCGAGATGGGGATATTTGTCAAGTCAATTCCAGCTGTGAGCGATGATGTGGTAGCCTATGTAGTATGAATATGGAGTTAGATCATCGAGTCGAGTAGGAGACCCGCGGGCCATAACTATACGAAGAGGTGCGATCATTTCACCCAATGGAAAATATAGGAGCGGCTTTTACATGAAGGTAGTATGGGGTGATTTATTAAAAGGCAGACATGAAAGCATACACTTGTGGTTCACGCGAAATCAACGGGATCGGGTGAGCAATATATGGCAGCGAGTTCATGAATATCATCCATGGAGTTCAGCAGGCGGCTTGAGCAGGAGAGGTGATAGCATTGAATCATTGAGCGTAAATAGCATAGTGCACATTTTTGAGGTTCATGAATTATTGGTATATAATATCGAGTTAGTTAATATTAGGTTTCATGCTGCCTTTAGAGCGTTAAGCAAGCAAAATATTAATCAGTAGCTTTAATATTTATATAGCTATGTGTAGCATATGACGTAATCACCGGGGCAATGGCGCATCTGGGAGCGCGTCAGACTGAAGATCTGGAGGTGGCCGGTTCAAGCCCGGCTTGCCCCATTCCTTTTTGATTGTCTTTTTTTTTCCACATTTGATTTCGCTCTGCTTAATATATAAAACTCCTGGAAATTTCTGATTGAACCTTCTTAAGGCAAAAGAAACTTTTGTTTACAGCAGACTCTGCCATCAAATAGATGGGCGTAGAAATATATGTCGATGGGTGAAACCTGCCAATGACCCTGAGCCTCATAGTCTGAATATATATTTTTGCGTAATCCAGTACCACCACTCACACCCACCTTCATAGCATCATTGTAACATCATGTCCTTTCAGCGTCTTGCAGTGTATCAGCTTTCACCGTCACCTAAAACCCAACATGGAGGCTCGATAATTGAGACATTAACGCATGACTACTTGTAGTATTTGCTGACTCCCAGACTGAGGTCAAACCTCCCGTCTCCCTCGTCATTTGCGCCCAAGAAGTGACGACCGGTGGTATGGAAGCAGAAGGATCACCCCTTATTAAAATTATTACAGAGTATGCTGTAGGTACAGACGATCCCGAAAATAGACGAGATATTGATACAGTGATAACCCGTTACAACTCTTTCGACACGAAATAGGCATCATTCTGCAACTTCTGCATCACGCCCCTTGGATCATACCTCTCAGCAACGGCGGCAATATACTTGACATTGTCTTCACCATATCCTCGCAGGACCTGCTGATTAGGGCCAGCATCATTGGCGAAAATGTAAGGAAGATGAACACTCTGAGACTGGGCGCTCGAGGTAAGGTTGGCTAGAAGAGATTCCACGGCGTTGGCTACCGTTGACTGACTAACCGTGGCGGGGAATTGGGCAAAGATCTCCCCCCCTGTCCAAGTATTCAGTTAGTACTGCGTTCCTCAGATAGATTGGGAATTGATCGGGCACAAGGGATACATACAAACTTGAGGTGTGGCCTCCAGGCCAAACAAATTACCACCATTCTGGGTCTGGCTTTTGGTAACTAGGTTTGGGATGATGCCCTGAGGCACGTACTCGAGTATTACGCCCAAAGGCAGGAGCGATGCGGCAGTTTTAAGGTAGGCCTTGAAGCTTTCCTGGAGAAAGCTGGGGCTGGTAACCTTGAAGGCAAAAGAAATGCTATAGGTATATAATGAGCCAACCACACCGGCATTGCCAATGTCGAGGAGGACTTGATTTAGGGAGGCATTGGTAGGAGGATAAACAGTCGAGACCGACGGGACTTGGGAGAAAGCATTAAAGGCGGATGGCGCTGACACATGGTCGAGATATCCGTAGAAGACTAGTGTATATGCTGGATTCGTCTGAATCTCGACATTGCTGCGGATATCGGCATTTTGGAGATATGCTGCGTAGGCAGCAAGCAGTGCGGGAGTCTCAGCGAGGGTATAGTTCTTGACCTCGAACCAGACATCGATGCCGGTATTGGTGGTGAGGTCGTATTCCACCACGATGCCTGGGTTCGATTAGTCACATAAAAGAGGTCACCGAGGTGAGTATTAGGCCTACCAAAGTTGTTCAGACCTCCTTTCAGCCCCTTGTATAGATCGGCATGCTCGGTTTGGGTAGCGTTGACGATGGTCCCATTGGGGGTTACCACCTGGAATCGGGTGACCGTGTCAATGGCCAGACCATTGGTGTTATAGAAGAGACTAAGACCACCTATTGTAATTAGTATCATGTTTATTTTCCCAGAATATGATAGAGGAAGCATTGGCTTACCCCCCAGGACGAAGCCACCAACTCCCACAACGGGCTCTCGCCCCCCGAGTACGGTCAGATTGTACTGCTCCAGATATTGGTACACGGCTTCCCAGCGATTGCCCGGTCCAACAGTGAGGGTCTTCCGGTCCGCGCTGATCGAGAGTGTGTTCAACCTTCCAAGCGCAACTAGCACTCCGTTGCTACCAATCGAACTGAACCCTGGATTGGAACTGTGCCCACCCGAGCGAATGGAGAATTTGGTCTCCAGAATACTAAGGATTTGGATGACAAGCGAAACCTCCTGAGCAGATCTGGGCGTCACAATGCAGGACGCGTTCAGGCGGCTGTTCCCTGACCAGGTCTCATCAATTAGAGCCTCATAGTAGGGTGAGCTGGCGGTAAAGGTCTCATTCTTTGGAAATGTACGACTCAGCAGATTGCAGGTGTACCCCACATTCCCGACGAGCACATTGCCGGCTGGGAGAGAAAGGCCCAGCGAGGAAAGAGAACCGGCAGCTGATGGGGTCGTGGAAGCAGCAACAGAGGAAGATAGAGAAACGTCTGCAGCGGTTCCCGATGTTGAAAAAACCGCAACGGCACCCAGAATATAGGCAAGATTGACCATCCTGACCGTCAGATTGAATACTGGCTGATAAGTTCAGTAAGTCATCCGGTTGTCGCAAGCTTGTGGTTGGGAGTCATTTGAAGCTTTAAATCGGGGCTCGGGCGAACATTTAATCAATACCTGGATTGATCGTCTATCCAAAATACGCGGCGGAGCTGAAATTACCCATTGCATCGTTCGTCGGGCATTACATAGTCCACAAGCACATCGCTGACGATGGAGCGAGCGAGGATCAGCGAACCATTTTGGTAGACGCACGGGTGGGACTCGTATTGGGATCCGCCTCCCACACCCCCCAACCCAATCGGCCGACATTCAGCTGAAGAGGACATTGTCAGATTCTCATACGCCGAAGATGACCTGATTTGGTAGCTTCTCCTTTTTGATGACGACGTATTATTTGTCAAGATGGTTGTTGTGGGGTGTTGTTCACCGCAGCAGGTAGAATGAAGCTTGCAATCAACCGCCATTCGTAGTACTGTATTCCTTCTAAGATTGAGCCATGTGATTACAATAGCTTTATTTGGGAGATGTTGCGGATCTACAGGGTTTCAGAAATTGGCTCTGGCCACCATCCTGCAGTCTCAGGCCTACCCCTGCCTGAAGTGACAGCCTTAGCTTACCCAGTGGCCGAGACCAATCAATCTTGGACCGCCTTCGCATAGAAGAAGCTGAATAGATCCAATCAATTAGAAGGAAATATGTGCGTGTTCAACCAGGAACTGCAACTGATCAGTCAGATTCGATGCACGCTAGTGATAACCTGTCTTTTAGCATATACATAACCCTATGCACATTCAGAAGGAGTAGTATTTATTCTCTTCCTTCGATAGTATCAAGTAATAATAAAGGTCAATGTACTCCGTATTGTCTTCTACTCCGACTTTTCGCCTTTGGCCACGGTTGCCTGCCCCTTTTGCACCTGAAACCTCTCTCGTGCTCGCTGCTGTGCTCCCCGATCGGCATATCGACGCTGGAACCAACTTTGTTCCATTTTATCACAGGCCGCGTCCCAATTGGTCGTCCATTCAGGGTAAAAGGGGGCATAGCCCAGTAGTCCACCGATCCATCGGCCGATCACGATGCCCAGGATTAGGCCAACCCAGGCGCGAAAGGGCACCCACCACGGCGGGGACAGATATGTACCTCCGGCATCGAACATCTACCGGATCGTCAATGAGCCGGCCTGCCGATTGCATTGCAGGGAAAGCCCCGAAGGAAGCTTAGCTACCAAGTTTTACTCACCGCTAGCACTTGAATCAAGTCGATCTTCTCCCCCCGCTGGAAGATGTCCTCTTGATACCCATACCAATTTTCGAAGAATTCTTGATCCATGGCCGTGGCCCCCTCTTCCTCATCGGTAGCACTGACGAGGAACTCCACTTCATTCATCTCCGTGCCAGGGGTACCATAAATGACATGATGGGTATATGGGGGTACTGCCATCTCCCCATCGTCGACGGTGCGGTGCACGGGAACGCCATTAATGTCAATGGTGAGGTTACCTCGAAGGACACGGAAGAATTCCCACTGCGAGGGATGGAAGTGGGTTGGGGGCTTCTTCCCGGTCGCAACGAGCTTGGCGTAGATGCCACGACTGGGCCGCATGATGCCATGGAAGAGAAATTGACGATCTGCCGGGCGAGGCATCGTGGCGACGGAGATGGCTCCATCGAACTTGGTCAGCGGGTCTTCGCCCGCAGTGAATGTCCGGGGCTTGCAGGGGGCCATGGCAGGTAGTCGCAAAGTATACTACTATACGACTAGTAGGTACTAAATCCTGAGTACTGTGCCACAGCACCTAGTAGTTTAAGTAGTCTATCCGTAGGGGTAGTAGGACGAAGAGCAGGGGGATGAGGGAATAATGAATCTCAGGGGCAAACCCGGAGAGCAAGAAAAAAGAAAGAAGACAAGAATGGTATTGGAATTGGGAATTATCAACGCCATAAATGCAGACACTACATAGTTTCTATATTGCCTACATTTGGGCATTTAATAGTGTGCTCTACATGTTTTGAGGATGGATCGGAGTGAAGAGTCATCTGTCAGACTGTGAGGTGATGAAGCAAATAGGCCCCAACAGCATTCCTTTTGTCTCTTTCCGGCCGAGTTGGGCCGAGCTCGAACTCTAAAGCGAACTGACAAACTCGATCGTCGGACGAGATCGAGATACCCCTGTCACTTTCCTCTTTGGGACATTCGTCGGCCGAATGCTGAGTCATGCCTGATGACTCAGCTGTTATTTGTCAGCCCTGCAGCGCCAAGCCAAACAAACAAGGGAGAGCGTGACATGTAATTAGTGATTCTGCCAGCGGTATTAACACCTCCAGGCCCAGCTGGGTCGCCTTTTCGGCGACAGCTAACTGTGATATTTTCCTTCTGTCCTCACCTCTCTTCCCGGTAACTCACAGTTTGATAATTGTCACCACGTTTCGCTCTCGGTTGTTCGATATACTCTTTGCTCGTCCAATCCAACTACCATCTCGTATCCGTCCTAGGGCTACTACGGCCGTCACCACCACCACCGCCGCCATGGTCAAGTTTTTTCAGCCAAAGGTTGATCCCTTGCCTACGGGCATTGACTTGACGGGCAAGACCGCGGTCATCACCGGTGCCAGTGCAGGCATGGGTCTGGAAGTCACCAAGCAGCTTTTGCGCTTGCGCCTCTCCACCGCCATCCTCGCCGTGCGCAATGTCACCAAAGGGGAGGCCTGCATCAAATCGCTGCTGCAGGACCGCGGCATTCAAACCCACAACCCCAAACCCACCATCAAGGTCATGGAGCTTGACATGGACCGATACGATAGCGTGCAGCAATTCGCGAAAACTCTCCGCGAAGAGGTTCCGGTCGTTGACCTCCTCATCCTCAATGCGGGAGTTGCTTCTCTGAACTTCGAACGTAGCCCAAGTGGCCACGAGAGGGTGACCCAGGTCAACTACTGCTCCAACGTCCTGCTCGTGGCCGAGCTTCTCCCTCACCTGGAAGCCGGTGCGGAGCAGACCGGTTCCCCTGCCCGGATCAGTTGGGTAGGCAGTCGTTCGCACGAGACACCCAGTTTCGAGAAGAAGGCCCCCGTTGGAGCCGACGAGGGGGTCTTGGAGCATATGGACAAAGAGGAAGCTTTTGTCCCTTTCCAACGGTATAATGATACCAAGTTACTCTGTGTGCTGTTCTTGTACAGCCTGGCGCCGCGCCTGGATCCTAAAAAGGTCGTCATCAATACAATGTGTCCGGGTATGGTGAACACCGGGATGAGCAACATGCTCCCACTACATCTGCGCTTGATTTTCAACGTCATCAAAGCCATTCGCGCCCGTCCAGTCGAGGTTGGGGGCTGGATTATCCTGAACGCTGCAGTCGTTGCAGGCCCAGAGTCCCATGGGAAGTTCCTGGCGGATAAGACCATCACCGAGTAAGTCCCTCTTGAGCTTCGTCCCGATAAACCCCACGACTAACATGAATTCTCTTTTAGTAAATCCGCAATTGTTACCTCCCCGATGGGCCAGGATATTCAAAAGAAACTTTGGGAAGAGACAATCACCGAGCTGAGCAAGTTGACCACCCTTCCTCCCCAGTTCCGTTAAATTGAACTGGTTAACAAGCCATGACGACGGATTATGTGTTTCCTGCCGTTCTCAACATTTTTAATACTCCCTTGGCTTTTTTCGAGTGTTTTCATGTTTTCCTTTCTTCTTATTTCCCTCGACTGCTGTGGTCATTCCCTTCCGCTATATCTCTTTCTATCGTCGACCAGTGCAAGTGGTACGATTACGACATCTCATGTACTAGAAGAACTATTCTGAACGCATATAACTAGCTCAATCCTACCCGATAAGTATTAATAAAAACCTTAGCCACGTTGAATCCTGGACACTAGCCTCTTTGCGTAATCTTCGATCCACTCTGCTCCCACTGTGTCCGGCAACATGGCTCACGGCGATATTTTCCACGCTTTTGCCACGAAGTTTCCCGGAACCGCCGCTGCGGACCGTCGCGTATGCTCCAACGCGATGAACAACGGCCCTCTTTCATCTTGGATCCCACTGGCCAGGGCCACCGGCATCACACTCCAATGCACGCGGCTCCAGAAGTACCAGCCTGCCGTCACAGTGTATCCCACCCACCGTCGGACCGTGGAAGCCTCCCCCGCCGACCGGTCATCGATCCCCAGCATCCAGCACACGAAGTCCTCGATCATGATGAACACTGCCTGCGAGATGAAATATTTCACCTCTCCACCATACGATGATGGCCTCCCCATTCCGCGCGACACGTGGTACGATCCACACGTATGAATCAAGCCCGATACGACGAATGTTATCAGCACGAGCAAATACCGTCTGATCAGCCGAGCAGGTCGCCGTTTCGAAGTTCGCATTGCTACAGGTAGTAAGGACATTATATAAGCCGCAGGTGCCCCTGTATGGCGCCGTAGCTGCTGGTGCCAGGTGATGCCCCAGAAACGTCGAAGGCTGTATGACTCCCACAAACTACCGTAATCTGGAGGCCAGGCGGACATATCACGCCATGCGACGGGGCCAGTCTGCAGACCAACGCAGAGAATAGATAGTGGCAAGACGAAGAGCGCGAAGTGGCTGTAAATAACCAATGCAAGGCCCAGGACTATTAGCCCGTACAGGAACAAATCACCCATGAGGATTTGAATCGGATTGCCATCGTCAATTCCTGGGCTTGGGTACGAAGCGAGAAGCTCCTGACACGTAACCTCGAGCAAGTACAGTCCGGCGTACATGGCGATTATTGTCAGGAGACGAGCTGTCACAAAGCGAGCTCGGGATTTTGGTGCCGTGAGCTCTGGAATACGGGACACGCGCCAATCCCAACCGATACCGCGGGTGACACTGAAAAGCTCCAATGCCCAGGGCAAGCGTTGGGTGAGGGGAAGCCTGGTAGCATCTTCCTCGCTCTGGTTGGTGGATGAGATGCGGTGGAACGATTCTTCAGGAACATTAGTGTAGAGTCGGTCAAGGTAGCGAGCTAGGAGATTGGCCATTAGCACGCCCGTGGTGTAGAGAACAGCCGAGTCGGAGGTCGGTGGTGGAGGTGCCACAAAGGCCTGCAAAGCGCAGGTAATCTGGAGGAGCAGCAGGCCATAACGGAGGATAGATTTGCGCGGAGCTGAAGGGATGCACACGGCGAGGAGGAAGGCGAGAGCAGTATAGTGCGTGCTGACCAGGGAGCGAGAAAGGAGCACTTCCCAGACCCACGAGTGGAATGGAGCAGGCTCCTGAAGTTCCACCTTCGAATCACCCATAACTAACGTAAGCTATGATCACAGCGCCACGAGGTTTCACCGTTCTCTCCGCTTGCTTATGTGTCTCCCTTATGTAAACCTTTCGGGCTTCGGTGCTGTCGGTCGTTGTTGGGACGGTGGATTCGGCCGATCGGCGGTCCTGAAGTAATAGTTTATATGCCCCGAGAGAACACCCCGGGCATGAATCCACTACAGGTCCACCAGCCATGGCGTTATTCTCTGCGTTATCCAGCTCATTGTCGCAACTGCCTGTCAGCGTCTGGCTCATTGCGGCGGCCACCTTTGCTGTCTACCATGCTATCCGTGCCGTGTATCTGATCTTCTTCAGCCCGCTGGCTATCTTCCCGGGGTCACCATGGGCCGCTTTGGGTGAATAGTGGGTGTCACAATTTCCCAGCACTCGAGGATACTTGCTGACAGTACCGATGCTGCAGCTGGGAGGCATACTGGAACATCGGCCTTCGGCCGGGCCACAAGGGGCAAACACTGTTCAAGCTTGAACAGATGCACAAGCGTCTGGGGCCTGCCCTACGCATGGGACCGAATGAGGTTCACATCTATGATCCAGCCTTCTATCATGAGTTGTACCGGCCAGGGAGCCAGTATTACAAAGACCCTTCTATGCACAAGGTGCTGGGGGCGCCGACAAGCACCCTGGCGGAGAGTGACCCCGTCCGTCACAAGCAGCGCAAAGCGCCATTGGAGCCTCTGTTCTCCAAGAAGAACATCCTCAGTCTGGAGAACATGTTGATGGAACATGTTGACCACTGCAGTCAACGGTTTGATGAGCTTTACAGCCAGGGGAAGCCTGTCTCCATGGAGTGGGCCCTGAAATCTCTTGCGATGGGTATGTACACCTTGCCTAGCTTTCCGACCGCAGTTTTCATGTACAAGGTCACTAACAGTGTCAACCAGATATGGTTTCCCAATTTGCCTTTGGCCAGTCTCTAAATGCTATTGCGGATCCAGAGTTCAAGTCCCTCCCCGTGCGCGTGTTCCAGCAATATCTACCGAGCCTGCACGTTATTAAGGCCTTTCCGTTTGTGCGGCTTCTCAGCTCACTGCCACTATGGATCGCGAGGCGAATTTCGCATTCTGTTGAAATGGGGCACGAGCTGGAACAGGTATGCTCTGCGCATGGAAGCACGTCCTTTCAACGACCATGATGCTTGTTCCGCTGCTCTGACTGAAGTACTTACTAATTATATGTAGTTTGCGGCCCGCCGGATAGACGAATATATCGAAGCCGCAGCACAAGGGAAAACTCCTAATTTCCCCACTGTCATGGAGCGGCTGCTTATTCCCATTCCCGAAAAGGGTTACGAAGTGCCCGACAAACAAGGGCTGCGCGATGAGATCCTGACGCTCATATCTGCTGGAGATGACACCACCGGCATTGCCAATACCGTCACCCTGTTCAACATCATCCACAACCGGACGATCCACGACCGTCTCCTGGCGGAGTTGAAGACGGTCATGCCGACGCCAACCTCTCATGCCCAATACATCCAGCTCGAGCAGCTGCCGTATCTGGTCTGTCTGCTATCATAATCAATTGTCGCCGTCTACAATAGAGTCAGGCTAACCGAGATGTCATACACAACAGACAGCAGTCATCAAGGAAGGATTGCGATACTCATCCCCCGCCGCCTCCCGTACTCCGCGCCTTGTACCCCCCGGTGGCGTTCGTCTCCCTGATGGTCGATTTATCCCTGCTGGCACACGAGTGGGCATGGCCATCTACCACATCCACTATAATGAGGACCTCTTTGAGAACCCGCATGAGTTTGATCCAGAGCGATGGTTGCAGGGACCGGAGATCACGGCAAAGAGAGCCAAGTTTCTGGTACCCTTCTCGCGGGGCAGTCGTTCATGTTTAGGAATCAAGTATGTATAATCCATGCCGGTACTGATAGTGACTGACATTTTTGGTATAGCCTGGCGTACATGGAAATGTATATGGCAATTGCGTACATTGTGCGACGATTTGACCTGGAGTTGGTGGGCACGACACCGGAGGACATGAAGTGGGATGACATGGTCGTGCCACAGTTCCACGGAGAGTTCCGGGCACTCACGAAGCGGCGCATGGACTAGGAAAGCCGGTTCAAAGTATAAGTGGAGTGTCTCAATGGCATATAAGATTATATGTTCTCTAAGCTTAATGGGGAGGGGCGCCATGCGGTACCAATATATTTTGTCAATTCCTTTCGGGGGCACAGATCTGCCCGCTCGTACGTGGCCGCCCAATATTGGCGAAAATTTACCTTTGGACTTATATACAATACATGGTTAGAATATGCGGCACACTATAAACTCCTTTTTATCATAATAATATTAACCTTCCATAAAAATTAGGTTTGATTGCGTCAAGTTTGGTAAAGCTTCAACGAATGAACGCGAAAACCATATGTGTATAGATAGATATGTCTTATCTTCAATCCGTGCATTTATACTCTGTGAGAAATAATCTAGTTAGCGCTTACTGTTAGGATATCGCCTTTATAGGTTCCTATTATTCTCAGGGTTAGTATGATTCGGCGGATGTCCCGTGACATAGGGGCCCGAGGGCGTGCGTGATGAGGCTAATATTAAAGGTATTCATGGTTTATAAAAGTTACCTAAATTTATGAAAAAGTTATTAAAAGTTATTTAGAGTTCTTGATAATTAAATAAAAGTGTCATATAACTAGCCGGTTAAAATAAGGTTTATTAGATTATTTATTATTATTTTATTAATATATATCAATTTCTTTATTTTTATATATGAGTTTAAAATTATTTTATACTTACATTATATATCGCGGGATACATCTTGAAGTTATATACGATTATATATATATTATAAAACTATTATATTACTTCATATGTAATTACCCGGTATTCAAAACATTTATCAAGTTATTAATTATTATTAATATACTTATTTTAATTAATAATTACAAATAACTATTAAAAGCTGTTAATAACTTTTAATAGCTTTTGAAAATTATGATATACTGTTTATAATTGGCTACGGCCTCCCAACAACTTCCGCCAGCGGCCTACTATGGACCTTTAAAAAACTTATTCCATAATATATATGCCAGAAGCATATTAAGGTATACTTAAGATAACTACATGTCAAAGAAGCATACAAACCGTACTTAATCTTGTCGAATGTTACAATATGTGGGTGTCACCCAGACAAGCATGGGAAATTAACTCCAGTTATGGCAATCGGCCAAGCGTCTTTCAAAAACTTCAAACGAAGATGAGGGATGGGGATATCATAGTTGCTCAAATTCAATGCATAACAGTCCAATAATATCTTAATGTACATGATTAAGCATCCAGCTCCTTTGTAAAGTGCTTCACCAAATGCTGCACAGTCGGGCATTTCCAGATTAACGTTGGCCCGACTGGCACTTTGAGCGTCTGTTGCAGGGTCATTCGGAAATTGACCGTCATCACTGAATCCATACCCATCTCTGCCAATGCCACAGCATCATCGATCTCGTCCTCCTTGACCGACAATGTCTTCGATACACATCCATTAATGACATCCCGGAGATGTTGCTCCAACTCCCTTCCACTCAACTTCACTTCCTGGCTACCCGCGGGATGCTCTCCAGCATTGACAACCTCTGCCTTCCTTGTAGCGATGTCCGTAAGAATAGGATGGGGCAAGGGCTCGCCACCTTCTAACACTCTCGCTCGCACAATTACTGCATGATCTGTGCCTCCGCCACCAGTAGATGCCACGGCACTCCAGGCCCGGAACGCTTCGTCGGGTGTGATATCGGTGATTCCGCGCGCGTAGAGCTCCGCTTCCATCGCGCCGTTGGCGGACTGCCCCATGCCCATTCCACGCCACGTGGTCCAGAGCAGAGAGATGGCATTATCGCCCTGGGCTCTGCGAGACCGAGCGAGGCCATCGAGAAAGGCGTTTCCGCTGGCGTACGATGCTTGCCCGGGAAATCCGAGTAGCTGACCGCATGAAGAGAACAGAACAAAGAAGTCCAGGGACGCTGGAGGGAAGACATCATGTAAGTTGAGAGCACCTTTGATCTTAGGCGCTAGTACAGACTCCAGGACGTCCGGGGTCACTTGCTCAACAAGTTGGTCACTGACAATTCCAGCGGCATGGATAACACCAGCCACGGGAGGGAGGTTCAGAGTCTCCAGGGTGGACCGAAGTCCGGAGGCAGCCATGGGCAGAGAGATGTCGATGGGGAGGCAGTGGACCGTGGCTCCGAGGCGTTCGAGGGCCAAAATGCTTTGGATGGTAGGATTGTTCATATGCGTGGAGGACCATGTGCTGCGCGGAGGAAGAGCGCGACGAGACAGCAAGAGGAGCCGCCGAGCGCCTTGAGTAACCATCCAGTGGGCAACTGACAGTCCAAGAGCACCCAGTCCGCCGGTGATGAGATAGGTCGAGGCCGGAGAGAAGGTGAGAGGCGAAAAGGAGGAAGAAGCAGATGGAAGCGGCCGAAGACGGGCAATGCGTGGGACGCCATCTTTGATCTTGACCACGTCGGCATCCCGAACATAGCGCATGGCCATAAGTGGGAGAGAGACAGTGTCTTCGACCTCAATGAGACTACCCCAGATGTCAGGGTGCTCAGCCTGGATGATTCGGCTGAGACCCGAAAGAGCGCTGTGACCGAGTTCGGTTCCTGCAGTGAGGACAAAGACTCGCGTAGTTGAAGAAGCAGCCGCAGTGATAGTCTGTATGATGGAAACAAGGTCATTACAGGATCTGGTTGCCGTATCAAAGGCATCTGTCATGGTCTGTGGCAGATAGACCACCGCGAGAGAGGGATGACTGGTCAAGGGTAGGTCTGAAGCGGCCTGGTGGACGGAGGAGGAGATGGTCAGCGCATCGAGCTGGCTCTGATATTGTTCCAGCCGAGGATCGGTGATGTCTGGCGTTACAAAGGCGATGTGACTGAATTCCGAAGGGTCCTCGACAAGTGCTGCCGGAGGCCATTGAATCTGGTGGACTAGACCTGCAGTGCTCTTTCGCGAGAAGCTCTCGCCCTCTAAGCCGGCAAATGACATGCCCTGGATCTCCATCAAAACTGTGCCATTCTCGCCAGTAAGGGTCACATCAGCCGTGCACTCGCTGGTGGATGCGACTTTCGCGCAGTGGATGTAGACTACTCGCGGGATAGGGATCTCATGGACGGCAACGACACGACGCACTGACGTGGGCATGCGAAGCAGAGGCTGGCGGTGCCAAAGAGTAGAGGAGATGGAGGTCGCAGCATCCATGAGCGAAGTCAAGAAGTCATTCATCCCTCCCATATTATCCGGGTTTGCGTCTACCCGTGCCAGCATCTCGTCGTCGCTGGCGACATGGTCGGTCACTTGCCACGGAAAGCCCATGGCAGATACACCTACGGATGCTAGGTAGTCGATGGAAAAGCTGTCAGCCAGCTTTTGGGGCAATCGCTTGCGCAACTCTGACAGGTCCATACGACTCTGACTAGGCACAACGTTCGCGGCACCCACTGCAGCCGTGGTGTTTACCAACCAGGACCCATCCTCTTGGCTGCTCGACTCCTCCAGGCACGAAGTGATGGTAATGTTGCGGGTGTTGTGGCGAATCTGGACCTTGCGAGCCGGCGACACCACAACCGGGACTTGAAGCGACACCTGCTCTACACACCGGGGCGTCAGAGCCTGCAGGAATGTACGTAGCAACACCGCCGCCGGCACGATCTCGGAACCATGGAGCGGGTGATGACCGGGAAATGGCCGGTTCTCCTCCTCTAAGCGCGTCTGATACAGCACCTCTTCTGTACCCCAAAGGGCGATGCGTTTTCCCAAAAGGTTGTTAGCAGCCGGATCGTGGGTGGTTTCGAGTTGGGATGATGCCGCTGTTTGGCTCACGGCTCGATAGAATGGTTGGTGGTGCCAGAGAGTACCGGGTACGCTCGAGTTCCAAGGCGCATTAGGGTCCAACTCATTGAATTTAATGGCACAACCGAAGCAATGCAGTCGACCTGTCGCGGCCAAAATGCTCTTTAGCGCAGGCTGGCGACGTACCATGGTAGGGGTGACGAGAACGGGGTCCTCGGTACATTCCCCCATAGTTTCCACGACGGAGTGTGTCACGATGGGGTGACTAGACACTTCCACCAGGGCCCGGAAGCCATCTTGTGCAATGGCGGCGATAGCAGACTGCAGCCGAACGGGCTGGATCATGTTGGTCACCCAATACTGGGCATCGCGCAAAACCTCGGAACGGGGATCCGGCTGCGAGGTCGAAAAGAGCGCCCGGTTGGGGACACGGGGATGAAGCTCTCCCCGTAGCGACTCATAAAGAGGCTTGGCCAATCTCTCCAGCATTGGCGTATGGAAGGGCACGTCCGAGGCAACCATACGCACCTCAATTCCCTCTTCGCGCCACCGATCTGAGAGTTGCTTAACGGCGTCCACCTCACCAGACAAAACACACGCGCTAGGGGATGTTTCAATCGCTACCCAAACTCCAATTTGCCTGCCAATACGGGTACGAGCCTCCTCAGCAGATACTCGCACTAGAGCCATAGCGCCTTGCCCCATGAGCTCGCGATATAGCCGCGCCCGACGGCACACGACGAGAGCCCCTTCGCGCCAGGTCAAAGCGCCGGACACCACGGCTGCGGCGGCCTCGCCTAGGGAGTGGCCCACGACAGCACTGGGAGGCCCTGACTCAATCTCTAGGACGGCTGCAATGCCAAGATGCATCAGGAACGTCATTACCTGTACCACGTCGGAGCGATCGGGACATCCCTTTTGCAGAGTTTCAATGGCGGAGAATCCTACCTCATCCTGGATGATGGGCTCTAGGTTGCGGACCACCTCCTCGAATGCCGGACTCGATTCGAATAACTCACGGCCCATGTCTGCCCACTGCGCACCATGACCAGAAAAGATCCACACCGGGCCCTTAGCGGCCTTAGCATCGATCTTGTCCTTGATAACCCATCGATTCGGTGCCTCCTTGCTAACATCATCGAGTGCGGCAATAGCATCGGGGACGGAGTCCGCCACAATGGCATGGCGGTAGCGATGGTGAGCCCGGCGTTGAGCCAGAGTCGACGAGACGGTCTTGAGAGATATAGATGCTTCATTCTCGCTAAGCCATTGCTTTAGAGCGCCCGCGGCGGCGGAAACCCGACGAGCCTGGGGTGCGGAAATGAGGAGAAGAACGGGCGAAGGATCATCGCCGGTAGGGATCTGCGACAGACGCTCGGCAAATTCGGAGTGTCCTGCAAATGCTTCGAGTACCGCGTGCGACACAGTACCACTATATCCGTATGATGCCACGGCCGCGCGTAAAGGATGAATCGGCCCCGGGCACGGCAAGGTCACCAGCTCGCGCGGTGGACACAGCAGATTCTCGTTCCATGCAATTTTGCTATTCAGCGTCTTGAGATTGGCCTGCGGGGGAACCTGGCCGTGGCGAAGAACCAGTACCGCTTTGATGAGTCCCATCACTCCGGCACCGGCCTCCAAATGACCAATGTTGGGCTTGATGGAGCCGATATAACAGGGATCAGATGGGCTGCGCCCCGATCCCGCACCATAGACTTCGGCCAGAGCGTTGGTTTCGGTCGGATCGCCCAGGGATGTGGACGTCGCATGAGCTTCGACGTAGTTGATCGAATCAGCAGACACTTTGGCCTCTGCGAGAGCCTTCTGGGCCACTAGTAGTTGGGCACGCGCATTGGGGGCCATGATCCCCAAGGTCTTGCCATCCGAAGCGACTGCACTGCCCTTGAGCACAGCCAGCACATGGTCGCCATCTGCAAGTGCCTTGTCCAGTCGCTTGAGAATCACGACACCTGCCCCTTCTCCTCTACCATAGCCGCTGGCTGTCTCATCGAAGGAGCGACACTTGCCATCGGTAGATATAGCTCCAGCTTCGTCCAGCACTCGGGTCAAGCCGGGACCAAGCAGAGCATTGACCCCACCTGCTATTGCCAGATCAGTTTCTCCAGCCCGGATTGCCTGGCGTGCGTGGTGGACAGCCACCAAGGAGGAAGCACAAGCTGCGTCCAAGGCAACGCTGGGTCCCATGAGATCCAAAATATACGAGATCCGGCTCGGAATCCCACAATAGGCAGTGCCCACCCCCATGTGAGCGTCAACATTCGGCAGATCTTCGAGGAGTAACTTGGCGTAGTCGTCTGAGTTTACCCCCATGTAGACCGAGGTGTTGGAACCCGCAAGCTGGGGAGGTGATATTCCGGCATTTTCCAGGGCCTCCCAGGCAACCTCCAGCGCAAGGCGTTGCTGAGGATCCATTTGCTCCGCCTCTCTAGGTGAAATGGAGAAGAAGGCAGCATCAAAATGATCAATGTTGTCGAGGAAGTAACCCTTGGCTGTGGTCTGGGCGAGCAGGGCCGCATTGCGAGGATGGCGCTGTCGATAGGGCTCCCAACGCCAGTCGGGAAGGCTACCAGATGCATCCCCCTTCTTCAAGAGGTATTGCCACAGACTGTCGGGTGAGCGGACGTCTCCGGGCGTGCGACAGGCCATTCCAATAATGGCGACATCAGCAAGGGCATCTCCAGGCCTGTCCGGGACTTCGTGGCCCTCGGTACTGGTCGCCGGCGTGGTGAATTCCTTGCCGTTGTCGGAGCCCTCAGCAGGGGTGGAGAACTTTGTGCTGCTTCTGGAGGCGGGCATGATGGTGTGTACAAGGCCTGGCATGTTGAGTGATGAGAAGCATGAGAGAAAAATCAAGTTGCTGGGGGGGAGATAAGTACCGTGAGATGACAGTGAGGCATCGAGGGCTATCGAGGGCCGGCGTTGCCAGCTCGCCGTCGGCCGAAGTGGGACGGGGAAATATGGACGGAGAGATTCAAAGCCGACAAATAGATATGGCGTTGGCTCAGCTGAAGCCGGCTGACAATTCATCAGACCGACGCGATGGATCTGATCGACCAGTCTGATCTACTCTGGGGAAGTTCAAATTATATCCATAGTCGTTGTTCCCCTTCCCCTTCCTCATCCTCTCATCCACCTTCTTCATACTCGCCCCCCTCACAACAAACAATATAGTCGCAATATAGTCATGTCTACTACTAAGCGCTCGGTCACCACGAGGCCGTCCACTTCGTCACGGAACGTGCCACGCGGCATCTGGGAGCTAGCCCGATTGCATACTCGCGAATCCTGGCTATGCTGGTATCCATCTATCTGGGGAGCGTGTGTAGCCGCGGGTGTATCAGACACCGTGCTAGAGCCGCTGGCTTTCGCCAGGTTCCTGTTCGGCATCTGGGCCAGCGTAACCGCGACTCATTGTGCCTTTTGCACCTTCAAGTCTGTACCATTTTGCTTTTTTGTTGTTTCCCGGTTCTCTTCTGACTACTGGCAGTGACATTTGTGACCAGAGCTTGGATAAGCACGTCCAGCGTTGCAAGGTGCGCCCTCTCCCATCCGGAATGATTAGCACGCCAGAAGCCTTGCTTGCCTTTGTCTGTTGGGTGCCCTTTACGTTCGCCATTACCTGGGCTACCCTGGGCCCGGCTGTGACAGTGAGCTTCATTCCCGTCTGGGTATTGAGTGTGATCTACCCTTTTATGAAGCGCCTTATGCCCTTTCCGCAAGTTGTTCTTGGGGCAATCATCGGAGGCGCGGTGTTTCCTGGTTGGGTGGGCGTTACCGGGGATCTGGATCATCTCGACCAGGCATTGCCGCTATTTTTCGCTACAGCCGCATGGGTTGTCTACTTTGACGTTTTCTATGCGACGCAAGACCTGCCGGACGACAAGAAGGCTGGCGTCAAATCGCTCGCGGTCTGGATGGGACCCAATGTCAAGATCCTCCTTGCGGGGCTTGGAATCCTACAGATTGCCTTCTTCGCCATGACAGCACTGCGGGCCGATCTTTCCCTCATCTTCTGGATACTGGGAATTGGAGTGTGGGCCGTCAGTGTGCCATGGCATGTCCTGTCCTTGAACCTCAAGGACCGACACTCCGGCGGATCGGTTTTCAAAGCGAATATTAAACTAGGATTGTATATGACGGGAGTCTCTTTATTGGAACTCGTTCTGTTGAGGGTGCATCACGCACCCATGAAAGTATACTAGTGGACTTCAATGGCCGCTGCCGTGTGTGGAAAATGATGTGGAGTCATTGAATAAGTTCTTGCGTGTTTGTGGTTGCCAGTCATATGAGCATATATACATGTATATATATGTGCAGTCGTTTAGCAGCAGGACTAGAAAGAGCACTTTATTCAGCAATAGAACTTCGTCATAATAGTCACGTAGAACAGTATCAACCGAACAGCATTTGACCCATTTCCCATGGAATTCATCATACGCGCCTCGGGTTACAATGACTGTTCTTAGTCTAGTCAACTGAATAAATTCTGGATGATCCTTCGGGCACGCAAAGTCCAGGATTCTCCTGAACTCGCGCGGATTCCCGGCCGAGCCGCTCGGCCTTGAATTCCACATACTCGCCTATTCTAACTATTGTATATAACAGACACAGAACCATCTGCATCTTACTCGAGCCAGCAGCCCATCCATCACCAATCAAACGTTCGCGATGGAACGTATCGACGTCCACCACCACTTCATCCCCCCCGCTTATGTTGAGGGTGAGCATTGGCCTCCATTAACCACTACTGTGCTTTGACTCACTTCACCTTTCCCAAACAGCATTCAAGACCACTGGAGGAGATCCCTCGGGGTGGCATCTTCCCCAATGGACGCCGGAATCCAGTATCTCGCTGATGGACTCCCACAACACCCGAACGGCCATCCTTTCCCTGACTGCGCCGGGCACTTCCATCCTGGCCCACTCACCTGGAGCTTCGGCCACCCTCGCCCGAGAGATTAATCTTTACGCAGCGAAGTTGCACAATGAAAGTCCGACCCGTTTCGGCTTCTTCGCGAGTCTACCCCATCTGACCCCCGACACCATCCCCGCTGCTATCGAGGAGGCGATCTACGCGCTAGAGACCCTACATGCAGATGGGATCACGCTATACACCCGCTATACTGGAACCGGCTATCTTGGGCATGACGCCTTTGCGCCTCTATGGGAGGAACTGAACCGCCGCAAGGCCGTCGTGTTCATCCATCCGACGAATACGGCGGCGGACGCTCGGAACCGGTCGATCCTCGTCAATCCTGCGCTTCCCCAGCCGATTATTGACTACCCGCATGAGACGTGCAGGACGGCTGTCGATCTGATTACGTCTGGCACTATCTCCCGCAACCCGGATGTCAAGATCATCCTTTCCCATGGCGGTGGCACATTGCCTATCCTTGCGACACGCGCAGCACATCTTCTTTACGATGCCAAATTGACCAGCATTAGCCCAGAAGACTTCCTAGAGCAGGCACGGAGCTTCTATTTTGATCTGGCGTTGTCTGGCAACGAAGAAAATATGCAGTTACTGGTGGGGAGGAATGGATTTGCAAAGGGGGGGCATGTCTTCTATGGCAGTGACTTCCCCTATGCACCGGTAAGTACGATCAACAAATATGTGCGGATGATGGAAGGGTTCTCGGTCCAGGGCGAGGAGGTGGAAAAGGCAATTGCCAGAGATTCGGCCGTGAAGTTGTTTCCGCGATTCCAGATGCCTGCAGACTTACGTGTCGGAAAGACCAATAATTGGGGCGCGTTTTCCGCCTGCTTATTGCTTCCTGTTGGTTTATCAGCTCTCTATTCCGTACTGCAGTCTCGTGTTCATACTTATAGTACCTAGTTAGAATCTAAACCTTGTCTCTTCGCTTGGGTTTATCTTTTGATTTTGCTTTTCCAGCCTCTGCATCGTTTTCTTCTTTCATTCCTCTTTTTTCTCTGCTTTCTTTCTTCTTTTTTTCTTTTTCCTTTTCCTTTTTCCTCTTCTTTTCTTATTTTTTATTCGGCCGATTGATGGCGTGGTAGTAAAATTGATGATCGCTCACACCCCCTTATATTTACCCCTGTCATTTCGCTTCAGCAGTGATGATCAGACAGTGAAACTTGTTGAATCAGGCATTCGTGTTTATTCGGCAGGATGGCGCTTGTTCATCTGACTGCGTTAGCTGCATGTGGGCTTTTGCTGGTAATTCTCCGCGCCGCCTTCAATAGTTGGAGATTGCAGCGAAAACTACCGCCTGGTATGTACTGCTATATGCGATACCTTTCTATTATCTTTCATCATACCCCAATTAGATGATGGAACGGACATGTACGAGAGGCTAATGTGAGATAGGCCCCCCGGGTGCCCCGTTGATAGGTAATATTCTCCAATTACCCAAAGTTCGGGCGCATCAAAAGTACGTATCCATTCCGAGAAAAAGCAAAAGCAGTATCTAACGGGAAATAGATTCACCGAATGGGCCAGAACCTACGGAGGTCTCTACAGCTTCCGTATTGGACCAGCGACCGCCGCGGTGGTTACGGACCGCGCTCTGGTCAAGGAGCTGTTCGACAAACGGAGCGCGCTGTACAGCTCACGTCCGACCTCATATGTGGGGCAGAACATCATCACACGGGGAGACCATCTCCTGGTCATGGACTATAGCGACAATTGGCGACTGTTTCGCAAAGCCATCAACCAGCATTTCATGGCCTCCATGTGTGAAAAAACACATGTCCGCCTGCTCGAGGCTGAGCATACGCAGATGATGCGCGACTTCCTCCTTCATCCCGAGAAACATATGCTGCACACCAAGCGCACAACTAATAGCATCATCATGAGCTTGCTGTTCGGTATACGCACTCCGTCATGGGACACCCCACATATGCAGGAATTGTATGAAATAATGGAGATTTGGTCCCAGATCATGGAGACCGGTGCCACCCCACCCGTGGATATCTTTCCGTGGCTGCATTGGGTGCCACAGCAGTGGCTGGGCCACTGGGTGGATCGCTCACAGACTGTGGCCCGTGGTATGAAGCGCCTGTATAGTTCATTCCACCGACGGGCCATCGAGGCACGTCGTAAGGCAGAGAGCACCTCCCAGTCCCGCGCCCGGACCTTCCTCGATGACGTGCTTGATCTTCAGGAGAAGCTTGGTCTCACAGATAACCAGGTTGACTTCTTGGGTGGGGTTATGATGGAGGGAGGATCAGATACGGGTTCCACAATGCTTCTGGTTATGATCCAAGCGTTGGCCCTCCATCCCGAGATTCAACAGCGAGCACGAGCTGAAATCGATGCTGTTTGTGGAGAAAACCGATCTCCAACGTGGGAGGACTTTCCTCGTCTGCCTTATATCAACATGATCGTTAAAGAAACAATGCGCTGGCGGCCAGTTACACCCTTGGCCTTTCCACACGCCCTCAACAAGGATGACTGGGTGAATGGCTATTTCCTCCCCAAGGGAACCACCGTCTTCCTGAATGTCTGGGGCCTACATCATGACGAAAACATCTTTCCGAACCCCGACCAGTTCGACCCCTCGCGATTCGAAGGCCGACATAAGCTGGCGTTCGACTATGCCGCATCGCCCGACTACATGCAGCGTGATCATTACATCTACGGTGCCGGACGACGCCTGTGTCCTGGGATTCATCTGTCCGAGCGCAGCATGTTCCTGGGCGCTGCAAAACTTCTCTGGGCATTTAACTTTGAGCCGGCGCGCGATGAAAATGGCAATCCCATCCGAATCGATACCGACCCGGTCACCGGCTACACCGAGGGCTTCTTAGTCTGTCCGCGACCATACCAATGCAAGGTCACGCCACGATCCCCCGCTCATGCGGAGACGATCCTCCGAGAATTTTCCCGGGCCGAATCAGAAGTTCTTTCTCAGTATGCGATGCCATAGGCGCTTCGCACTACACTCGCCCGAGCATCGACTGAGGTGGCTTCGGGTGGTTTGCTTTTGTTCGGCTAATAAGAGGACTAGTAATTTTGCTTTTTCTCGGTGGGGCTTTTGGTGAAGTACGGGTTGCCTAGCTGATGCCCAAAGTACCGGTTGAGAAGATCTTAGGAAGAGAAAGTCTAGCCCGACGTGGTGCGTAAGCAGGCATTCGATAGAACAATCTGAAGGCTCTTATCAAGATATAGCGTTCCGGTAGTTGTGTTGAAATTTCTTTTGCTGTCGTATCTTTGGAAAACACCGATCGGTCCATTAGGTGGTAGGATTGTTTGTTCGTGTGTATGATCTACAATGACTAGTGCTGACATATGCAGGGAGTCAATAGCCCTTTTATTTTTTTCTTTCTTCCTAGCAGATAACACGGCCCGGACTTCGGACTTGCAGCACGGATCCAGTCTCCGTCAAGCAAATGGTAATCGGACCTCTCATCGCCGTGTCGGCACGGCATCCTTTAAGGCGGGAATTGCCAATGTCCTCAAATGTTAGCTTGATTATCTTGGCGTTCAATATTGTCTGAAATTATTCCTCTAAACAAAGTTGCGCTAAATCAATACGACCCTAATACGGTGGGTGCCAGCGGAACATTGACTTGCTGATTTCTGTCCCTCAATTCTATTCGCTGTTAAGATTTCAGCTTGACCGTGCTAGCAAAGGGAATACAAGAAATTAACGATGCATACACTAAGTCGGGTCGTGTATTATCCTAAGTTCATCATTATGGTGTCGCATGTCATCTAAGCATGTTTGCTTTGTCCAAAGTGGGCGGACTGTGAGATACTTCCAATGCCCATCACACGGGATGGTGTGGTGCCATCGAAGTAGGGTGTGCCAGAATATCACTTGGGTCGACAACCAACGAGGATGACCACGTCTCAAAATCAGAGAGACTGGCAAGAATGTCCAGGTCCGAGCCACCGTCGCTGTCTGCGACAAACACGCTACTCGGTGGTCCATGTTTGGTGCCAGAAGGCATTTGGGGTGCAGTAGTCGTAGAAGGGGCCTCTTGATTGCGGTGGATGTGGGTTCTGGATGACGAAGATGACAAAGACGGCAAGGAGAAGATGCTCTTGTCTATTGTGTCCTCCTCAGTACCCTGAATTCCAAGTTCGAGGGAGTATGGGGAGAACTGATATTCATTTTCATCCAACCTGTCAGTCGTTTGGTTATCAGACCTCGGGTGCGATTGCAGTCGGTTGTGGAGGTCAACAAGAACCTGAATAGCCAGGGGTATTCGGTCCTCCGTTGAGCCTTCATCGGATTCCGGATTGTCTGCACGAGTTGCTCCGAATGAATCCTGCGGGACTTGGTAATGGGATACAGTGTGGTCGATGATTTCATCGATGCAATATCGAGCCAGCACGATGTCACCTGATTCCGGGAAGGTATGGAGGTACACGAGGATAAGAAACACACATTGAAGAGGTCCGTAGTGTCGGTAACAAAACCATACGTAGGGGGAGAAGGCAGGGGTTTGATAGAGCTGGAGGAATATACGCAAGTAGCTCACGCAGAGATGTGCCACGCTAGAGGTTCAACTTTTGTCAATAAGAGTGTCGTAGCAGATCGTAAGGTTGTCAGGGGAACCATACCTGGTCCATGCCCTGCATGAATGCGGATCTGCACTGTCCGGGGCAGGTAAGAATGGCTTTTGTAGAATAACAGCTACCTCGAATTTGAGAAGGACCAACATAATTCTTGTCCAAGTGGAGAAAACAGTTGGATGAGTGCCATCATCCTTATAAAGTGCTGGATGAGTGACTGGAGATGCTTTGGCTAAGCGAGAGGGGATAAATCCTTTTTCAGGAATCCCTTGTGAAGGGACACGGGCAATCAAGGTATCAAGCTTCTGTTGCAGCTTTTTCGCCGACGTCACAAGATCAGTAAGTTCAGTCTGAGCTAGACGTCTTCCATTTTGCAGGCGCGACACGATCTTTGATTGCAGACGCGCCGTTTCAGAGCGCGCTATGGCGAGTATCACGGCTAAGGACTGCTCCGAAGGACGAGGGACTGGTTCCCGGGAACGATGATTAGAAAGGTCCCCGATATCTTCATCGCGTGTATCAGCTATCATGCTGACGATATCTAGCGCCTCGGTAGCACAGCATGGGGGTAGGCCTGTGGAGATGCTGGACTGTACGTCAAGCCCAATGATGTACCACCAGGCCCGGCGACGAATTTCCCGATCTACCTGGCTCAATGAAGATGACCAACTCCCTTCTCGATGCAATCCCATACTCTGGGCGATGCGGACTGTTGTGCTGACGGAGACCACATTGCGCATCGGCGCAACATGGCTGTCCAAGAACGGTGCAGTCAGCAATGTAGACACTAGCGTGTTCAATGTCGGGTGTTCGAGATGCTGGCATAGAGACAGACTTGTCGTATAGGCCGACTTCAAGTGCTTGATGGTCGTTTCCTTCCGCAGGCTCTGCAGATTGGTGCATGCCCAGCTGGTCGGTGGTGCAGCGGATGCGCCACAATACAGGATGGCAAAGAGAAGGCAGAGAAAAGTTGGGTCATCGCGGACCTTTTCTGGGGGTAACGCTCTATCGCTGTTGCGACACCATTCCCAAAAATTATCGTAGTCCGCCCGTAGAGTCGGGCCATGCACCAGAGGAGAAAGCGGCCACACCGCGAAGAAGAAGGCATCGAGGAGGGCATCGCTCACGGGCTTGGTAGGTAGGGACCGCAATAGATTGAACATTCCCAAAGAGGATATATGTGTCAGAGGCTGTTCCGTTGAGGCATCACGGTTGCAGTCGAAGAAATCATCGCCCAGGGTTTCCTGCCGGTTGCCCAACAATCCAGGTTAGCTCATGCGTATCCGCGGGAACTGCGCTTACATGGTTGGGCAGCACTGACTTTCCCGGCCACAAAGCCCCAAAACGCTTGACCAATATACCGCACACGTGCGCCCCGTCGTACACTCAGATAATCAGGACTAAGTAGACCACTGTAACTTGTAGATGTAGAAGGCGCTCTGGCTGATTCTGAGACCGCTGGGGAGGCATCCTGGGAGACACTCGACGTCCTGCTTGTTCCTGCCCGAGAGGATGCGTGATGGTTATCGGGTAGCTGGATGGCCTCTTCCCAGGAAGGTACTGTCGGATATACCAAATCCACCTGCGGATGGCTTGATGGCGCCGGAGTGAGTATAGTGGAAGAATGGTGGGGATGAGGAACAGAGCTAGTGTCGCATTCGGCTTGGGTAGAGCGTCTCTGAGGAGGAGGAGCAGAAGCAGGAGAAATGGTCGGACGCGGAAGGGGAGCCTCATCGCTGAGATTTAATACATTGCCAGAGCCTTGTGACATCCAGTGCGACCAAGTAAACCCTCCTGTACGCTCCTCCGAACGGTTGGCACAAAACTCCGGTCCATTGGGGTTATCACCCTGAGGCACAGGAGGAGGAGATACTTGGCGTACGCGGCCGGTAAACTCATCGCGGACCATTGTCTTATAGACACAATTCTCCTTCATCCGGACACAGTTGGCGCATTCCGGGTGTTCGCGGCCGCAGCGAACTTTGCGACGGCGGCAGACAATGCAACTCAGCGATAATCGGGGCCTTTTAATCTGGCGAGGCTCAGATGGGGGTGGCATTGTAGCACAAGTGTCTCACTAGTAAATAGATGGAAGGGTGGTGTTAAAAGTAGCGAGATATTTAGTACCTATACGATAAAGAGTAGGACTACCAGTATGATGGAGTAGATAGTGGTGATGGCAGTAGGAAACACATAAACTACTGCCACCGTCACTATCTACTAGGATAGATATAAAAAGTGTGGGTTTCCCGTAGTCGATAATAACTAGGATTGCTCTACAGCCAGCCCCACCCGCCTTGTGGCAAGGCAGGGACCGCTGCCTTGTCCAAGTTGCCACTTGGACAGGTGATGGGATAGTGCGGTGAAACTAAGTAAGCAAGCAGCGTGCGGCAGAAGTCGAGGTGATGATGAACTGCACGTTGTCGATCCAGGCCCCGGCGGTCGCTGCTGCATTGGTCCAAGGTCTTGATATTTCGAGGGTCCAGGCTGTCGCGTCCCAAGGAGTAAGCAACTTACGGGATCGGATTAACTAAATCAAGTTGCAGCGCGGCGAGCGAGTTTGTCCGAGGCTAGTGTTGCCCTCGGAGTTCCCGCCAATTATGGGTCTTCCTTATCTTAGTTTATTCCCCCTTTGCAGCTTCTATTACTATTAGACGTAATCGCCCACACGAAGATTGACATTTGCCCCACAGCATCTTATTTGGCCCTCTGTATGCCATCCATTCCCCGATAAGATGTAATGGCATTCATTCATTGATCCTGCTCAGCCCAGGCTAGTAGTTCTCTTCTCATAGTACAGAGTACATCATTGCTTTATAGGGCTAAATGCCTCGTACAAAGAGGAAGTTTGGTGTCCACCTCTGAAATATGAGTCGATACAAAAGTAACACTAACAATAAATCTCTTTCCTTGTCGATCGGGAACTGTAACAAGCAGTACTAGTAGTTTGGCAGCAAATATACGGCCCTCAGGGGGTTAAATAAGTAAACTTTAACATAATATTTCCTGTTGCTCGGCTGTATGTACCTCTTCATATTTATATGACTGTGTGACTACTAGTCCGGAACTGGTTTTTTTCCCGGTCGGGTAAGTAGTATTATCATTCCATGCTGTAGGCACGAGGCAGGCGGCCAATTGTTCCGCTTCAGATAAGGACTCGCTACACACGGAAAAAGTACACACGGAAAAGGAAATAAATCAAAGTATCAAGCTAATATCAGAATGAAAAAGATTAAATTATCTTCTTTTTTTTCCCGCTATTTTCTTATACAAATCAAGTCTGTGGAATGCGGTAATCGTTTACTAGCTATACAAACACCTTCTATAGTCTGGTATGGCTGGTGCTGTATGGTTTGTGCGAGAAACTCAACTGTCACCAGATCAGGTTCAAAGAGATTCACCTTACTACTGGGTGTTATCCTCGAATGCAGCTCTGCCTTAGCCCTTACCCATTCACTGAGGGCCGAGGGTATTTCCACAGCGAGCCATGGTATTTACTGACTAAATGGAGGCGGTTCACTCTCATGTAAGCTTCAAGATAAGATCATAATTCTATCTTTTACACCCTATCTTGAGATGACTTTTGTGTAGGTGTAAAAGTCTGTAGGAAAACCCCGGAGGGGAGAAACCTACAGAGATCTTTACACAGTAAAATATAACATGACATATACAAGATATGGCATCTGTCCTTGTCATGGTAGTCTTAGGACACCAGTTTTCGAATTTTCAGGCCGGCGGACTTGGATACCAGTCACAGTCAGGCGCTACCCAATCACTTGACCATTCAATGGTCTCGAAGCAAGTTGGGATGCCCTTTTCATCAGTATCAAAGAAACAAAATTTTGTTCCCCCTCTTTTGCCCAAGAAGTAACCCTGAGTAGACGGCCTGAAGCCTCTCTTCCTCATCTCCTCTATCCGTTCGTCCATTGATAGGGTATCCATAGTGAAAGCAATGCTCTGCACTTCTGCTTTGTTGCCATCCTCGTCCAAACGATCCTTGAGAGCTGACTTTCCTTTAATGGGGCTCATAACCTCAATGACCGGCGCCTTTGAATCGGAATTATACGCGAAGGCGACATCAATTTCATATAGATCCGGTCCTTCCTCATCGTAGTATTTCTGATCCGAAACAGTTTCGGAATTGAAGTGGTATACTTGGAAAGGACCCATGCCGACCTTGCCTAATCTGTCGAGGGTTTCGTGAAAGTTTGGTGTAGCAATGCATACCTGGTTGAGGTTTCCGAGAAGATTGCCTGAGGACATGATGATGGAGTGTGAAGCCAATGAGTAAGAGACTGGAGTTTGGACCTTCAGAAGGGAGCTCGCTATGGAGTATAGAGCAGCGGAGACTAAATCGTGTTAATAGACTGGTACGATTACCTCGGGGCTTTGTTTCAATCGTGAACGATAGTTATATATCAAAGGCTGGCCACCAGCAGACCTAATACCTCGGCGTCGTAGTAATCATAGCAGCTGTTTTCATCATGACTCCACGCTGTTGGGGTAGGAGCGGTATAGCTTTAGAGTATCATGATGATGTAGTAGTATTTCATTCTAGCCAGGATTGTATACTATCAGAATTGATTAAATAAATCTTTTATTTGGGTGTCATTAACAATGGTAGCACCAATTTTCATCACGACTCCATGCTGTAGGAGTGTGTATAGTCCTGCACTAAAGAACCACCATGATGTAGTAGTATTGTCTTTTAACTATGGCTTTATACTGATAAAACGGGGTCAAGCAAGAGCTTTTCCTAAGATATAACAGTAATGGTAGCACAGTTTACATCATGACTTTATGCTATTGGGGTAGGTGTGGTATAGCTAACAATTGGAGTACAGCTACGTGTTGGAGTACATCCATTCATTCAGTCTCATCCCGCCCCACCTGGTCGGTTGCGGATACCACGTGCAACACCTCCGACCGCTGCAACAGGCGCTTCAAAGAGGCTCCCCTCGACAATTCAATACGAACTCTAGCTCGACATTTGGCAAACCGCCAGCCAGGAGCTACATGCGCAGTATTATACTATTTTCTTAAATGTCCGAGATCACGAGTGGTACAGAAAGTAACTTATATTACTACCACATCTACATGCTCTGCAACACAGAAATTAGTCTGTTATCAATAGAGCTGCTTTGAATTACTAGCTAAGATTTCTTTATTCTCCTAAATCAGTGTGCCTCTCTACGGTGATCATAAGTGTAGTGGTTTGAATGTTATAGCAATGCTTATTTGTTTTATCTATTATTGCAGAAGCTTATTAGATAGTAGTCTTGATCTTTCAAGTCAGTATCACAAAACCTTTGATCTGAATATATATTCTTGCAGGAGCTTCGAGTCCTTTACTGACTCGACAAGTTATCAGGTAATTACATATGCGCCCACACACGCGAGCAACGTTCCAGGTCACGATGGCTATTTGCGCACTCCCTACGAGTCTGTCGAGAATAGCATCCTCAACAGTTGAATTGGCCAGCATGTAAACCCCAAATGCGCAAAGGAAGCGCTGCGGCATTGCATCTGGGCTTCAGAGCAGCTATTCCGATATCCTGGTGAGTTCACACTTAAATCAGACGCGGGAGATACACTGGGAAGACACAATCGGGGAATCAGATCTGTTCTCGCATCTCTTCTATCTTCGGGTCTTCAAGATGATGAGGCCATTGAAGAAGTATCTGGGAACAGCACAAACATAGTGTATCTAAGAAAAGCCTCATCAGACAATGGCATTTACCTTGAGTGTAAAGCTTGGTAACCTAAACGACAGACTGCAAGGAGATCCGTGTGGCAATCACAAGCCCTACTTCGATGAAGAAATATGACTCCCACCCGCACACCGGTAGCCGGCCACCTGTCGAATTCACCGATATCCCACAGGAGAGACACCCATTTCCCGCAATTCCCTTCGAGCCTCTTCTTCCTGCTTCTTTCACTCCCCGATCTCAATTCTCTTTCAAGCAAACCTCCTAAGATCCTCCTCATATTGCCATCGCTCGTTATCAACAGGCCTCTTTGAGCGACTGTCCAGATTCTTTCTCAAAGCCTTTCCCTCACAAATGATCCCCATATCATGAATGTCTCGCGTCTAGTGTTATTTTCGATCAGCTTGCAGTTTGTTCCAGACCTTGTTAGATACCCCTGGATCATGAGACCCATTTAGATCGGCCTCTCTTGAAGTAGTATTGAGGTTAGTGTCTGGTGATGTTGTCAGCTTAGTCTTGTTTCTTCGCCCAAGAGGTAGCTGTGAGAGAGGGTGCCGCGGGGGTCTGTCTAGCTGTTGCTGGCATGATAGTATGGGGAAGCTGGGAAATTCGGGACGGTCGCTGTCGTCCATAACTGTCACTCCTGGATAGCAAATACTACCAGGTGATTAATATTCTTGTTATACCAGGCCAGGCTAATGATCAGACTCTTGAAGAATTATATCTTGTTGAACAGTCTACCTGCTGCTTCATGGTCTCTTTTCAGAATATACTATTCAGGAGCCAGTATGTCTTGTTGATGAAGAGAACTTTATCTAGTCTTTTTTTTCTGAGAAGTCTTTTAGTTTTTGGCCTGGTCTAGCCTTTGAATTATTTAATAAAATCAACTAAAGAGTACTCTACTACTTCGGGTGTCTTAAGAATGAATATCCATGTCGTAGAAAACATGTTCTATACGGCATACGGTTAAAATCTTGCCAGGTTCTAGATTTTGGTCGGTTAATATATAAGCCTGCTAAAAATAACGGAGTTTGTATATATCTGGGAGGCTGTGGAAGAGGCAATCGAAAGGAATCTTTTTATGTATATCTAATCTGAGTTTCTCCATATTTCTAGTTTTATTCTGATACTTCTTGCGTCGGGTAATAAGGTGCTTATGATCTATAATATCTCCAAACAGCTTTTGATAATTGGTGACTGTATTCTGATCCTGGCTAAAATCAAAATCGAAGTCTAGTGGCTTTAGAATGTCCATATTTCGTCTTTCGCGCGGACAGCTGCTGTTGGTGGTAACAAAACTGCCTCCTTTTCTTTGAGTGGCTGCTCGATAAATAAGGCTTCTTCAAAGCACATCCGCTGATGGCCATATTGAATGCATCTCTGGCAAAGGCATGCACATAGGGTAGACTATCGAGGAAAGGGCTGATCAGGGTCCGTTGTGGGACTGATGAAATTTCTGCTTCATGGGCCGTACATACATTGTAGCTTACGCGATTTCCTTCTGTACTGTATTCGAATGGTGGTCTGAATAAAGGGAATTGATTTATACGTGTGCCACCGCAAAGGCGCGACAAGACTTTAGCACAATATTGTCCTTGCGCATCATTTCTGGCGTAGCCGCCTCAGCAGTGGTTTCATTGGAAAGGAATATATGTAACAATGACATGCTTGACTGAGTGAATTGACATTCAAAGTGTAAAACTCAAGTTAGTACGGTGCAGCCAATGCTGACTGGGAACAACGGGTCACGGTCTGTCTCCTGTAGGTGCCATCTTCTGAAATGCTTCAAGCGCATCGTCATAAGCCAGCTGTTTTGCAGCTCCTATTCCGGCAAGAGATCCTATAATAGGCGAATCCAATCGTAAATTAGTAGGAAGGCAAAAAGAAAAGGTAGATATTTCACGACAGTGCTAGTCTCTACATACTAGACGCCAAGGCAGTTGGAACGATCTTAGGCACAGAGGAAGACGCATCACCAGCCACGAAACATCCGCGAAGGCTGCTCTCGCCCATGGAAGACTTGGACACCACAAGTCCCCTCGACCGTGGCTGAGTCTCAAGGCCGAGCTCCTCGACAAGACTGGCAGCACGGTTTATGCTTTTAGGAGAGCTCAAAAGCATTCTAAGGTCCTTATCCTCTCCATCGTGAAAACATAACTTGACGCCTGTTCCGTCTGGTATCTGTGAAATGAGTTTGATAGCGCGCCCATCAATATTGACACCCCGGGCTATCGCAATATCGAGTGGTTGCCGCGCGTCAGGGTCAACAAGATATGGTGCTCCATTTGTAAATATGGTCAGATCATTGTGGGCAAGTGGAAAGGCAAGTAGAACAGAGTCCAAGTCATCCATTGAAGGCTGACCGAGAACACCAACACGACCACCTCGTTTCTCATAACCGTCACAAAAAAGACAGTGAACACTAACAATAGGCCACATTAGCCAAGCCGTCCATGTAATTCGTTCCCTAGGTCACAGCACCGCAGAGCGATCTTCATGACTTACATTCCACGACCCCAAAGCTCCTTATATCCTTCTATGTCTGGAAAAATATCTTTTATTCCAGAAGCGATAATCAACTTCCGTCCGATCCATGTGCGACCTGTTCGGTCCGTGACTTCGAATCTGGGGGTAGTCTTGATCGGTCTTCCGGGCACTAGCGCTGATAATCTCTCTATCGAAGAAGCAGACCGTGTCATATTTGTCCATGATCTCTTGCACGGCCTGAGCTCTATATAGACTGGGCTTTTGCCCATCGTGACACAGAACATTATGCATCAGTAAGGCCTCCTCATTGCGATACTCCTGGGAGTCGAAGACAGCCACTGTTCTGCATGCCCGTCCCAGGGCCATGGTAGCCGCTAGCCCGGCAGGACCCCCGCCGATGACGAGGACATCGAATTGTGAGTCGCAGCACTGCATGTTGGAGATTATTCAGGGGCTTAATAATATATATGGTTAAAAGCAATACATGTGGCAAAAGGGCTGCTTGAAAACGTGGCTAGTTGAGGCACAACACATGGCTTACGTTTTATATGGTCGTCTGCTGTAGCTTATTAGATAGATCGACCTTAATCGGACCCGGACACATAGGGTTACTTAGGATCCGGGAAGGTGGTCCCTTGCTGATAGGACACTTTCGTAACGCCTTGAAACATCAGATCACGCCTCGGACATTTTGAAGCCAGTATCAGGAAGCCGATCGACCCTCGGTGTCCCTACGGGAGCTGTACCCACATACCATGCCCCAAACATTACTGTCATCACTTATCATACCCGTATTTATTTGATGGGCCATATCGCATGGAAGAGTTCATAACGACCGAGATCTTTCTTAAAATTGGAATAACTCACTATCAAAAGACCCTATTACCCGTGCCGACCAGCACCCCGTGACCAGCAAACTAACTATATATCAAGAAGATCAACAAGCTTTCTGGCATCATCAATCAGCTTCAGGCAGGTTGGGATGCGATCCGGAAAGCGGCACGTCGAGCGATAGCCAGGAGGACAATCTGGCGCGGGAGGTGTTTCATGCCACCGTCTCTGCCTCTCATCCAATTGTTCAATCAAAGCAAGAAAGCATTTATCTCGTCGACCTTCTATACCAAGAACCTCCGCCTTCACAAGTCTTCGCATCAAGACCTTCCATTCAGCCGGACTCATTTCCGCAGAGAAAGGATAAGAACTCTCCGGATCACCCTGTCCTGACAGAAGACCACCAGCTATCATAAAAATGTTAACAAGTTTTTGTTCGCCAGTTCTGGATGCCCGAGCTTCCTCCCTATCAATCGCCTCCAAAATTCTGGCGTAGGATTCCGCAATACACAGACAGACCACACCTAAGATTACCGCATTCTGAATGATAGAGAAATAGCGCTGCGGACACTTTTCACAGTAGATGACGGCAGTCAGCTTCTCCAAGGAATCGCGGATAAGATATAAATCGTCGGGTGCTATTAGTTGCGACTTCATGCGCAATCGCTCTAAAAGCAGATACAGAACGGACAAACAAGCACAGTGATTGAATTCCGCATTACAAATTCCCAAGAAGGGGGCGATGTTTTGTGTCGTTCCGGAGGAAAACGGCAAGCTCTGCGCACTACTACTAAGAAGACAAATCAATGCGATGAGCCAGTGCAATTTGCAATCAAGGTCCGATTGATTTGGGTTAGCGAGCAACTACTACTTACGATTGACAAGATTCCGTTGCCGGTGGTACATTATTTCCAACTTGGCACCGACAAGCCTCTCCGAAATGCCTTGACAACGACTCGCAACGAGGTATAGTCACCGAGGTGGGTTGTGTGCTGCTTTCCACTTGAAGTTCCTTACTTGGGCTTCGAGATCGACGTATAGCAGGGTGAAGCTGCGACCCCACCTGATCGCTCCGAGAAGTAGGAGGATTGCGCGTATGCCGAGTACGAGGTCTTCCTATCCGCTGCTGCGACGAGTAAACGCACCGACGGTCGGCGGCGGCACAACGGGCGCAAACGGGGTGTTCCCCTGTGCACCGGATCTTTTTTGCCCCTTAGGAGGAACATATTACGCGTTAATTCATCTTTGAGATGAGCACGGAGAAAATATAGGGGCGCCATACGACACGCATCACAAGACAGTCGAAACTTTTGCTGGCTGATTCTTTCGCTCATGGTGCGGCAAAAAATGGGATGGGCTTATCGTTGGCCAGAGAGCAAAAGGAGAAAATATGATATGTTCCGCAAACGCCTCTAGGGTGGCGGACAGGGCCAAAGGGTCTCCTTATTTAAGGCCGGGCTGATTACTCAAGGTCAATATGATTGGTGAAAAGAGTCCGATTGAGCGGGCAAAAGTACTATTGAAGTGTGGTCGAAAACCTTTGGGTTCGGACACATATCGGGGAATCCACTCAGTCCCAGTCCGGCGCGGATTCGTGTTAACCTTAATCTGCGAGCCAGCCCTGCATGGCGGCCCCATCGACTCACCAGTATCCATTTGCGTGCGGACTCGCAAATAGACCTTAAACTATTTCTTGATAAAATGGTCCAGGAGGCCATAACTTCGGACAAAAGTTTATATAGCTTACGTCTGTAACACTGCCAGGTGGGAACATCGATCTACTATCGGAGCCTTTTCTCTAGTAATCAAGGGGAATTTCGTATGACCTAAACAGGACTTCGAAGCCAGTCGCATACGTAGGCTGAGATTATAAATTGATAAGATTATTCACTTTAATGAACAATAGATCGAAAATGAGAGAATTCTCTGGTAGTAAAGCTGACCAGCTGACACGGGGAGAACCCAAAGCAATGTGCGATATCGATAGTATAGACCAATTAAACACACTGGAATGCCTCCAGTAGACCACTCCTCTCAGTACACAATAAGGTAAGAATGACCCCATATTCCCTGTACAACACCGAGTGACGGATCAGGGGGCGTGGTGTACAACGCGAAAGGATATCTATCAGGATCGAAACCGTGCCTTCTTTGAGCGAGCACGGATGCGCGCTCCATAGTAGTAGAAGATGATCGGCACAGGAACCATAACCAAGGCCAAGAAGCCGACCAAGCTGCTGGCCCAGTCCACCCCCAGATTGTGGTACATATAATTTGCAAAGAGAGGAAAAACCGCCCCAAAAACACTTCGCACCGCACCGTTCGCAGCCATTGCACTGTTGGCCATGTCGGTATAGCAGTCAATGATGTAGCTAAAACACTGGATGAAGATTGTATACATGCCCCATCCAACAAGGATGCCTGCACAAACCTCACTAGGCCATGGAATAGAAGGGTCAGACGTCCACGCATACCAGAAGAGTCCGGTGGGAACAAGACAGCCTCCGAATATCATAAGGGGGAGGCGAGCTTCCGGCTCAAATTTGCCGTCGTTAGCCTGAACCTTTCGCTTGAAGTATAGCTGGTTGTAGATTACCACAGTGGCGGTTCCCATGACCACACCAACAATTATTCCAATCAGAGCAAGGGATGCAAAACCTTGGCTCCATCCTCTCACTTCCATGAACGCGATCGGATATGATTGGTAACAGACATACATAAGACCATATATGAACGCTTGATAGAAGGTCAACGACACAAGTATAGGCTCAGTGAAGAAAAGAACTGCAGCAATCGACATTATCAGCATATGCAGCTTAGTTGGCATTCTGCGCGGACGACACCGACTTACCCCATGGACGAACTAGATAGAGCTGGAACACCTTCTCCAGTGAAAGCCCTTCGAGATCCAGCGGAGATACAATTGTGGGATTATCCATTTTTCGGCGTATAGACTTGGCTCGAATCTGGAGTACCTTGGGCGGGTAACTCTCCGGATAAGTGAACACGGCCACAAACCCGAGAGCGAGACCAGCTATAACAACAACCCACATTGTCCATCGCCAACTTGTGTTTTCAACGATAAAGCCGCCGACAATGGGACCGAAAGTAGGGCCAGCAAAAACCAAGCAGATGCAGAATGCAAGAGCCACTCCACGGTATAATGCATTCCAGCAGTCGGTGATGATCCCTCCCAAAACAGCAATCGGTGCGACACCGAAGAGACCAGCGAAGAAACGGCCAATGAAGATGGTGGCCAGGTTCTGACCCAAGGTTGTCATTAGGCCAAAGACAGAGGATAAACAGACTCCGACAATGAGCGGCCATTTTCGCCCGAATTTCTCTGAGAGTGGACCGAAAAGTAAGGGTCCGACAATATATCCCTGACCACGATATTCTCAGCCATTGTCCGATAGCTAACCAAGATGTCTAGCTTACCACTAAAAACAAAGAAGTCCCGAGCACAGTTACCTCCTGACCAACAGCAAACTCGGTGGCAACTTTGTCCTCTGCGCTGGCGAAAATGCTGCTTGATATGGTGACAACGAGGTTGAAAAGTGCTAGTATTAATGTGTCCATACCCGGCGAGCGATATGCCAATTGTGTGGATGAAGCTTGTCGTCCGCACCTGAGAATTGTAAGAGCACTTGCTGAAAGACTTGCTCGTTCCCCATAGACGCTCCTTCGTGTTCCACATCACCTGTCCTGTGAACTGCATCAGAATGAACTTCTTTCATCCTTTCATAGATCACACTATGAGAGCGATTGTCTGGTACAGTAAAGACGTTAATAATAGGCTAGTACTGTACAAGGTGGAAAGCCTTTTCGTGGCTTGATAATGGGCAGAATAACGGGTAAGTTCGGCACCAGAATTGCAATCTGCCGAAGCGAATGTTTTCAATCTGTCAGTTTATGAAACCGAATGCCTCCATGGGTGGGCGTTTAAAAGTACGCAGCATTTCTATAATGAAGCTTCAACAAGGCAACCCGGCAAGACGCCACTTGCTTGTCAGTCGTGTGTTTCCATGTTATTCATTGGCCATCATGACGACGTTTGGCCCCATTTTTGAGACGTACGAGAACGAGCCATGATAATTATTATAGAATGTCTGACGCTTCAAAAGTCTCCGGATTCAGATAGTCTCCGATAGTATCCGGACTCTCCCGTCTCCAGTTATCCTTCCCAACCAAATTACCGATTTCCAGGCAATCGTAATTGCAGAGTGATCAGATCGACAAACTACTGCTGTTCCAAGTTTGGGTGATTGCTCACGCTCGACCATGATCTGTAATCTTATGAGGCCTAGGACGCAGATAGCCTTCTGCTACTACCTAGCTTGACTTATTGTCTCACCGTAACTACCTCTTATGATTGAAACCCTGGCCGAATAGTTAGCATACAGTCACACAGTATTGGTGGATCTCTCCTATCACCATTCTATCGGCCCTAGTCCCCTAAAGCACTGTATTAGTCTATTTTACTAGCATCTCTTATCTTTGCACTTCTTCCTATTACTTTCCTCGTCGTATGATAGCGCAGAAGACCAGTACCGGCAAGGCTCTTGCTTCGTTCACAGAAGCCCAAGAAATTGCGGAACAGTGACAACATCATGACTTTTGAGGACTTCCAAGAATCTTTCATCGACTCCGCCCTTCAGACCATCCAAAAGCATGAAGGTGTTCTGAAGGAATTGAACCACCAGGTGAGATTGCTACCTTAGTATACCTTCCTTTCAACATATGACTAAGTACATTTTGCCTTCGATGTAGATCTGGTCAAATCCCGAACAGGCTTACGAGGAGCACAATGCACATCAAAGTATCTGCGATCTGTTTGAGAAACTCAATCTTGAAGGTTATCACATATGCCGGGGCGTTTATGGCCTCAAGGCCGCAATGAGGATCGATTATAGACAAGGCCCGGGCCCTGGAAGACGAGTGGTCGCCTTCAATGCAGAATATGATGCCTTGCCGGAGATCGGTCATGCATGCGGCCATAATCTCATTACGACTAGCTCAGTGGCTGCGTTCATTGCGACATCCGAGACAATGAGATCGTTATTTCCAGAAAAAGCAGAATTTACTGTTCGGCTGCTTGGTACCGAAGCTGAAGAGGCCAGCGGGGGGGGGGGGG